AACCAATATGCAAGAAGACGAGGTCATCGAGGCCAGTCCATTGCGTCCAGAGTTCCCAGGCGATGATACTCGACCAACAAGTCGGAAGGAGCTTGCTGGCTGGTACAGCTATGGCTGGGCAGCAGAAGTCTTCACTGTGTGTGCAATGGGTATGCATATTTGTCAAAGTTTATGACCCGGGTGTTATCGTTATTTGTCTAATAAGTGCAGGTTCTTTCCTCCCGATCACATTAGAGCAGATGGCCCGAGATCGCGGCGTACTGCTATCGGACAAATCAACACCCTGTAGCGCGACCTGGAAAGCTTCCCAGCAAGCCATAGGATTCGGAAGCCCAGGATACAGTGAACAAGCTGCATCAAGTGCCGGCCAGTGCATTATATACATTCTTGGCACCGAAATCAACACGGCTAGCTACGCCATGTATACGTTCTCAGTGAGTGTTTTCATTCAAGCCATTCTAATTATCTCGATGTCAGGGGCAGCGGACCATGGCAGTTATCGAAAGATGCTTCTGGTGATATTTGCCTTCATTGGCGCCATATCTACGATGCTCTTCATTGCCGTATCCGCCAAGGTCTTCTTTCTCGGTGGCATTCTTGCTATAATAGCAAACACCTGCTTCGGTGCATCTTTCGTACTGCTGAATTCATTCTTGCCGCTATTGGTTCGTCATCATCCTTCCTTACTTGAAGGAAGCGGCGACGAAGGTGTCACGTCCATCAATAATCATACGCCCCAGGACCAGATAAATGATGACGCTACCTCACCTTTATTGAGGCCCGGCCCTATGGAGAATGGCGTGTCCGTGACGCAGTCGGCACATGTTGCTTCCATGCCCACCTCCCAGGAGCTGCATCTTTCTACAAAGATATCCTCATATGGCATTGGAATAGGCTATATTGGCGCAGTGATATTGCAGATTCTTTGCATTCTTGTGGTTGCTAGTACTCATCAAACCACGTTTTCCTTACGGATTGCCCTTTTTCTAATTGGGCTATGGTGGTTTACTTTTACGATACCGGCAGCCCTTTGGTTGCGTGCTCGTCCGGGACCGCCTTTGCCTTCAGCTCGCAATGGGAAGCAATACCAGTCATGGATCGGCTATATGGGCTTCGCGTGGAAATCCCTTGGCCAAACCATCGTACGGGCGCGACATCTCAAAGACCTTACACTGTTCCTAGCTGCTTGGTTCTTACTGAGCGATGGGATCGCCACGGTTAGTGGGACAGCCGTGCTTTTCGCGAAAACCCAGCTTGATATGGAACCAGCTGCACTTGGATTGATTAATGTGATCGCAATGGCTGGAGGTGTGGTCGGTGCGTTTTCTTGGAGCTATGTGTCTCGATTACTCAATCTTCGAGCGTCTCAAACTATTATTGCGTGTTTAATCCTATTCGAGCTTGTACCACTATACGGCCTGCTGGGATTCATCCCAGCCGTGAAGACGCTGGGTTTCCTGGGCCTTCAGCAACCATGGGAGATGTTTCCGCTCAGCGCTGTATACGGACTTGTGATGGGCGGGCTGTCTTCCTATTGCCGCAGTTTCTTCGGGGAGCTAATTCCCCCGGGCCATGAAGCAGCCTTCTACGCACTGTACGCCATTACCGACAAAGGCTCCAGCATCTTCGGACCCGTCATTGTAGGCGCCGTCACCGATCGCTATGGGGAGATTCGTCCTGCTTTCCTGTTCCTGGCGATCCTCATATTCCTTCCACTACCACTCATGTTACTTGTGGATGTGGAACGAGGCAAGCGGGACGCGCTTAAATTAGCGGCGGACTTGACGGGCAAGTATGAACCTACTACACTCGAATATGGGACAATTCCCAATTTACAGCACGCCGACGAGGGCGAGGCGATAATAAGTGAATAAGATATGAACAGGGAAAGGAAGAGGCTGAATGATATATCACTGTTTAACAGCATTTTTTTTATGACATCATCAGGATTTGTTGCTTTGTTCTTTTTTTTACTCTGTGCGGAATGTCCTCTCTTACTATTCTCGCAAGGGAATATGGTTTAAATGGAGTGTGTGCTAATTGACGTTCATTGGGATATGGTTTTTGTTATTGCAGGTGGTGACTGGCTGGCCTTACGAAGAATATGATAGATAATGTCAATGCTGCTTTTGATTGCCTTGGTGGATCCTTGGTCTGGGGGCGATCCGGCACTAGTCCAGATACGTAGTCTTATGCACATCCATAATATCGTGCTCTTGTTAGCTTCCCATGAGACTCCATACAGGGTAGAAGGATCAAATAGATCATCGTAGCTGGCCAATAACGAGATTTTTCAGGCCTCACCGATTGGTTAGTAACAGGATGAATATTCTGGATAGGTGGTAACCTTGGTTGAGCGTTCGCTGTACTTGAAAGTGGATCAGCCAGCTGAAGCTATGGATTACGAACGAGTATTGTAATTACAGTACTGTACTTATGATTTAGAATCACAAACAACAAGTTTTATACTCTGTATGAGTACAAAGTACAGAGTACAATTGAAAGGAATGGCAGGTTTCAGTGCCCTAGGTACAGAATTACGATACATACATACTCCGTACTCCATGTACCTTGTTATGCGGTCCCTTGCGGTGCTTGGTACAGATGGGCTTGGCATGGCCAGTCAGCTCGTTCCATGACTGCAGAAAGAACAAACTGTCCTTATCGCCTGCCTCGGACCTTTCTTACTTAATAACGCCAGGCGCGTCGTCGCTCTCTTCCCATATATTGAACTCTCTTCCCCATCCACATCCTCACAGGTGTTTGTTGTTCCAATCTTTATTTTATTTTTGTGTCTTCATTCAGCTGCCGTGGGAATTCGGCATATTGGGATCACTTTCTTTTTCAACAACCTGAACTATGCGGTCTTTCGCACCCTGGGTTTTGAGCCTCGTCGGGGCTGCTGCTGTGGCCTCTGCCGCTGATGCAAATGCCGACATCAAATCTGATGTCGTTTCCTTGACCAAGGATACCTTTACCAGTTTCGTCAAGGAACATGACTTGGTGTTGGCCGAGTTCTTTGCTCCTTGGTGTGGCCACTGCAAGGCCCTGGCCCCGAAGTATGAAGAGGCCGCCACCGAGTTGAAGGGCAAGAACATCCCGCTTGTCAAGGTCGACTGTACAGCGGAAGAGGACTTGTGCAGAGACTACGGGGTTGAGGGTTATCCGACCATGAAGATCTTCCGTGGTCCTGAGTCCACCAAGCCTTATATGGGAGCTCGCCAGGCGGAATCGTAAGTCACCATTGACTGGGAAATACTTGAAAGTACATTACAGAGTGCTAACCGGACTGTATCCCTGATTAGGATTGTTTCCTACATGATTAAGCAGTCCCTTCCGGCCGTGTCCACCGTTTCCGAGGCCAATCTCGAGGAAATCAAGACCATGGACAAGATTGTTGTTATCGGATACTTTGACGAAAACGACAAGTCCTCCAACAAGGCGTTTACCACCTTTGCCGAGGCCCATAGAGATCACTACCTTTTCGCCGCTGCCAGTGACCCGGCCATCGCCAAGGCGGAAGGTGTTAAGCAGCCCTCTGTTGTTCTTTACAAGGACTTTGACGAGAAAAGGGCTGTCTACCCTGGAGAGCTGGAGCAAGACACATTGCTCAACTGGGTGAAGACCACTAGCACTCCCCTTGTTGGTGAAATTGGTCCCGAGACTTACTCCGACTACATTACGGTTCGTATCAGTTCCTCTGTGTTCGAAAGAGTCAAGCGTCTAACTTGAATTTGAAGTCCGGTATTCCGTTGGCATACATATTTGCCGAAACCAAGGAGGAGCGCGAGAAGTTTGTCGAGGAATTCAAGCCTGTCGCAGAGAAGCACAGGGGATCCATCAACATTGCCACTATTGACGCCAAGATGTTCGGCGCCCACGCTGGCAACCTTAACCTCGACCCTCAGAAGTTCCCGGCGTTCGCCATTCAGGACCCCGTGAAGCACGCCAAGTACCCTTATGACCAGGAGAAGGAGCTGAAGGCCAAGGATGTTGGCAAGTTCATCCAGGAGGTTATTGAAGGCAAGGTTGAGCCTAGCATCAAGTCTGAGCCTGTTCCCGAGACCCAGGAGGGCCCAGTTACGGTCGTCGTCGCCCGTTCCTACAAGGATATTGTTCTTGATGACGAGAAGGATGTTCTCATTGAATACTACGCCCCTTGGTGTGGACACTGCAAAGCGTAAGGAAAATCTCTCTATCACCACGTTCATGTTCTCTAATCAATTGTCGCATACAGTCTTTCCCCGAAGTACGACGAGCTTGCCAGCCTCTACGCCGATGGTCTTAGCTCCAAGGTCACCATTGCCAAGATCGATGCCACTGCCAACGATGTCCCTGAGCCGATCACTGGCTTCCCCACTATCAAGTTGTTCCCCGCTGGCGCCAAAGACTCTCCTGTTGAGTATCTCGGCACCCGGACTGTGGATGACTTGGCCAACTTCGTGAAGGAGAACGGCAAGCACCAAGCTGATGCTTACGCCGCTAAGGAAGCGAAGTCCGAGGAAGGCGATGAGGCTGCCTCGTCCGAGGCTCCTGCCGCTACCGGAGATGACCACGATGAATTGTAAACGATGATGCAGATCCGGAAATGTATTTTACCAAAGATCATCAAAATCCTTGATATCCCAGTTCACATAGGCTGTGCTCTACCGATTTGTTGTGTAAACGCTCCTCATAACTACTTACGTATGTTTTGCTTGCTTTTCGTGCATTATCACGTGCATGTCTACCATGGGCAAACCCTAGATCTATGATAATCTTTCATGAACATATCTAGCTTATGGAACTGGCCGCTCTAAGATGCCTTAAAAAAAAAAAAACACACAAACGCCATTTATCCAGACCATAGCTGCAAGTGTCAGGAATTCATTCAACGACTTTTTCTAAGTAGATGGGATATCGTTTGAAGCAGGTGGATGGTTTTCCTTGGTCTCGGGCTCGGCCTCCAATTTGGTTTTCAGTTCTGCGTTCGGTTCCGTTTTGGTGACCTGCACCGATACCTACTCTTGCTTTCGCTCTTCTGCGACCAGAGCTTCAAGAGCGTCAAAATCTTCGTCAAATTCATCTTCTTCGTCTGCTGGCTTTGCAGGTTTTCCGCTTTCCGCGACGGGTTTGGACTCTGTTGGCTTTTCGGCGGGGACCGTTGATTCCTCTTTTGAAACAATGGTGCTCTGGGTAGTAGTAACGGTACTTGTGCTGGTCTTCGGAACCAAATTCCAATCGATAATTTCATCTGCCCCATAGCGCTCTGCAAGCCAGTCATTGCACTTTCTGAAATGACCGTTGTTGAACTGTACACCGTCAGTATCCTCGACAAAACTAGTAGAGTGGTGGACTTACAAAGCCGCGCGATGCACTAAGCGGACTCGGATGCACAGATTGCAGCACATAGTGTCTCTTTCTGTCAATGCCCGCAACACGCTTCCCTGCAGGCGCTCCCCAGGCCAGAAAAACCACACCACGGGTGCGCACCCGCGCGATGAGATCAATCACCTTCTGAGTAAACCGTTCCCATCCCTTATTCGAATGACTGTTAGCCTGATGAGCGCGCACCGTCAGGCAGGCATTGAGCATCAGGACGCCGCGGTCGGCCCATGGTATCAACAGTCCGCCTTTGTTTGGTGGTGCCTGGAATGATGGATAGTCGTTCTTGATTTCTTTGTAGATGTTGATGAGCGATGGAGGAGCAATGGTTGGAGGACGGACGGAGAAGGCTAGACCGTGGGCCTGGTTGTGGTTGTGGTATGGGTCTTGTCCGACAACGACGACCTTGACCTTGTTCAAGGGTGTATGTTGCGTCCTGAATCCGTGTAAGCTGATGTTCCCTAATGTAGCAGAACCGGAGATGCGCAATACCAAGAATAAACCTCATTCTCTGGAGGAAATATTTTCGCGCCCGAGTCTTTCTCTTTCTTAAGGAACCGCTTCAGCTCCAGAAACTCCGGAGTTACCACTTCCTCCTTAAGCCGTGCCAACCAGCTCTCATCCATAGTGTCGATCTCGAGTTGAAGCAGAACTCTCTGCTCCGGCGTCAACGAATCCACCCATTTCTGCTTATTGAAGTTGGAGGGCACAACACTGGCGGGTCTGGCGTTGGCGTCGGCGTTGGCGGGTTTGGCCTTGGGGGCACCGAAGAACGAAGTGATGCTGCCATTGGTCTTGGTTTTCTTGCTGTCTGTCGCTGGGGATTTGAGATGGCCAGCATCCCGCTTGGTGCCCGCTGAGCTAGACATTGTACGTGGTGTTGATCTTTTGGCGGCGGCGCTGGTGGTAAAAGTGGTATAGAATGCGACGGAGCGCAAAGCGGGAAGATTGGACGCTGGTGAGAAATCGATGGGTATGTTATTAGGAGGGATGATCCTGGATATCAATTGTCTGCGCATATCTTTTCGTTATAGATCATATCAGAGCATCCCCAGAACGCGTCGTCGCGTTCGCGCGCGTGGCTGGATAAGACCCAATCGGGTAAAAGCCGAGAAGCTCACTTTGAGTAAGTGCGAGTACTAGTACGCACTGGTATACTCCGTACAAGCACAGTACTTCCCAAGAATCAAAGCATCACTATAAGCAAACATATAGCAGCACCATGTGAGATGGAGATTACCTGGGTCGCCAATACTCCCCAGACGCGGACTCGTTCAAGAGCTCCGCGGGCATGCACCAGCTGCCAACGGAAAAAGGTGATTATTCCTATGCAGTCGCAAACAGTCTGTTAAGAGCCCGTTTTCCATGTGAGGTCTTGAAAGCTAAGCGAAGCAAGCCACGACGGCATAAAGAAACGTTGTAATCATTTCTGGACTCAGCTAGGCACAGAACCCAGCCAAAGCCCGCGGCTAAATGATGAGAACCGCCATCATGACAATCAGGCCCAACAACCAACAAGTGAACAAATACAGTCTCCACCGGCTATTCCGGGTCCATCAGCTGGTGCCAGGATGCAGCGGTTCGTGGGGGATCTGAACCCTGAAGCTGTCATCCGCGAGAGACTGGATGGTCCATCCTCGAAGCCTTTAAGAGACCGGATTGGGTTGTGGATCAGCTCCGCCGGTCAGGATGATATCGATGGCGACGAAAATGCTTATGGAAGACAGCAAAGACAGCCGTCTGGCATAGAAATACCGTTCACGGCAGGCCTGTCATCTCAACAGCCCATCGCAGCATTCTTGCAGCGACGATATGCCGCTGCTCTACAAACCTGTGAGCGCCTCCCATTGCCGACCCGGGACCGGCTAATTCCTATTTACTTTTCCCGGGTCAATCACATTCTGCCATTGCTCGATAAGGACCTCTTTTTGAAAGCACACTCCGATGGAACGGCGTCTGTATTCCTCGAGAGGGCACTATGCTTGGTGGCAGCAAAAGACCAAGCGGCAGGGTCGGCATTGCGTCTGACTATTGATGGCCCGGTCTTGAGTTCTCGGCAGTTCTGCACCGAAATCTACAGAGGGCTTGCAGTTGCAATGAACGCAGGACTTGAGTCCGATCGTATAACCGGTATCCGTATTCTGGCGCTCATGTCGTTACATTGCGAGGGCTATGAAGGTGCAGAAGCAGCATCGATGAATATCTGCCAGGCTATTCACCAGGCTCAAACTGCAGGGCTACACCTGAATCGACCCGGTCGGGCACCAGGGGACTCGCTTTCTAAGCTTTTCTGGTGCCTTTGGACTCTAGATAAGATGCATGCCAGTATCGGCGGTCGCCCTATCATTTTAGCTGACCGTGACATCGGGATTGAGAAGCCTGATCTCAAGACTTCTGCGCCCCGGTCTGCCTTTGACGTTTGGCTGGTTATTTCTGACTTGCTGTCGACGGCGATATCGTTTTACCGACCTTCAGCAGATCATAATGTTGGATGGGAAGATAACTTTCCAACTTTTGAACAGATTGTCGGCGACGATATGCGAGACGATCTAGACTTTACAACTCTTGGTGCGCTACCTTTCTCCGGAATGCCGGGGGCCCAAATGACTAACAATGTAACAGGCATATTGGAACTATACTACCATGCAGTTGGCATTCTTTCATGCAGACCGAAACTGTCCGATCGATCTGATGGTTTGGAACCATCATATGTTCGCCAAGGTCTTGCGGCTGTCCGGATAAATTCTATTGTTGCTTCTGAATGCTCGCAAGATCTCCCACCTCTACCTGTCGTCCCATATGCTCTCTCCCTCTCAATGGGGGTCTCATATCAGCAGTTCCGCTCCAGTAAGCTGATCACTCATTTTGACCGAGCTAAGCGTGGCTTGGAAGCTTGTTGCGCCCTGCTAGAAGGATTTGGAACATACTGGTACTCTGCAGAAGCCATGGCTCGATTGGGACGCAAAGCATTGCACCACATCGAGGGGCTGAAGCCGGAAACTCGTGGACATGGCTTTGAGTCCGAAAAGCAAACGTCAGCCGGCAAGGTATCCGATTTTACTGTTCCAGCGTCGGCGCCTGCCATGGCATGGCCATCCTATCATCATCCAAACGATTTGACTTCTTCCGGTGAAGTGGCTCCTCGCGAGGATTTAGCCACCACTTCTGCTCAGGATATTTCCCCGCTGGAATCCTTGGATGTGGGAGGACCTGACGTTCCCGGAAATGACAGTTTCGCAGATATAGATATGCTTTTTGGGGATTTCCTGGATCTGTCTCTCCCGACCAACTTCTGGGATCCCGTGTTCTTCACCGAGGAAGGCCACAGCGATGGAGCAGTTTGACTGCTGTTTCGTGGTACATAAAAGGGTAGAAAAGAAAACGAACGACAATACATGATTGTACGCATTTCTCAGCGTACTCTGTTCAGAGACATGTATACAACAACAATCGTGGTCTTTCATTGGCTCATAAGATATATCCGGGCTGTGCCCATCGTCATCACCGGCAGTGACAAAATAGACGCCCATAACATTACTATTAATATTACACCCGTACCATCATCATTTGGACCAGGCTCGGACTGTGCGAATAGGAACAGACCTGATGGGTCTAAGATGTCAGTCATAGCACGGACCCCATTCAAAATGTGACTGGATTTAAATGCATCACTCCATGAGGCGAATGATGTGGAATAGGAAGACAACAGCTCTGAAACAGTTCAATTCTCCGAAATGACATGCGATCCTCCGTGACCGGCAGCGGAACCACCCACGAGGAATAGGAAATGAGGCTCATCTCGTCTTTTTTCTCCGTTTACGATATTCTTCCGAGTCCTTTCTCCAGAATAGGTAACGGTTCTTGTCGGCTCTTTATCTCTTGTGCTAAAATTAAAAAGGACAACGGGAATTGGCTGTTGAATAGTCGGTCCGTGTGGAGTTGTCCACCAAACTCCCGCGAGTCAGATGAAGGTTCACCACGAAATCACGGTAACCTTCATTTCCCTCACCAGAGAAGAAGAGGAATTATGAACGATAAGGAAGAGGGAAGAAAGAAATATGTATCGTCGACCACGGCTTCGATTATAATCGACCATCTAAGCTAATTGCATCGGCTTGTTGCACCCTGGTGTTTTGCCCCTGACTCGGTCCTGTACTTATTCCTGCTTTCCCTTTGGTTCTCGGTTTTTCCCGTTACTTTTTGCTCATTTCTCCATCGTGCTATTCTGTTCATCGCCATATCTTTTGTTACGTGTTGCTTGTCGGGCTTGTCTGGAGTTCCGCCGAACCTGAAACATCGTGTCCGCGACGGGCAGCCCGTAATCCATTGTTATTCGGTCTTGTCGCATAGCAATATTACGTGGGATTGCCGGTGCGGCAGTGAACTCGTTCTTTATTTGCTGCTTCAATTAAATCTTATTGTTGTCGCTGTCGCTGTCGCTGTCGCCTAATATCCAAGTATCGCGTGTGCTGAATTGGCATTACATGTGGCTGCTTTTCTTTTCTTTTTTTATTCTATAACCCTACTGAAACACCGCTTCGTGTCGGTCTCGCATTGAATACCTATTTGTATATATCGCGCTCTGTTCCGCCGTGATGGACATGTTGTTTGGACGAGGGATCAGTCGCTGACGGCCCTCTGGATGTTGAACACATGCGATTTGAATCGGTCAGGCGCATGCAAAGCTTTTTCTCGCTGCTCATCTGATGTGCATGTGGAGAAGTATATAACATCCAACCTACATTTGTATACCGGCAGCTCCCCAGCAACTTATGATTGACGGGCCCCGGGCCATTGAAGGTTCTATTGCAAATGGCGCCTATCTCGAAAGCTCATGAGCAACACGGTGTCTCAGCTGGCACGGAAAAAAGAAAACAGGTTGATTCTCCTGCTCACCCGATCTCCCAGTTGCAAGGCCCCTTTGATGAATCGATTGTGGAAGCTATTGAAGGAACGGAGAATGATTGGACGGTTGAGTTGGACGCTCAGTCCCGGCGCAGGAACCTACTTGAGAATGCCAATTATGAGAGACTCTGTGGTAGACGATGGCGCCAGAGACCTGGTGAAAGGCAAGCAGTCAGCCGGTCTATCAATCTGCAACACTGACTGACTGGAAACAATCGCAGGTATCATCCGTTCTGGAAACTCATTGCGCAAATGTCATTCGGTGTTCACCTCCTAGTGAAAGGGCTAGCTAAATCGGATACCGAAGTTCTCAAGATCCTTCAAAGTCATGTTGACGAGATGGACGGGTTCCTTGAAAGGACTTCGGAGGATTTTCTGATCATTCAACTCGACCTTCGCACCCGAATTCAATATCTCAGCTTGCCTCTGCAGAACTTGGACGTGTTTGACGGAATGCTTGCGGATCGAAGCTTCCGGCTTTCCATGATTGGTTATAACGACCAAATTGAACATGCCATTGAGCGCTTCTCGCTTACAGTCAAAGATGCGCTTAAGGATATATCCAAGGGAAAAGAGGCTATTCGTGCCTTGTGGCACTACCTATGGCAGTCTGCCACGGAAAATGTCCCTCTGCCCAACCACATGCAGGCTGTATTTGATTCTATGGCTGCGAACGTCGAAGGATGGAATAACACCTTCTCAAGGTTGCGCAAGAAGGGAACTGCCCTCGAATCCGCGCTTGTCCAACTTGGCCGGGCTGTGACGGAGATGCAACGGCGCGTAGGCGTGGCGAGCAGGAAAGACAAGGTTCGTACATGGTACCATCTGTCTAATTAAATACCGTCAGCCCCTAACGTACGGCAGGTTTCATCTTTAAATACTCCCCAGAGCCAGAGCCTACCCCCTTCAAGGTCACTGAGAGAACGACTATTTGAGAAAGGGCCATCCGTCTCCAGCCGTCCACTCTCTGACAAACCACTACCACATGATCCTGGCTTCACTAGACCAGGGTCCTCGCCAGGAATTTCCAGACAAATTGGAAGTCGAAGAATGGCCCAGAAGAGCGTCCCGAATCTTAGAGCCGCTAAAGCTTCGGACAGTCCCGCTACAGCAGAAAGCACCTCTGGCCGTGCACGATCCGCCAACGAGGCGACAGAAAGTGACCCTGGCGCTGACACGGTTGCCCCGAAACTTCACAGAAGTTTCAGTAGGAAGCTCTCAAGGGTTATGCTACCAAAACGATCTGCGAGTGAGGACTGCGTAACCACGCAGAATCGACCTAATTCAGAAAGGCCCAATACACCCAAACATCGGAGTATTTCCTTGGATCGTTTGAAAACTAAACGTGCGAACAGGGATACGCCTGCGCCAGAGGTACCGCCAGTACCACCTGTTGATACACCAATTCCGCCACGACCCTCAACAAGACAGGAGAACATGAAGGATCAAATCCTACAATACTTTAAGACAGACCAAGTAGCAAATGCTTGGGAAACGGAGGCAGCAGAGAAGAAGGAAAAGAAGATCACCCGCCGTGCCTCTTTGAAACTAAAGGAAGGCCCATTGAGTGCATTCCGCAAGAGATCATCGAACGCACTTCGCACCTCCGAAAGACCTCAGTCTGCAGTACCATTTGAGAGGGACTTGGATAGGCAAATGGCCTGGCTCCAGGAGGAAACGGCAGCTTTGGATACGTACTCGCTGAAACCGAAACGCGAGGTTTCACCGAGGCTACATGTTCTTGACGTTCAGTCGGAACTTACTGAGGAGGTTGAGGAAGAGGGCAGATTAACTGATTATGGTGCTGGTGAAACCGGAACTACAAAGGGAGATGCTGAGTCGTTAATAACGGCCCTTCCTTCTTTTCCACTTCCGCCGGTAAGGGTGCCTCCTTTCTTCGTTTCCTATGTAATTATAGACGCTAACTATGAACAGATTACTGAGGTCCGCACTGCTTCACCGACATAGCAGCAATCTGACGTTTCTGATGATCGTTTTATCCATTCTGGGATATCATTTCCCATTTACCGACCCGTCAGCCCACATGACCCCGTCTCAAGGGTCCAACCCAGATATGGGATAGCCTGAAACCTGGCCAAGGGAAACTGCGTCAACAGGCGGCCTCGCATATCCTACAAATCGCAAGAATCGCTTCGGTCATCTGCGTGGTCATAACACCCGGGATACTCGGACACCGGGTTCCTACACCACCCTATCCGCGCGCACCCCCAAATGAAGGGATCATGCCCTTTCGACGTGACACGTACTCCGGCACCTCCACGAAAATCCATCTATTCTCTCATCCCGTCGGAGAATACGGGGGGAATCCGTCCGGCATATAGGCAGTGATCCTCTTTCTGATACGACACGTATCCTTTGAAACAGGAGACGGCGGGGCGAAGAACAAAGCACGAACAGCGCGCCTATGAATTTATGAATATGGGGACTTGATGTATATTTCATCCCCAATTTGGGTGTTCCGTACAATACCCATGTATATAAATCTGAAAATAATCCATATTTGAGAATTCTATACCCAACACTGCTTACACCCGCGAATTTCTTTTTTCAACTTGAAATTGAGGGATAAGATAATGAATGAGAAAATAACACGACCAATATCCAAGAGGACAAAGGGGGAAAAGAAGAAAGAAGAAGAAAAAAGTTGATGACATTACTCGTATAAATGAAGCGATTTTATGATATGAAGGATCATTGCTTTCATCCTTACACAAGCACCCTTAGTTCCTGACACTCGTCCACATCCCACTTAAGTAGCGCAGAAAAACGCCCTGAAAAAGCAACAAAACGGAAACAAGCAAACCACCTATTCAATGACCGCATGCGCAAGGGGTTCTCGAAATATAGATAGAAAATCAAATAGTAGGAAGAAATAAGAAAAGATTACTTGCAACGCTTCTCCACAATATTCGGCCCATGCTCATCAAACTCCTTCTTCGAGATCCACATCTGGTGGAAAGTTCCCAAACTAGCAAGGATACTTCCACCAACCCAAGAGCCAAACTTCCGCTCCGATGTGTTACCAGGTGCCGATATTCTCACGCGAGGACCGGGGAAAGTCTGCATAAGCTCCTGGTTCAGACGATCCGTGAAGCCATAGAGCAAGCTGGAAGCTCCAGTGACAACGACGTTCGCCAGCAGGTGAGGGCGGATGTCAACATCGACGCCGTTGAGGGCGCTCTTGATAAGTTCCGTGACTGTTTGTGCCTGCGTCGGCGCGGGGAACGGCGATTCAGGGTCGGCAATCGCGGCTTTGGCGTCGAACAGCGATTCCACCACGCGGTAACGGTCAACGCCAAAGAGTTGGTTGTAGCCGTCGGGGAACTCGAACGGTCGTGCTGGGGTGGTCTTGGCCATTTCTTCGTTCGGAACGCCGCCGGGGCCAATGGCAGCGAGCTTGGTTGGGCCGGGCCAGACCTGGACGACGGATTCCTTGAACTCGGATATCGAGCGCTCCTCGAGGAGGGTTCGGTAGGATGCGTCTGGTGCCTTTTCGGGAGGGAAGGTCTTGTACTTGGCCTGCGCGGGCTGGCCTGCCTCGACGCCGGTCTTGGAGGAGATGAGATAGTGAGGCGTGATGGTGATCGGTTGGGGGGAGTTGTTCTTGAACAGCGCGCGGATTTGCGACGAGATGTAATCGCCTCCCAGAGGAGAATGTTGGACACCACGTTTCAAGATCATGCCGTCATGGACTGGGGTCACCGAGATGTTGGAAGCGCCGATATCGACTACAAGGGCAGATGCCTTTCCTGCAGCAAATCTGAAAGAGCTGTTAGCAAGACGAATGTCCTCCTTCAAACTGCGCGAACAGAGGAATTTACGGCTACTTACGCAGAAAGAACACCATTTCTCGCCAGGTAGAAGGCTGGAGTTCCCCAATTCTCCATGGCAATCTCGATAGTCTTTTCGCGCGCCTTGGTGGGATTCCACCCGCACTCCGACATCAAAAGCGGACTATCTGCGAGGGGCTTCTCGGTATCCTCAACTTCCATGTCCGTGAGAAGTTCGCCATTAGAGACATCATTTAAGCCATTGTGCAAAGGATTCCCTGGCTTAGCCCCTGTTAAACGCGACGCGAACGAATATTCCCACACTTTCTCTGCCATATCCCAGTCCTCCACGATCCCATCTCTACCTATCGGGTTGTGGATTGACAGCCCGGGGCGGGGAGTGACGAAGACATCGTCGCCGAAGATAAGCTTCTCTTGACCTTCGTAGGAATATTTTCCATAGTATGTAGGGACCAACGATTTCGGGGCGTCTTCTCCAGCGAAACCGGCGCGCGTGGTGGAAAATCCGGGATCGAGCACAATGGCAGAAACCTCATCTATACGCGTCATACATTAGCATCGACCATTGTGATTTGGAAGGAGAGTAAATAGGCTGCTCGAAATGCGCCCTGTATGTCTGGGTTGGACGTACCTCCGCCGTATTCGGCCGTTGAAGGTGGGATTGAAGGATTCATGGTGGATAAAAGACAGCCAGTCTGGCAGTCTAGATGGAATTGACAATATCCCTAAGCCAGAATGGAGCTTCAGGGTTTCGCGAGAGCAATGGTTGTGGAAGAAAGAGTGAGAGTGAAAGTGGAGTGGTAGATGTCGAGAGTGAAGAAAGGATCGGTGTTTGGGTGCCGTTTGGAACCTCGCCATTTGTCGCCGCCGCCGGAGTTGTAGCTTCAACATCTTTGACACCTTCAACGACCTCGTTTATAGCTACAACCAAGTTTTTTGTTTTTTTTTTTTTTTTTTCTTTTCATCTTACGTTCCGAGAAAGAAATAGTTATTCCTGTATTTTTGCGACATTTCCTACAAGACAACGGATATGGACACAGAGCTTCAACCGGCCCCCGAATCGCTCTTTCGGCCGGTCAAGAGACGAAAGTTCCTGCGACGCCGTCCAGACCACGAACAAGAAGACAGCGAAGTGAACGGTGATAGCGGTCGCGATACAGAGAGCTCTACGGCACAAACACCCCAAGAAACAGATGACGTTGTTCGCTTTCGACGGCCTCAAAGGACTCGGAAAGGTGGTATTGAGTTCTCAACCACCGGTTCGCGCCAGACCACCGACAACGATGCTCAGGCTGTAGCACAGCGATCCGCAGAAGAGACTGAAGACGAGAGACTACGAGCGATGTGTGATCGATTTACCGTACATACGGGGCAAACAGTGGACGTGGATAAGCACATGTATGGTCCCTTTGCCACGCGATATCTTCTTTATGGTTTGCCTTTCTGTCGGCAATGGGGACTAACAAGATAAGGATGGATTTTATAGAAACCGAAATGGCTAAGCGTCATCGGCGTGATATGCCCAAAGATACCTCTGATTCAGAAACTACTACAAACGAAGCCATTAGTGGACCGGCCGGCAGCACCAACTTTGCGCGGCGTGAACCAGCGACTCTTGGTAAATTACACGAGATCGATCTCGGCCAGGAGACCAAGCTACAGAATATCGCGCGAACAGAGGCCGCGACGAGGCGACTTGCAGGAAGTGGTGATGCAGCAGCAGCAACACCCGCGGAAAATACCAGTGAGAAGACTGCAGTCGAACAAGACAGGAAAGCTTGGCGAGATCGCAAACGACGAAGTAGCAGAGATATTGAACGAGATCGACTGGTTGAAGAAGTGTTGCAGGAGAGCAAATGTGAGTCAATCTACCCTTTATCTTACGACATTATCCCTATTGACATGATTGTGATAGTGGATGTATATGATGAACCGGACGACGAGCCACGAATGGATGATATGGCGGCCGATGACCGCATTGCCGAACAATTCCGGAGAGACTTTATGGATGCGATTCAATCACGCCGGCGGGTGGCGCGACAGAAGAACACGACGACCACCAAGGCGGCCAAGCCAGAGGTTACCAAAGGACCAAAACTTGGGGGGAGCCGGAGTGCAAGAGCAGCGATGCGGGAGTCGCAGAAGACTCAGAAATGAGCAATTGTCTTTCCTACCTGCGTGTCTATGATGAGACAGTAGCATGGACGATTGATTGGCCGTCAAGACATTTATACTCTGAGTAACATGACCAATACAAGGACGGCCTGGAAAGAAGGTTTGGTATTCCAGGGCGATAAGTCTTGCCCGTCTTTTGTCGATAGTGGGTATTTTATGATACCTGTATAAAGTCGTGACTCAAACCGCGGCCAGGGATGTAGATATGAATCGAGGGATAATTGTTACTCTACATATGATTGTCTACAGGGCAGTCCCTGTAAAATAGGCGAGATTCAGCAAGGACCGACCTGGATTCTAGGGTGGGAGGAGGCTGGCCCACCGGGTGGAGAGCTGTGTCTGATTTAGATATCTCAATAAGCGCCTAGTTAAATAAATGTGATTATTCTTAGAAGCGGCGGTTTTTTTTTTATAGATTAAGTGATATCAGAATGCATGGATTTGTATTCGTTGGAGAGAAGATATTCAAAGCATGATGATCCTGGGTTCTAGATAGGGTGCCCCTGGTTTATGATTACTGGAAGCAGTAAATGGGGTACTCCGTACATTCTTGGAGACGATGATCAACCCCATTGCCACCGCCCGAATGGGGTTAGTGCATATAGCATGTGGCGGTTAAGTGTGGCGCGTGCCTGGAACAGTGTGGGTCTTTGTCCTTTATTTAGCACTTTATTTAGTGTACTCCGTAGTACATACTTTGTACATAATTGTGTTCTATCCTTCTGTACTCTGAAGCCGTGCTATGTAGCACATGCCAACCTGGATAAACGCTTTAACATGTAGCTATACTCGGTACTCCGTCCAACAAGCAGAGAAATTCGTGCATAACCCCCCCCCATGTAGAGTCTAGACGGTCTGATGGCGGCATTAGCGCCCGCTCCTTAGACCGACATACTGGTCCAATCAGAACGTTAATTTATGCGGAATTATGGAGCGACCATTGGCCACCCATGAATCTCGTCCGCGAATCAGCGGGGGTGAACCAACAGCAGAGAGCGCTTAGTCAGTCAGGGGCAGCCACAACTGTCAACTGCTTGTTTGAAACATGCAGAATAGGCCGTTGGGTCGATTTTCTCTTCAATTCTCTCTCTCTCCTCTCTGTCTCTCTTTCTCGTCTGCTTGTTTGTATAGTTATGCGATTTGTTTAGCCATTCTCTCTTTCGACTGACTCTCTTTCCGTCGTTATCAATTCATCCAGTCTTTCTTTCATTGCGAACTCCCCCTTTAGGTTTTGCGAGATCTCCTTTTCCCCTCCACCACCACTCGTTATTGCATCACCAGCGTCAAGAAGGGGTCTCTCCCTCTGGCTCCCCTTCGGCCATTTGAATTGACCAGCCAAACCATCCATTGACTCGTCCATTCCCTCGTTCGACTGCGAGGGTAGGACTCGAATGCGATACTAGCTACTACCACCCATCCAACGAGTCCGATTGACTGTCTCTGCAAGCCTCTTGATTGATCGCTCAAACAGACAGACGCTCCTTGTTCGGTTTCTTGATTCTTCACTCACACTCGTCTTTCTTTTCTTTCTTACCCCGGGTTGATCCTGGTCGAACTGGCTAGTCCAGTCCAAGCGCTCTGTTTCTCGCATACCCTCTTTTTAATACCGAATTGATCGAATCCTCGTCTACTCCGACTACTACTATCTCCCACGCTCTCTTACACTCTATCGCATACATATCGCAGTATCAGCTTCCGTTTCTCTTCCCTCGTTCTCTTTCGACGTATGATCGTGTCTTGAATCGAATTGTATATCGCAACTCCCTGTCAACATGCGGTTCACTCTTTTCGCCCAGGCTGCCTTGTTCGCACTGGGCTCTTTGCCCTCGCTGGGTCTCGCTGGCGGTACTCTTAGTACTAAGGGTCTGTCTTCCTGTCAGACTGACTCTGAAATCGAGATCCAGGACCTCCAATTTACATACACTCGTTCCACCAAGGAAGTCGTCTTCAATGTGGCCGGAACCAGCCCAAAGGAACAGAATGTCACTGCCTCCATTACCATTTACGCCTACGGTAATAACATCTATTCGAAAGAATTCGACCCTTGCAGCCCCGATTATCGCATGGACCAGCTGTGCCCAGGTAGGTCATACTTCTTTGCTATATCGCTCTATTTACATTTCGCCCTCTAACTATTCTATTCACAGTCCCCAAGGGTCCCTTTTCCGCTGGTGGATCACAGCAAATCCCTGCATCTTTCGCCAGTCAGATCCCGTCCCTCGCCTTCGCCGTCCCTGACTTGGATGGGCAGGCGGAATTGAAACTGACTTCCAAGAAGAGTGGAGACGAGGTCTCTTGCGTGCAATCGGAATTGTCCAATGGCCGGTCCATGCAAACCAAGGGCGTTTCTTATGCTGCTGCCGGTGTGGCAGGGGCCGCTTTCGCAATGAGCGGAGTCTCTGCCGCTGGTTTTGTCGGCCACGGCGCGGGGGCAGCCACCGGGATGGGCCATGGGCCAGGCTTCGCCCAAGTCATGGGGTGGTTCCAAACAATGGCCACCAGCGGCATGCTCAGCGTCAACTATCCCACCATTTACCGCAGTTTCTCCAAGAACTTTGCCTTCAGTACCGGTCTGATCCCTTGGGGCTCAATGCAGCAATCAATCGATTCCTTTAGACGAACCACCGGCGGCAATCTTACGGACAACAACTACGATTTCCTTCGCAATGCGTCTGTCGAGTTCTCTAATGGATCGTCAAGCTCGTCCAAGGCCAAGCGTGGTGTTGATATGGCAATTGGTGTTGCCGATTTGGTCAAGCGTGACGGCGACAGCGGCGATGGCGGCGGATTTCATCACTTTGTCTCTGGTATTGAGGCCTATGCAGAACAACTCACCATTCCCCAAGCCAATACCTTCATGACGGTACTGCTGATCTTCGCCATTGTTGTGGCCTCTATCACTGTTGGCATTCTGCTCCTCAAAGTTATCCTCGAAGTATGGGCCATGTACGGAAAATTCCCGGAGAAACTCTCGAACTTTCGCAAAGACTACTGGGGTCTCTTAGGGCGTACCCTTACCAACCTGATTCTCGTTCTCTACGGAACGTGGGTACTGTACTGCGTCTATCAACTCAGCAGTGGGGATTCCTGGGCTGCCAAGCTCCTTGCCTGCGCCACGCTTCTTATTTTCACCGCAGTCTTGCTGTTTTTTGCCTTCCGGATCTTTTTGTTGGCTCGCAAATACCAGCAAACGGAAGGAGACGCTTCCAGTCTGTTCGATGACAAGGACAACTGGCGTAAATACAGCCTCTTTTACGACAGCTACAAGAAGGACTGCTGGTGGCTGTTTGTTCCAGCCATCATGTACATGTTCATCAAGGGCTGCATCATCGCTGGCGGAAACGGCCACGGGCTGGTCCAGACGGCCGGTCAGCTGATTGTGGAAGCTCTGATGTTGGCTCTTTTGCTGTGGTACCGTCCCTATGTCGCCAAGTCGCACCAGTGGATTAGCATCACCATCCAGGTAGTCCGTGTTTTGTCGGTGATCTGTGTCTTGATCTTCGTCGAAGAGCTGGGCCTTTCCCAGACCACCAAAACTGCCACGGGCATCGTCCTCATTGTCATCCAATCCACTCTCACTGGCGTCTTGGCCATATTGATTGCTACAAATGCGATCATGGCGTGCGTCCGCGAGAACCCTCATGCCAGGCGGAAGAGAGAAGCTGGTAAGTTACATTTTCTCTTTGATCATTCTTTAACAGCTGCTAACACACATTTTCCAGAAAAAATGGATCGTGACATCGATGACCTCACACCACTCGATGCACGGCAGTCGCTGCTCATGGAGAACCCTCCGCGCAAAGAGTACGCCGAAATGGCCAAGTTCAACCACACCGGCCCATACGGTCCCTATAAGGACCAGGTGCACGTCCGTTCCAGTCCTAGGGGAAGTACCGATAACTTGGTTGGCGCTGGTGATCTCGAGAGCGGCCACATCGGCCGAAGTGAGAGCCGACAAAGTCGTGACAGCCATAGTTCAGTGGAAGGGCATGAGCCCACTAAGCCTGCATCTGGTTTGGCTAAATGAGTCCAGTGGACTTGATGGATTTTTACGACATTTTCTCTCATTTAGCTATCAATTTGGCATCTCCTTTCTGCTTTGGTTCTGTTTTGGGTGGCTTGACGACTTTATCGCATTGGGACGGTCCTTTTTTATAGATCTTCGAGTTCATTCATTCCTTTATTTCGTTGTATCTTTCGTTTTAGATTTTTGGATTATACTACTTTAGCCAGCCTTGTATTACTGTTTATCTGAAAAAGGTTATGTGATTTATTTGCTTGTATCTTGTCTGATAGTGCAATGGTTGTACAATTACAGCCGTATATTTACGACCGAAAATAGGGCTTCCCGTCCAGAAGTGATAAGTACAGTATTGTCTTGAAATTGATTTTTCCATCCATACGAGTCTTACACATGACCATCCCTCAGAATAACTGGTAAACCGTTGTAGTGTAAACACATACCTGGGCGATGGAGAGTGTACTCCGTATTATATACTGATATGCATTGAACAGCCAATGTACATGGGCCCTGTATTCTCTGGAATTCTTCAGCTAAAGTCAGTCCAAAAGTTGCTTTTTGCCTACTATGCAGCCTGAAACTTGTCCCGCTCTTTTCTTGAAAGAATCTAGCGAATCATCCTATGCTCATCGCGTTGCAGCCCGCATCTTACCATTATCACACTACCTCTGGACTGGACTCAGCGTACAAAACTAGACTTGTTTGTAACTAGTCCAAATCAGCAACTGTTGTTTAGACGAGATGTCAAAGAATCCACACTTTATTATCTTTCCAGTTTACGTTCCTTTGGACTTCTCAGGGATCTTGTGACCCATTGGCAGGCGTTTTCAAGACTCTGTCAAGGAAAGACAATGGATGGATGATCAATGGATATTTAGGTGGTGAATGAAGCTAGCGAGCTAGGCTGGGACAGAGGATAAAGTGCGCAAAGGCCTGAAATATGTAGCAGGACTAGTTAAGTCCAACTCTTCCCCATGGAACTTCGTATACCTTCTATATCTCCCATACCAGACGACAATTGAAGGTTTAGGGCTTTCCCTTTCTGTCATCGGTCCAAACTAAATGGTCGTGTATCACTCCGCTATCACTGCTCTCTGCATAAAACTGCTCGCTCCCCCTGACTGGATAGTACCAGCCCCCGATGATAAGCAACTGCTGAGCTAGTTAGTTACAGCACCCGAGCTGACTAAGGAGACAAAAGTTTGTACTGTTACGACACCTCTTTGACAAATGGTAGACAACTCAGATTCAGGAAAGAAGAAATGAAAGCAAGAGAAGTTTGTTATTTCAATTAGATAGTCAATAGCTAAACAGAAACTTCAAATGCTGAGAATGGTAGTTACTCCTCATCTTCGTCCTCATCGTCTCTCCTCTCCCACCTTTTGTTGCTCTCGGTCATTGTTCGATGCATCTCAACAGCCAGAGTCGTTCCGATAATATCGGCTCCCAAGTCCGAGACCAACATGTCGCTGAATGTATGAGACACAAGCGAAAGGGGCAGTTCCAGGCCCGAGAGGTCCCGGGCGAGGGATCTGAGAATCGACCAGCCTAGATACTTCCCGGACAAAGGCCAGAACTCATTAAAGCTGCCAGTAGTAGAAGCGAAGGCTGTGTTTCTAATCATCTTAGCATATAGGTATGTAACTAGGAGACCGGAAATATAGATATCGGCGGGCTGGTCTGTTCGGCGTTAGGAACGTTAGTTGCCTGTTATCTAATTCCTTGAGAAACGTTAGTAGGGCCACCGAAGACTGCGATGGCGCAAAAAAGAGACAAAGGGGATACCTACCTTATAGCGAATGAAGGTTGGATTGAACCCCACTACTCCGTAGGCAATTTCATCCCAGATGCTCTGGTCGACCAAGACACACTTCCATTGATTCTGATGCGTTGTGGATGAAATAGGCATAATCGCTATCTTCCCACTGTCCAGGGAGATTTCGACAGTCTTGTGCGGAAAGGCCGTTGCGAGCATCGTTAAGAACAACCTCTTTGAGCCCAAAGAGAAACGCGATCCCCTCATCGATCAGAAGCTCCGGGTCCAGATGAGCAGTCTTGACGTGCTCTTTGGGCCACCACAAATTGGTTACGTGACACCATGCTAAATACATCTCCTGGTCGCTCGCACCATAGCGTGAGATAATGCTCTGTCGAAACCCAGGATCATGTTTCAAGCATGCGACCTTGGCCTTCTTCAAGCTTACCTCCATCACCATGCACGAAACGAGTGGAACTCGTATACGCCATTTCGAGAAATTCCAACGCCGGTTCTTTACCCCGTGAGCCTTTTGCGTGAGTATCAGTTTCCAAATATTGTTCAACCAATCTCCTTTGCCCGCTCAGGATTCGCAGGTCTCTGGTCCTCAGTGCAATTGCTTCCACGACTGCCTGGAGTTCAGCCTGGAAATCCTCGTTTGAAATGAGAGTTTCTGATTCGAAGAGGCCCTCTTTATATGCCATTAACGTCTCTTGCTGCGAAGTAAGCTCTGCAATCCTATCGTCTAAGAAATATGAAATGGCGGACGATGCAAGCCCTTGCGATGTGTGTTTATAACATAGAGGGGTTGCCTTGGCCATGATGAAAGAGGAACAAAAAAATATTAAATAGATCTGCTTGTAATCAGTACTAACTGAGAAGTAAGAGAGCGGCCCTTGAAGATGGCTATGGTAAAGACTAGGCAGCTGCATGAATCACTGCCTGCCATTAACCTGTTTGTGGCCCAGGAATCTACTGGGGCCGTCAGGTTATATGTTTGTTTAGTATGCCTGATGTGGTGTTGTATATTGCTTTTATGCAGCCAGAATTCAACAAATATATTCAGTGGATAGCTAATGGGTATGGGAAAATAAAAAAGACGAAACCGAAGAGAAAAGCGAGACTACCTACACCCCCTTCTTCCCATCCGCGAGATCTCGCCCGTATCAACATGTTAACTCCTAGTGTCGATACTGCTATTCAGGTGTGATCAGAACGCAAGCAAGCATCTTTACACACCTTGATTGCAATAATATCTCAATCATACCGCCATACAAGCGAGTCATTCATCGAGATCTGAGTTTCGGTCATAGTCATCATAGCCGGTGTCATCATACTCGTTGTCATTGTACCCTTGGTAATCGTTTTCATCATCGTAATCATTATCATCATAATCATTGTCATCATAATCGTAACCCTCGCCAAATAATGAAGAGTTTTTCGGTCTTTCACCATCTGACAAGACCTCGCTAGACGGATGTGGTCCTACTTGCACCGGATCTACATACATTGCTCTCCGTCAGTAATGAGCTGGCCTTTAAATTTTTCAAAAGCCAAGTTTCTGCCAGGCTCTTGAAAGGGCGGAGGCGGAATTTTTAGGGCTAAATGTAAACGAACTTGTGGGACCGAGTACTCCCACATGAGGACATGCTTGTGTATGCACGGTACAGATACATTCTGTCACATACAAAAGAGAGCAGTGAATCAATGCCAAATAATAGCAAGAAGAAAAATATCATGCTCAGGCTATTGTTTGTGTTTTTGCTCGAAAGGGAAGAAATAAAACAAGGCAAAGTGAGATAAAGAAGAAAAGACGTATTCAAACAAAGGGAAAGAAGGAAAAACGCCGGATAGCTTATTTCGCAGCAGTTCTTTGCAAAGGAAAACAGCATTATCAAGTGGGCAGATTAACCATGGCCTTTCTTCTCTCCTTTTCATTTCCTAGCTTCGAGAGTAAGGATGGAAGCCTCGGTGTCCTCCGCGGCCTCCTCCACGGTAGTTGGCACCGGGTTTCCCAGCGTTCTTAGGGCCCGTCGGGGCGTTTGCCGGCGGAGTACCCTGGGGTTGAGGAGTAGTCCCTGTATTATGTCAGTATGTTGTTGATCCACTATGAAAAGTAATGGTTATGGAGTGCATACCACGTCCCATACTTCCGGCACGTGTCATACCTTGAGGTCCACTTGGGATGTTTGGTTGGGGAACTTCATCGTACATGCCCTCCCATGAGGTCGGGCCGCCCTGCTGATACGGCGAGAAACCGCGGTTGTCCACGACGCGACGAGCCTGCTGCTGTTCGTACTTCTGCTGCTCGAACGCAATCTGTTCATGAGCGTTATAACCGGGTCCGCCACGGTTTCCCGTGAAGTTGCCTCCTGCACCTCCTCCTCCTGCTGCTGTTGCTGCCGCTGGTGAGCCAGCACCGCTGCCGTTATTGCCCATACCCATCTGGCCTTGCATGCCTCCGGTGGCCGCGTTGTTGGCTTGGCCCTGGCCCTGGCCCTGCATTTGCTGCATCTGTTGCATCTGCTGTATCATAGCGGGGTTCATTATGTTCTGCATCTGCGGAGTGGGACTCTGCGACGGAGGACTCATGCTTCCCTGCTGCTGGTTGTTGCCCATTTGCATCTGCTGCATCTGTTTCATCTGCATCTGCTGCATCATGGCCGGGTTCATTCCACCCATTCCCATACCGCCCATGCCGCCTTGACCCTGTGCGGCTGCGACGGCCATTTGCTGTTGCATCATGGTAAAGTATTGCTGCATGCGCTGCCAATACTGTGCCATCATCTGAGGAGTAATGCCAGGACCCATGCCAGCTTGGCCTGCAGCGCCTTGTTGCTGAGAGCTATCGACGCCAGCCTGACCTGCATCGCGGAAACCTTCCCGGCCGCGACGCCTCCGCTCCTCTTCATCGCGCAGGTTGCCCCGTGGCTGGGCCTTCTTGACCTCGATGGGCTTGCCCAGAATATCGAGGGGCCGCGATAGAGCCGCTTCAACTGCCGCCTCACTGTCGAACGTCACAAAGCCGAAGCCACGAGGGCGGCCGGTATCCTTGTCGATCATCAAAGTCGCATCGATAACACGGCCGAATTGCATGAAGAACTGCTTGAAATCCTGCTCGTTCGCTTCTTGGCTCACACCACCGACGAAGATCTTGCTTGTTTTCTCTTGCTCGTCGCGGGGAATCGCACGTTTGGGATCAATCTTTCGTATATCGTAAGTTTATGTCTTTTTGCCCGAGAGGGAGAGGATATTAACTGCTTACAATCTTTCCATCCAAATAATGCTCTTTAACCATCACAGTGTTGACAGTCTTGGGGTCCCTGAATGTCAAGAAACCAAAGCCTCGAGAGCGGCCAGTAGCACTGTCGCGCATTACGGTGCATTCTTGTACCTCTCCGAATTGGGAGAAGTAGTCTCTCAGCGATTCTAGTCTCAACGGTTAGATTGCATTCAACAAGATATCTTAACGCGATCTCAATGGGATGAAGCATACGGTCTGTGGTTTCCCAGTTCAAGCCACCGATGAACATTTTCCTATCCAATAAAGCTATTAGTCAAATGATCTCGCCATATATGTAGAATGACAGGTAAACAATGTGCTATCGAGTAAAGCTATCGACTCGCGTTTAAGGAAAAAAAAAAAAAAAAAAAAAAAATTAAGACCAGCTGGCAGGGATTTGTAGGTCGAGAATGCTGGGAAATTGCCGACGAATGGGCTGTCTAAATAGCAGACGGGAGTCTCGTATGCCAATATCATAAGGTGACTCAGATTCATTGAGGAAGAGCCATATCCATATCGTATCCGACAATGCACGGTGATGGGAGAGGTTGGAAACATCGTTGATCATCGGGCTGTTTGGGAGGGCCAGGCAGGGCCAAGTCGCCGTTGTTGCTGCAGGATCAGTTCCTACAACAAGAACTGTGGGTATGGTTGAAAAGACGCTGTCGACGGTGACACTCAATTGTCTAGAGAGGAATTTCCACTGGTTTACGAGACGACCCAGTGGATTGGGAGCCAAGCAACAGGTTCTCCAAGACCCGAAGGCCATGCGCAGCATGTCAGGCGTAACAAAAGTGAAATTGCTTTCTTTTCTTTCTCTTCTCTCTCTGACCAAGGATCCTTTTGCCTGCCTGCTAATAAGAGTTCGAAGCTAGGTAAAGCTGCGCGAAGATTCCCAAACAGACAGCCCAAGGTATCTATTCCTTGCTCTGCTCTATCAAGATTTATCGAAAAGATGCTATATAGTATCTGCTGTACTATAGCCGCTCGTAATAAGGGATCGAAGAGTCTGTATGTAGTCCGACATTGATATCGACGCTGACCCGCTGCTATAGATGCATTTATTTCCCTTGAATGTGTATGCTTGACCATTCGGGGGCGCATTTTGCCTCTCCCAAACTGGGGCTCATGGCTGAATCCGAAGTGTCTCTAGGGAGCCCCGTGTCCGTGATTGGTGCATGAAGCAACTTTGGAAAAAGCGACTGATCCAGTCTCCATCACACATCAATGCTTCCCAAAAGCTTCCCCACAGACAATCCTCTTCAGATGACCGACGAATATACCTTGCCCTCTCACCACCAAACCTCTGAGACCAAACGGTAAGTGAAGAGATGAGGCGGGCAAATGAATATTGTCGATGTCCCCAAAAGTTCCAAAGAGAGCCCATGCGTCATAGCAACTTGTGAATCACAGGCAATACGGTGGCAAAACTGAAAACTCTGCGGGGGGAAAACAGAAAAAGAGAGGGAGAGGGACAACGGGTGTATTAACAAATAGAATGAAAAGGACTTACCCGTCTTCCTTGATACCGGTCCCTTGAGGCTCCGGTTCTGCAGCAGGGGCCGGCGCATTGATACCTCCATGACCATCTAATTGCCCTACACCATACGCTTGCGATGCATCATACCCCTGGTACTGGGGTGCCTGGTAGAAGTTCTGTGGAGGTTCCGCTTCAAACTGGGGGGTCTCGACACTCTGAGCGATATGGCCAATGGGTTGGGCTGCAGTAGCAGACGCCGCAGAGATCGAAGGTCTTGGTGCTTCCGTCGCTGAAGTGGCTTGGGCGGTAGGCTCATCTGCTTCGTACCTGGAAAGGGTCAAGACGTCAGTCAAACGCGGAACGTGGCCAAAGAACGAAAAGAGCCTTACAGATCGGCGAAGAGATCATCTTCGACACCCTCTGGATCCGCCATGTTGACTTTTTGTGAGAAAAAAAAAAAAAAAAAAAAAAAAACAGATAGACAGTTAGTGAGGTGATAGACACTCAAGAGATCGACTTTTCCGTCTTGAAGATGAGACTAGGAGACTGTGTCACGTTCCTAGTCTAAGGTTTCAAGGACTCGAGTTCACTGGATGAAATGAGCAATAAGACCAAGCAACCAAGGGCAATAGCCAATATTGGTGATAATTGGCGAATTATGGTGATGGGATGATATGATATGGGGAGAGAAGAAGAGAGAGGAAGAACGCGAGAGATGAAGAAAAGAAAGCGGAGAAGTCCCCGAGAGAGCAAGAGCGACCGCGCGGGAAAGGAACAGCGGGCAATACTTTGGTCCGACAGACAGCAACAAGATCTCCGACTCCCTCAGCTCAGGGACCACCAGAAACAAATGCTGGAATTCGATTGATTATTTCTATTTATTTTATTCTTCTTTGCCGACGAGGAATAGAGCTATCTCGGGTTGTTGAGTGCCCCCGCCATATAACACCAACAAGCATCCAACTCTCGTTCAACTCCCGATGATCTGTACTATCTCGCTCTACGCCTGAGACTCGCACACCATGGCGATGAAGAAGGGCCAGCCACAGGTAAGTTTGAGCATGGGCATTCTCTGCGAATCAATAACTTTTATACAAGGAGCTCAGTGGCTGACCAATTCCCCAGGAGATGGTCCAGGTTGGTTCGTACCTCACTTACTCCCTGTCTTGGGAATCTCCGTTACAATCGCTGATGTAGCTCATTTATTTATGGGCACATATAGATCGCTCTGAGTATGTGCTATAGATTCAATCTCTTCCCTAACCTTTGCTTATTCTGTTTTGTCGCATTCATGCTAACAATCGCAAAGACGGACCGGATCCCCTTTCTGGAAAGGCAGCTCGAGTTCCTTGAACCAAGGAACCTCCAAGTCCCATGAGCAGAATGCGGTCGTGGGCGCCTCATACTCTCATGCTAATATCCTAAAGTTCGCCGTCCCCGTGCAATTGGCCGTCCGAGTTTTGAAACTGACACATGCGTTCCGAACAGAGGAATCCCACAGCAGAACGCGCCTCCTCGAACACCTCCTCGATCATCGTCTGCACATACCCAACAAACCACATCATCTCCCCACCGACCAGGAGCATGGGGTAGCGCATCCGCTCACACATCCTACCCGGGTATCACGAGTTACGCCGATGAAGAGGACGACGAAGACGACGATGATGACGAAGAGGGCGACATTGTCTACGATGATGATGAGGATGAATTTGGACTCCCTAGTATTGCTAGCATGCGAAGGAAACCAGCCAAGCATTCCGACGTTTTTCAGTTCACACCCGTTGATCCAGGTGGTGGTGCCGGTGGTGGCAGAAATACGCGCAGCGGCGGCTTTGAAACTGCAGGCAATGCAGCAAATCTGGGGTACGGACTGGGGTCAGGCAGGTTTCGCGCCAATAGCGCGGATATTGCCGAGGAACGTGGTACGCCAATGTACCCCACAGCCCGAAAGGGGGAGGGTAAGATCCTCCGGCCTCAGTATAAAGAAATCCTGAGAGGTAAATCAACTCCGACCCGCAAGCTAAGAATTGGCTGTTTACTGACTCCTCTAGATCCCGCTCATGCCTTGAACCTCATAAACCATTCACCGCCGCCAAAAAATGCATCGCCGAAAGAGAATGACGAATACTCGAGTCGCATATCTAGGATCAACAAATTCAAACGTCTCCTGCAAACGAGCACCGTCCCTCTAACCGAATTGAGGAACTTGGCGTGGTCAGGAGCTCCTGAAGAAGTACGAGCCATGACTTGGCAACTTCTCCTCGGCTACCTACCGACGAACAGCGAGCGACGAGTTTCCACCCTCGAAAGGAAGCGCAAAGAGTATCTTGATGGTGTTCGACAAGCCTTTGAACGCAGTGCTGCGGCCGCGGCAAACCCACCACCTTCGACAACTGGACGTGGGCGGGGCTTGGATGAAGCAATATGGCATCAAATAAGCATAGACGTGCCGCGCACTAGTCCTCATATCCCGCTTTACGGCTACGAGGCTACACAGCGCTCCCTGGAAAGGATTCTTTATGTTTGGGCCATACGGCATCCAGCAAGTGGCTACGTGCAAGGAATCAATGACCTTGTGACACCTTTCTTCCAGGTTTTCCTTGGAATTTATGTCACAGACCTCAACGTTGAAGAGGGCATGGACCCAGGTCAACTACCAAGAAGCGTTCTTGATGCCGTGGAAGCGGATTCTTTTTGGTGTCTTACGAAGCTGCTCGATGGTATACAGGATAATTACATATATGCACAACCAGGCATTCATAGGCAGGTCAGAGCGCTACAAGATTTGACCACGCGCATCGATTCTGGTCTTGCGAAGCACTTGGAGAGTGAAGGAGTGGAGTTTATGCAATTCAGTTTTCGATGGATGAATTGTCTGCTCATGCGGGAAATGAGCGTTCAAAACACCATCCGAATGTGGGATACATATTTGGTATGTGCAAACTTCAGCTACAGCAGCCGTAAATCATACTCATCATCATACCAGGCTGAGGAGCAGGGCTTCTCGCGATTCCATATATACGTTTGTGCAGCTTTTCTTGTCAAATGGTCGGACCAGTTGATGAAAATGGACTTCCAGGTGGGTATAACTTGTCTGGCGCTAAGTATGAAGCGAAATGAACAGATGAAGCTGACTATATACAGGAGATTATGATGTTCCTCCAAGCTCTTCCAACAAAAAACTGGACAGACAAAAATATCGAACTGCTGCTGAGCGAAGCATTTATCTGGCAGAGTCTATTCCAGGACTCCCGTGCCCATCTTCGTCCGACTGGCGAGAAAGCGCCCGAGGATGGTTTGTAATAATGTCAATCATAATTCATTAATATGTCCTGGATATGTCGTACTCTTGGATTTTTCCAGCATGTTGCATAAGAGAAATACGATTCCCATGTTCAAGTGAAATGGAAACCCTTTTGGTTAAACGCCCACAGCAACTTCAGGAAATCATTCTCATCACACATCCTTGCCCGCTTGTCTGCGAGCTTTGTCTCATCTTCCAAGACCTGGCGTACTTTCTCGCGCACCAATTCTGCGACCTTCCCCTTCTTCTTGCGGTTCGGGTTGTTCTTCTTAAGGGCTTCCTGGACACGAGCATTTGCTTGCTCCTTGAAAAAGTCCGGCACATCGTCCTCGTCGTCTACCTCCATGGTCTGATCTTGATATTCCTCTTCTGCGTCATCTTGCGCATCACCTTGCGCATCACCAATGTCCATAGCGTCACCACCTGCATCTTCAGCAGGCCCATCCTCAACTGGAATGTCATTTTGTGCGCACCATGTCCGATAATTGGCTTCCAACATGTCCATGATGCCGGTTTGCCCAATGAAGCTGGACCGAATAGTCTTATTCTTTCTGACAAAGACGATTCGCAAGAGCCCGTCCCATTCTTCATAGCTGATCTGCGGTCTGGGATTCTTGGGGACCAGACGGACGACGCTCGACTCGACAAGCGGTGGAGGCTTGAAGTTGTTTTTTCCAACCTTCATGATGTGATCAATCTTGGCCCACATTTGCGCGTTAACGGAAAGTCGACTGTAAAGCTTATCTCCCGGTTTCGCGAAAAGTCGTAGGGCGAATTCACGCTGGAACATGAGAATGCAGACTCGAGGTGCGGGGGAGGTCGCAAGAAGTTTGAAGGTGAGAGGAGAGGAAATCTAGTAGCGATTAGCATACACAACAGAAGAAGCAAAATCTAGCCGCATATAGCCCATACCTGATAAGGGGTGTTGCTAATGCAAACATCGAAGTATGGAAGCTCTGTCTTAATCACATCTCCCAGAATGACATCCAGACGCTGCTGCACCGGGGTACCCTGAACACGCTTAGTGATTTCTGCCGCCATTCGAGGATCCAATTCGACAGCGATGCATTTCTTCGCCTTCTCGAGAATCTTGACCGTCAGGTTACCTGTACCGGGACCGATTTCGAGAACAACCTGCAGTGCGCGATGTCGTTAGCATGTACTCAATATATATAAGCGCATTCCTCCCAAGAGACCTACGTCACTCTGCTTCAATTCCGCCTTGTCCACAATAGCTTGAGCAATACCCGGATTCTTCAATACGTGTTGACCGATATCCGTATTCATCCTGAAGACGCTGCTGGCGGCCTTCGTTTTGGCGGCCGCATCTGCGTATGGGTTTTTCGCAGCGCTACTGCGCTTGTTTGTCTTTGCCTTGGGCATTGTGCTGAAATAACTACCGATGATAGAGTGGGAGCCGGGATCAAGTCATGGATCTAGGAATGAAATAGCCCGAAGAGAAAGGTATCAATTCAGTCGCAATGCTCGTAGTTTTTTTTTTTTTTTTTTTGATCATCGCGGAGGTCCCGATAAGATTACCGGAACGGCACTATGTTGTTGCGGGCCATGGCTTTCGACGCCATCGAATTCCAGTTTACTCTTAAATCCAGCGACAGCAACTTAGTGCTTTTTATTTGCGCAGAGACTTTTCGTCAACATGGCGTCCGGGCGGAAAGACTTCTTGAACCAACCAGCCCCCGAAAACTACGTTGCGGGTTTAGGTCGTGGTGCCACCGGATTCACGACGCGGTCGGATCTGGGACCTGCACGAGAGGGCCCTACACCAGAACAGATCCAAGCTGCACTTGCGAAAAGAGCAGAGCTCTTGGGCGCAGCTCCCCCAACGGCATACGGAGCTGCTCAAAAAGGCGGCAAGGAAGATGAAGGGGATGAAGGAGGGGACGATGAACGATTCCAAGATCCGGACAACGAAGTCGGTCTTTTCGCCTACGGCCAGTTTGATCAGGATGATGACGAGGCAGATCGCATTTATGAGGAAGTAGATGAGAAAATGGACAAGCGACGGAGGATAAGAAGGTTAGTATTATTTCCCCCTGCCCCGAAAACCATTCTTTTTTGTTCATCGGGTTCACCCCGGTTGTTTTGGACAGCAGACCGACTTGAATACTCGCCACCTTATAGGGAAGCCCGCGAAAAACAAGAGCAAGAAGAACACGAACAAAAGAACCCCAAGATCCAGCAGCAATTCGCCGATTTGAAACGTTCCTTAGCTTCGGTTTCCGAGGATGACTGGGCCAACCTTCCTGAAGTCGGAGATCTTACCGGAAAGAACAGACGAGCGAAGCAGAATCTACGCCAGCGTTTCTATGCCGTACCGGACAGTGTTATTGCCGGCGCAAGAGACGCGCAGCAATTCGATACTACCATAAACGAGGACGGCACGCAAACCGAAGGTGGAGGCGGGGACGGAGCGATGACGAACTTTGCGGATATCGGTGCTGCTCGTGACAAGGTGCTGAAAGTCAGACTCGACCAAGCTGCGGGATCGACAGGTGATGCCGCGTCGGGAAGTTCGACAAGTATCGACCCGAAGGGATACCTCACGAACCTCACGCAATCAGAACTCAAGGCCGGTGAAGTGGAAATCAGTGACATCAAGCGTGTTCGCGTCTTGCTCGAGTCGGTAACGAAGACGAACCCGAAACATGGCCCAGGTTGGATTGCCCTTGCACGTTTGGAGGAGTTGGCTGGGAAAATGGTGACCGCTAGAAATACCATGGCCAAGGGTTGCGAGCTTTGTCCGAAGAGCGAAGATGCGTGGTTGGAGAATATCCGACTTAACGAGGGACATAACGCCAAGGTCATTGCTGCGAATGCGATTAAAAACAACGATCATTCGACGAGACTCTGGGTTGAAGCTATGAAACTGGAATCGGATGCTCGTGCAAAGAAAAATGTTCTGCGCCAAGCCATTCTTCATATTCCTCAGTCCGTTGCTATTTGGAAGGAAGCTGTGAACTTGGAAGAGGACCCGGCTGATGCACGTCTTCTCCTCGCGAAGGCGGTCGAGATGATTCCTCTATCCGTGGAGCTTTGGCTTGCTCTTGCTCGCCTTGAATCTCCAGAAAATGCACAGAAAGTCCTCAACGCTGCCCGTAAAGCAGTTCCAACGAGCTATGAAGTGTGGATTGCTGCGGCGCGACTACAAGAGCAAATGGGTACTTTCCACAAAGTCAACGTTATGAAGAGGGCTATCCAGTCTCTCGCAAGGGAGAATGCCATGCTCAAGCGAGAAGAATGGATAGCGGAAGCTGAACGATGCGAAGAGGAGGGTGCAGTTCTCACCTGCGGTGCGATTGTCCGTGAGACTCTGGGATGGGGCCTGGATGAAGACGACGACCGCAAGGATATCTGGATGGATGACGCCAGGGGCAGTATCGCCAGGGGCAAGTACGAGACTGCTCGAGCTATTTACGCCTATGCGCTGCGTGTCTTCGTCAACCGCAGATCGATCTGGCTCGCAGCAGCCGATCTGGAGCGTAACCACGGCAGCAAGGAAGCGCTGTGGCAAGTCCTCGAAAAGGCCGTGGAGGCGTGTCCGCAGAGCGAGGAGCTATGGCTACAGCTTGCTAAGGAGAAGTGGCAATCCGGAGAAATCGACGATGCGCGGCGAGTCCTCGGCCGTGCCTTCAACCAGAACCCCAATAACGAAGACATCTGGCTTGCCGCCGTCAAACTGGAAGCTGATGCCGACCAGACAGACCAGGCACGAGAGCTGCTCTCCACGGCCCGTCGCGAGGCAGGCACAGACCGTGTTTGGATCAAGAGTGTTGCATTCGAGCGCCAACTGGGCAACATTGACGACGCTCTCGATCTCGTAAACCGAGGTCTCCAGATCTACCCCAAGGCCGACAAGCTCTGGATGATCAAGGGTCAAATCTATGAAGCCCAGAACAAGTACCCGCAAGCCCGGGAGGCATACGGAACAGGTACCAGAGCGTGCCCCAAGTCGGTCCCTCTCTGGCTCCTGGCATCCCGTCTGGAAGAGACAGCAGGCGCAGTCGTCAAGGCCCGTTCCGTCCTCGACAGAGCCCGTCTCGCCGTCCCCAAGAGCGCAGAACTCTGGACCGAAAGTGTCCGCGTTGAAAGACGCGCGAACAACATCGGCCAGGCGAAGGTCCTCATGGCAAAGGCGTTGCAAGAAGTGCCCAACTCAGGATTACTCTGGAGCGAAAGCATCTGGCACCTCGAGCCACGGCCGCAGCGCAAGTCACGGAGTTTGGAGGCGATCAAGAAGGTTGAAAACGATCCGATTCTGTTCATCACCGTGGCGCGGATCTTCTGGGGTGAGCGCCGGCTGGAGAAAGCTATGACCTGGTTCGAGAAGGCGATTGTTTCGGACAGTGACTTTGGAGATGGGTGGGCTTGGTATTACAAGTTCCTATTGCAACATGGTACAGAGGTAAGTACCATCTCTAACCCCTCTTCCGCAGGGCATTGTAACCCAGTACAAACAATTCTAATCAACTATTCCTTCAGGAAAAACGAGCGGACGTCATCTCCAAATGCATCATAACCGAGCCCAAACACGGCGAAGTCTGGCAAGCGATCGCCAAAGACCCAGCCAACGCGCGCAGGTCAACCGAGGAGATCCTCAAACTCGTTGCAAACAACATGAATTAATGCTTTCCATCCACGTCTGGGTGTAATATTAAATGCCTTCTCTTTCGCTTTTACTATTATGGGATGGAATGCTATTGCGAGTCTGGCGTTTGGGAGTGGTTATTCCTACCTGTATTATGAGAGATAGAACATATTACAAAGATGGCCATCTGCACTGAGTGGGTGATGGTCTGTTATTTCTTAAGGTTGCTTTTCCTATAAGCGTCGCATCAGAAAGGAGTATATATAGAGCAACAAATATATCATCTTTAAAGCCAACAAATTGTACATATTGCACATCACTTCTAAGAAAGAGTAAGTAACTAGTAGGAGAGAAATATAAATAATAAGAACCATAAAACCTGTCAAGTCAACCCACGGGTATCGAACAAAATCCCACCACTGGTGCATCCAAGTCATCTCGTCTTTTTGTTGTAAATGTAACAATGTAAAACTTCCCCCTTGATCAAACCGAGCCAAATATCCAATTCGGAGATACCACAGCATAGCACACTCTCGCAAGTCAGGTCCTCCTCTAGCAATAGTAACATAAATGAATCTGCAAGGAGCAGGAGATAGACCATGGGATCCAAGATGATAGGAATCGAAGATGGAAACGCAAAAACAAAAACAAAAACAGAGCAAACTCCATGCCAGATGCGAGAATAAAACAAAGAAGTTTCGTGTCACAGCGTGACAGACAGCCTTCCTTTAGACTCCCAGGACGCCAGACCGGACGTCTCAGTCCTTGGTCCAATTATATCAAAATTAGCATCAACAAACCCAACACATGAAAGGTTTGTGGGAAAAAAGAAACGAGGAAAGGTAGAATGATACAAATGTGTCGGAGGTAGGATGTAAGGAGGGAGAAAAGAGAAGAAGAGGGTAAAGAATGGAAAAGGCTATGCAGCCATGGACAGACACTCGTCCAGCAACGAGCCCAATTGGTCCTGGTCCGTGGCGCCGGCTCCTTCCCAGCCCGAGTCGGCTTCGTCCAGATCCATCTCGTCAGTGAAACCGGCTTTCGTATCGTCATCAGTAAGAAGCGGGGCACCATCAACTGTGCGGTCTTGCTTCTCCGTCTCAAGCTCATCCTCGAGATAACCGCCCATGACCTGATCTATAATTAGAGGCATATGGCTGAGTACCCCCTCACCGAGTTCCAAGGCTAATCGAAGATCTCGGACCCCGAGAGGTTTCCTAACGGCCGCTTCTTTCGCTTCCACGGGAAGTAACCCACTTGCGCCGTCCTTGACGATCTCTCCGCGAGTGTAGGCCAGTTCCTCTTGTTCAAGCTGTTGTCGATACTTCCGCATCATCATGCCATTGATGGTACCGGACGGGCCATTGGATCTAGTTCGTGAGAAGACAACAGACAGAACCTCTTTCACAAATGTCTCTGTTGCAATTGCCATGAAATCCGCACAGGGGAGACCCGCACCACTGACAATGGATTCTTCATAACATATCGGGATCATGCGCGCGTATATGGACTCGGAGTCGGGGAACTCGCCGGTTTCTGAAGCTAGTGGTTGTGCGTAGCGTTTTCGAATTTCTAGTTCCCAGTCTGTGAAGATGGCGATTAGCACGAATAACCCAGGCACGTAGAAACAAACATACTGGTCTTATTCAAACCACCGGCACTTGCAGGAACCTGGCTTGGTAATTTGATTTGCTTGGCCAAATGATATTCTTCCAGCTCATTGGGCACCGTCTCGTTGGGGTCACGCTGTCAAGAAAGAAAGAACCGTTAGCGTCATCGGCGCTGGAATATCCTATAACAATGCCAAATCATACCTCTGGAATTGCCTTGAGACGCCGCCGGTCTCGAGCAGGCAGCTGCATCACCTCCGTCTTCAACCTGTGCTCAGCCGCATCCCCGGAGGCCGGCTTCGACACCACGGACGGCTTGTCATTCGCCGATACCCAACTCGCAACGCCATGGTCGGGGAGGTCTCTTGTAAGGTTTCCAATAATCGCGCATACGAAGTTATTGTGAAGGTGTTCGGTTTTCGGGTCGGCGCATATTATATGATCGACACGCGACGAGTATTCGCTTTGGTTAAGATGCCCTGTAGTGTAAAAAGCGTACGGAGTTAGCCTCGCTGATGTCACCCAATATTTGCGCAAATATTGAAATAACCACCCACCTAAAAGAAAAAGCGCCGTGGACTGCTTGTACTCAGACCAGTTATCGCCGATGGCGGCCTTCAACTCCGTATAGGCAGGTTCCAGTTCCAGTCGCGGAACGGAGATCAGGGCCTTGCTGGACGACTTCTGAGTTGCGGGCGCGTTGGTAGCAGACCCCTTGGACGAAGCTATCGCGGTCGACGCAGCAGCGTCCGCCCGACTCAGGGCCGCCGGGTCAATCTGCATGGTGTGGGCAAAAGGGCTCGCAGGAGCGCGACGGGCTGCGCGAAGCCGGAGGCGGGGAGGGAAACTAGTAGGACTTCATGAACGTATATTCCGCCTGTATCTGTGGGTTTCAGCTATAATAAGGGTCCTCGAGCCGACCACGAGCCTGAAAAGGTCGGCACCATAAGAAAAAACGAGAGAATTGATGGAATCGCGATGGAAATGGGGGCCGGACGATGGAGGGCGTTGATGGGGGATGATGGAAGGAGGTTGAGGTTTCCTCTCGCCAGAAACGGTTATGCCCTCCGCTTTGGGAGCGATTCACGACCGGATATTTGCTCTCGAGAAGTGAATAGAATATTGTAAACACTGGTCTACAGAACAATTTAAAAATATTTTTATAAATACTATAAACTACTGCAATCGGACCGCATCTTCGTTGAGCAAGCCGAACAGCTTCCCGATTTCGCCCAACACCTCTACAATTTCCATCGACAACTGGCCAGTCACCAGAACTGCATAGTTAGATACCATACAACCAGTATGAACAGGGAGAGTAAGACTTACTGTAGGCATAAATTAGCGCATAGTCCTCGTCAGTCGAGGCACGCGACACTTCCTGATCCTGGCGATATCGGAAGATCCGGGCGAGCAGCCGGTCTCGTGCATGCTCAATGCTGGGGAGAACATCGACGAGCGGATATTCGAGTTTCATAGACGAGGCCATTACTGACAAGAGATGGCTGATGCGAGACGACAGATGCTTCCTCTCTTGCGCCGTGTACCGAAGAATAGAAATCTCACCCTCGGAAACATCCCAGCTCTTCACCAACTCCAGATTCATTGCGTGGAATGCGTCCATCATACTCCGGGTACGACGGAGAATATCACCGTAGGCAGCGTCGGAAAAAGCACTCTTCAGCTCAAACTCAGAACGAGCTGCAGCTTGAAGAGATTCCAGATGAGACTGGAATCGCTCAATCTCCAACTTCTCTCGCGGACTCATATATGCTTCCAACCTTCGTTCCATAGCCATGGTAGACAAAGGATCCCGCTTCCAGATCAAACTCATCCGGAGCCAGAGCAAGCTCAGATTGTGTTTCAATTTCGTTCGAGCACTGACAGGCCAGATCACTCGTGTGATTATGACACCCCAGGCGCAACCGGATAGGACTGCAACGACGCGATGAAGGACAATGTCGGTAATGACTGGGTTATCTCCTCCTTCGTCATCATCGTCGAGGGCCTCTTTCTGCATCAGTGAGTAGGCATATAGAACAGAAAGGTTGTAGGTGAGCATGATGTATCGGCTCATTGGTCCTTGTTTCTTGACAATGTTTAAGTATGACGTCCAAGTCGCCATAAACAGGCCCAATACTGCCAGTCCATATACATTCCCGGAAGTCGCGTACCATGCTGCCACGGCACAGCCGGCCCCGAGAAAGGTCCCGAACGATCGAGCATATCCGGTGGTATTCGAGGTGCCGATGGTCATCGAACACACCAACATGTAGGACAACAAACCCCATTCGCCTCTCCAGTGAGCGTATAAGGGTCGAGTATAGGAAACAAACGAGGGTAAGGCGTAGAGGGCTGCACCAGTCCCGACTTTGATCGCAAATTTTGTATCGTCCCGTCGGAAGAACCCAAAGGACTTCCAGATGCGATAGCCCAACCGTTCTTTCGTGGGGGCGTTTTCGAGACTAGGAGGTAACGAAGTGGAGGGTTTGGACGGTCCAGTAGACACGCCATTCGTAGCCGTAGGGTTCCCAATCAATACCTGTTCTGCTAGGAAGTCAGCTCCTTTCTTCGGACGGAAATGCACGAACAAAACTTACCTGTATCAAGTTCATTTCCATCATTTGTCTCGGGTCCTCGACGCCAGAACTTCAGCCAGTTCCAAGACCGTCCGCTGGGCCTCTCAACAGCCTCGAGGTGCAATTCATCCAGAATTGCCAAGAGCTCTTGCAGCTCTTCACCGAACGAAAGGAGCGAAAAACTAAAATGGCCGCAACTTGCAGAGACTTCCTCAAGGTCAGCTGACAGCTCCACGGTTCGTATCTTCAGAACCTCCTTTTGGTGGTAGATGGATTTGAGGGCGCTTTCTCTCGATTCCTTATAGAGTTCGAGTGCACGGTCAAGACTCGTATGAAATCTGCTGTTGATGCAAACGCGGTAATCTGGCCCGGGACCGAAAGGAATTTCCTTGAAGATCTCCATGTATGTAAAGGCGAGAGAGCGCTGCCAACCATTAGCATCCATTAATTTGATGAAGTCATTTCGGGAGATGAAAATACCATAGAAGGTCCCAAGTGGTTTATGAACAGTGCAAAAATGTCAGCGTGTGGAAGACGGTAACTATCCAGCGAGTTCACACTGGATCGGTTTTTACGAGAGCTACCAGGGGAAGACACTTCTTCCTCCGATCTCTCATCAATAGGCCCCAGAAAGGGACGCTCATCATGCAATATCCATGGACTTGGCAAGGGTAGTTGGCCGTTCCCGCTTGAGTCGCCCTCGGGACTCCGGAGCTGCATCGATTCACCAAGCCTAGTTTGTTTGAGAAGCTGGAACTGCAGGACAGCAGCACTGCGTAAACCTCCCATATTATGGGTGATATCTTGCACCAGACGGACGACATTCTTCTCGAGTCTGTATTCCTTTTCCGTGCCGGCGACATAGTGCTCGAGCTTGGCTTCTTTCACTAGATTATCAAGCTGGCTGTAGGCCTGTTTGTGACGTGCAGCTGCATTGACGAACTCAGCTGACTGCAACTCTTCCTCAGACCCGCTTAGGAAACTCTCCGTAAGCACCCCTGACATAACCGCTAGCGACTCGGTAACTGTAGTCAAATTCGACCGGAGTTTCTTTCGGGCTGAAACCGGGAAGATTAAAAGCGAGACAGCCATGGTAGCACCCACACCTAAGATGACCATTTTCAGGACCTGGGATACTTTGGCAAGTGACAGGTCGCCGCTCTGGACGGCGCCCTCCTTGGTCAGAACCGTGATTGTCGCAAGCGAAGTCAACGAGCAGGCAACATTGACCAACGGATCACCCAATCTCTGCTTTGTCCATCCAATGAATCCAAGACCACCTCCACAGAACACAATGAGCACTAATGCATGCCCGAGCGCGCGCAAATGCAGCGTATCTTGGAAGAACATCGAGACACCCATGCTCGTGATGGAGACGAAGGCGGCGTAGAGGAAGGCCAGGAACGCACATATTGACGCCTTGTACATGCTTCCCTGCGACCTCGCTGGGTGAAAGTAGACGGTGACAGTAGCCACGACATGTTTTCCATCCTGCTGGCCCAAGAAAGACGCGATTGCAGGAATGAAAGTCGCCAGAGATCCCAGTAGGTAGGCCAGACTGCACTTCAAGACGCCAATCCCTAGCTCCGAAGACAGAAACTTGTAGACCAAAAGCCAAGCATCCCGAATTTTCGCACGAGTTTTCGAGACAACCCCTTCGTTATTATATGCGATGTCACCGGAAAGAAGCCCGCGTCGTTCGTCGAGTTCCGAATTAAAATTCGCACTGGAACCGGGGGAGGTATATGCATTTCGCAAATTGACCAGGCCTCTTAGACGCTGACCAGTCTTCGGTAGGACAAAGGTCGCCTGGCGTAACTATAGCATATAGACTATAGGTTAGTAAAGAATACCTCTTGAGACTTGCTGACGCTTTTTTACTTTACCTTTGGGCGCGAGAAGCGACGAGAACCGGTCGACGAGTCCCCAGACGACGACATGATCTCATTCTATATCCCGAGTCGCCCAATGCTAAAGCTGAGGTCCATAGTTTCTGGCAGAGAGAATGAAGCCTGAGAACATCTGGAAGGGTTTGGAGTGAATGGGGTTCTTGTATCAGCATAGCTCAGAACCGGGGAGCTCCACCGCAATAGCTGTCGGTATTTATCGCCACGCACTTTCCTGCTAAACACACAGCAGATCTTCAAGCTTTCCCTTTTGGGACATATGATGACATGTGACCAACTCAGCAGGATTTCTCACCCGATGCCAAGGGCTGCAGTAATATCGTCATATGTATGTACTCCGTAGAGGCACCATGTGGACGTTTCTCCGCGTCTAAGGGGGTTGCAAAGTCCTTACAAGGTTAACTACGCCGAATATCACGCGTACCTTGTGGAACAATATGAGGGCGCCGTCAGGATACAATTCAACTATCATACGATACTAAGCCTTTCTTGTTTTATTTATTTCAGGCCCTCCACTTTCCAGACCTTCACTGCAGCATCAGCACCAGCAGAAGCCACCTTGGATGACCCGGCAATCCATGCCACTCCGGTTACACCCTCCTTGTGAGCGTTCGTAACCTGGAGCCAGTCGCCAGGGCTGGTCAAGCTCCAAACGAAGATGTTGGTATCCACAGAGCCACTCACCACATAAGTGTTACTCTCATCCCAGGCAAGGGAGGTAATTCGGGCAGTGTGCGCCGTCCAGCGGTCAGTAACCAAACTGCCATCAGCAACCTTGTAGACAAGGATGCGGCCACGAGAATCACCAACTGCCAGGAGCGACCCATCGTTCGAGAAGGTCAATGCAGACACAGGGTTCCTGCCGGTCTTAATATCTGCCTTAGGAGATAGGCTAGTGCTAGAAACGTCGCAGATCTGAACAGACGTATCTTCGCCGCCGACAGCCGCCACGCTTCCGTGAGCCGCGACAGCAGAGACCGGCGACTTGGGTTTGTATTCCCCAGACTTGCTTCCATCGTTGTAAATCTCAACACCTTCCGAGGTTCCCACCAGCACGGTCGAGTTACCGGCAGCAACGCCCTTTGGTTGGCCGGATAGCTTAGAGGAGCTTCCGGTGTATGTTTTGGCGCCAATGTCAACGGACCGGAGGGTATCGTCCCAAGCCACACTGTAGATTCTACCAGCGCCCTCTTGGGTGGGTGCGAGGCCTGCGATATACGCCGTGTGACCAGCTCCCTCCGCTTCTTCGGCGAGTCCCTTCGAGACATCCCAGCCGCAGACTCTTCCGTCGAAGCTGCCGGTCCACAGAGTTTGACTGTCACTGTTGGACCCAAACTGGTTCAAGGAAGTGATGTTCTTCTGGTGACCTTGGATAACCTGTCTGGGCTCAGGCGTGCCTTCAACAAGGTAATTGAGATCACCGCTCAGCGACAAACTGATAAGCAGACCGTCGCTTCTGCCAGCGGGCCAAGTCACACCAACTTGGTGGTCTCTGATATCCTCTCCGAGAGTCCAGCTCTGCGAAACCTTGCCTGCCTCAGCGTCCCAAATCTTGACGGTCTTGTCAGCGCTCGCTGTCGCGAATTTCTTCGAATCGCCCGACCACGAGACACCAAAGACGCTTCCCTTATGCTCTCCCTCCCCAATTTGGCTCTTGACCTCACCAGTCTTGCCATCGTAAAGCCAGACCCGTCGGTCCGCACCGACACTGACCAAAGTAGAGCCATCAGGGCTAAAGGCATTTCCGTAGATGTAGTTGGTATGCTTCTCGCGGATCGCATTGTTGAACTTGAACGGCGCTCCGTGGTAGAAGACAATCCCCATGTCGTCACCGCCAGCGGCTGCTCGCAGGGGTCTTTGTTGTCTAATCGAAACGGTGTTGATCTGTTGCGTGTGTCCCATAATCTCACCGACGGTATTTCCACTGTCCCAAGTAATGCAGTGTCCGTAGCGCTGCTTTCCATCGCCGACGGCAATAATACGCTGGGAATCGCCGTCCCAGGCCAGATCATTGATTCGACCATTGACAATGCTGTAGTCGCCCTTTGTGATTCCGTCACCAACACAGTCCCAGACTCTGACTATACCACTGGCATCACCACTGGCGATGTAGAAACCGGAGGGAGAGAAACGGGCGACCGTTGTGTTGGCATTGTGTTCGGTGTACTGTCTCGCGATCGTGGGGTTATCGATAGACCGGACGAAGATAGATTTGTTCGACTAGATAATGAGACACAATCAGCATTTCGCATTATTACAATCAAATACTGCTCCGGATAATATTTCATACAGCATAAGTAAGACGTTCACCCTTGGCGTCCGAAGAGAGTTGGGTGGGTTGACCTCTCGTCGTGGAGGGGCTTGCGGCCCAGATGGACTCTGCATATGTCAGATTATGCGCGTGAAGAGGGGAATGAATGCATTGACATACCGTTGGTAATGGGCATGGTTATACCAGCAACGGTTAAAGTGTTGAAAAATGAAAGTTAGAGGGTATACAAAGGAGAAAAAGTTGGATAGGAGGGAGGTTGGTGTTTACTTGTTGTTATAGACTCCGGGGAAGGTTGTCGGCGTAGTGGGGAAGCATCACGACGACCGAGTTTCAGACGGAGGATCATCCCCTGTAGTCCGGCCACCAATGAAGCAGTGAAATTACAGGGATCGATATATGATAATCATATTGGGCGAATATGTAGATGTAGATGGCTAATAGTACACTCGTGTTCTTCTCATTTCTAATCCGTCCCATAAACAAAAGCAGTAAAGGCAAAACTCCATATCCTACACTTGGTATTGATTCATAACCTTCCTTTCCTCCAATTTTTTTTTTTTTTTTTTTTTCACTTTACCCCTGCATGCCGCGCGAAAAACCACCCCTCTTAGTATACATTGTTGGAATTCCCGTCCAGTCTCGCCTTGGCCTCTGCAGCCAGAATCTCCGGGTGTCTGTGAACGCTGGGCATGAGTCCGAGCCCGATGGCCCTGCGGATGGCTTTTGCGATTTTACGCTGGTTGACTGGCCGAAGACCGGTTTCGTTGCGGTGTTTAATGCGTCCCATAGGCGTCATATATTCAGACATGATCGAGAAGTTCTGTCACGGCATTCCCAGTTAGCCAGCCATTCCATTTCCAAGGTTCCATATAACGAAGCACATCTGTCAAGAGGAGAAGTATACCTTGTAGAGATCAAGAGGATTCTTGTCTATGGCGTCAAAAGCATCCGTAGGCGGGCTGTGGCGCACCTTCCACTTCCTCATCTCTGACGGACTAAGGTCATGCGGCGCATAGACATCTCCTGCCCTCCACTCGCGAGTCTGAAATCTTTCCAATGCCCTGCTCTCGGCCTGCTTCTTTTGTTCCTCAGCTATTCTGGCGCGGTTCTGGAGTGCCATGCTGCGGTGGTATGGTTTGGGGCCTATTTTGGAACGTCAGTCAAAGATTCGGCACAGGACGCTGGCTTTCGTTCAGAAGTTCGACGTACCCCGGGTAGGTCTAGCAGCGCTCTGGAGGTACGAGACGGTGTCTGCGTTTGTCGAATTCCACCGACATGTCGACAAGGGTCCGAAGTTGGCGCCGAATGTGCGTGACGGTAAACGGGAGAATATGTTGAGAGCCATCTTGTTCCGGTAGCGATTCGAGTAGAAACAACCCTCCAGAAAGTAATTGATAAGGATTGGTGATCAGGAACGAAGATGGTGAAGTCGGAGGCCAGAAGAGTGGAGAGCGGATTCTCGGAGGATTTCTTTTCGTCGCGCCAAGACCCGCGTTCTCTCTGCGTTTCTTCCCTTTCCGCCGCAATTGGTTTCTAGCAGCTCATTTTTGTCCCAACGAGGGTTGCTGACAGTGCCTGCTCTAGTTGCTAAACTGTTATTTGTGTCTTACTTTCATTAGCTGCACCGAAGTCTAGTATACAGTCGACCTGCGTTGAGAATTGACCCCGCCAATCGATTGCCCTCCGACGCCGAATTGGACGACCACACACTTTTGCAGGCTGCTAGCAGCTAGGGAATCTATTATCAACATGCAATCCCATCTCACCAAACGGGTGTTCCGGGCGATCCTGAATAACGAGCCGCTACGTTCGTCGAGATGCCACTACCGTCTTCTACACACGATCCCTTCACATCGAGCTCGAAGTCTAGGCCTGCCAAAGTTCAACCATGTCCAGCGACGAGGACTATTCGCATTCAATATGAAACCGCAAGGTAGCGAACCGCAGGCGACAACACTGCAATCCGAGATTGGTCTGAAGACGATGAGGGATCTATTGCGGTCGTTAGAGGACAAGAGTCGGGGACCAACAGACGATGTCATTGCGAAAGCTTTTCGAGAGTTCTTCACGGCACGAGCGGATACTCCGGGCTTTATTACCGGATTCCAGGGCCGCCTGCTTAATGTGACATGGGAGCACCTGCATGCTCAACAGCAAGACATGGAATCGAATGATTGGGCGGCGGTATTTTCCACAGAAAGTCTGGAAAGTGTGTTATTTGTCTTGTCCGAAGCAACATGCTTGCCCGCATCCCGCGAGTCCATCCTCAAAATAGCGCACTCGGTCTTTCTGGAACTCTGTGCGGATCAGGGATTTGGTCCTAACGAGGTTAGTCGGCCTGCTCTCACAGCCTATATCAACCTGGTATCTTCAAACGGCGAGCCTGAGCGAGCTCATGAAATAGTCGAAGAGTTCTGGGACAAGCTGCAGAAAGCAAAGCCGTCTCCCTGGCTTGCGGTAATCAAGGGATATGCAGTTCAAGGCGGCCGAGCTGAAATCAAACAAATCCCTGCAAGACTCAAGAAGCATGGCAAGCAGTATGACGCTGCACTCCAGGAAGAACTGATTACTGCGCTCATTGAAGAAAATGTCTGGCCTGCCGTTCAGGCACTCTATGAGTGCCCTGTGTCGAGCGGCAAAGAAGAGCCTACTTATGCTACGAAGGAAGCTGTGATTAGATACGCGCTTTTCAGATCCAAAGCTACTTGGGCACAGCCGATCTTCAACTCGCTTGCGCAACGCCCTATTGTGGAGACCATCAACATTAGTATGCTCTGGGAAGCGGCCCAGGGCAGTAACGCGTTTGACATCTCAGAGAAGGTCAAAACCTGGACCGCCGGAAACCCAGCCACACATCTTACAACGTCGTGCCTAAACGATTTAATTCGCTTTGCCAATGTTATGGACAACTCGCAGCTGGCCACAGAATTCTTTGCTTTGGCCTCGCAATGGGGTCTCGAACCAGACTCACAAACCAAGATGTTGCAGCTGGAAACTCGCGTACTGGCTAAGGATGCTGACGGGGCACTTGAGCTTCTGCGGGAACTACCTGATCTCGACGCTGCGGTATTTGACCATCTGCCACTGATGAATAAGCTAATAACGATGCTCTGCTGGTCTGGTCAGGAAGACGCTCTATTCAATCAAGTATCCGGCCTTTTGGACCCCTTATTCGAGAACAATGTACGCTTGGAACCCGAGACTCTCGCAGCGTTGACATATCTGCTGCTTAATCGACGTGACTGGGAGGCTGTTTCGGAACTGCTTCGTCCGCGTCTTGGTGCCCTTGATTCGGGAGAAGCAACTGTGGTCCGAGAAGTAGTCACAAACTACATCCTGGATGCCAGTAAAGGCACTGATGACATTTGGGGGGTTTATAATCTTCTGCGACTTGCATTCCCCGAAACTGGGGTCAACAAACGGACCGAAGTCATGTCCGCCTTCTTCGAGCGCAACAGAAGTGACCTGGCTTGCCTGGTATTTGGTCATATGCGTCAGGCAGAAAATCCGGGACAGCGGCCGAAACCCTTCACCTACGCTCTGTGCTTGCAAGGAATTGCCCGCGCGGCCGATACGAAGAATCTAGAACTGGTCCACAACATGCTCAAACTGGATATCGAAGTCGATCTCAACACCCAGGTACGGAACGGTTTGATGCTCGCATATGCGTCTTGCGAGATGCCCGAACAGAGTATGAAGCTATTCCGTGAAATCCTCACATCCGAAGAAGGGCCTACGCACCGGACCATTGGAATCTTCTTCAAGGCTTGTGAAAGCCACCACAATGGAGTCCAGGAAGCCATCAAGATGATGCAGAAGGCAAAGGACTTGGACATCGGGATCGACCGCCGGATGTACGTGACGTATATTGTAGCATTGGCTGCGCATTGCGAATTCGAGCTTGCTACGGAGACTATTGATAACATGTTTGCTGAGACTGGTTACAAACCAAGTCGAAAGACGTGAGCATTCACCTCCTCTATTCTTTGAATTACAACGCTAACGGGAAACCAGAATCGGTCTCTTCTACAACGCGATTCCTTACCAGTACTGGAAAGACGAAGTCGAGACATGGGCGAAAGCCAACTATCCAGAATTATGGGACCATCTAACGGAGCTAAGTCGCTCTGAACACGAGGAGGGATTGAAATTCGATAAGCTCTCTCTTGAATACCTTGTATAGCGGGATCGAACGAGGTCTCTGTGATGTACATATTATTGTATCTGTATATATATTAATGGCGAGATTCTGATGAGTGACTGTTCACAATCTATTGCTAATCAATCTTGAAATAAGGCCATTTCTCGATATTCGCTCTTCTGGATGCCATTTTAATGAGGACAAAACCTGTGTCTTTGCTCCGTATCAAATGCTCACGACAACTTCCTTCCCGATTAACCACACTAATACACTCTTTGTACTATCATGTCGAATCCTCAATGATACTTGTTTCCATGCAATGCTACATGCTTCAGCTATTTGGCCCACTTGCTCCCATTCATTGCAACCGAGATTGAATATTATTATATAGCATAATGTCATTCGCTAGAAAGTGATATCACAAAGAAAAGAAATCACTGCAACCGTCGAGCCCCAGCTTCATGCGCCAGAGTATACTCGGTGGTGACTCGAATAGCAAGCGAAGGATTCTCCCCTGACCCTGACCCCGTCGACTCAGACCCAGCTTCCTCATTATGTGCCCTGACATGGGTACTGTTGTTGTTCAGAATCAACTCCTTGCTCGCAGTTGATGCCCTCTTCGCATCACCACTATCTCTATCCCCCAACGTCGCCGTAGTCGTTGGCACATCATGCAACTCAACATGTCCCGTGCGATTACTACTGACCAACGACGTAATATACGTCTTCGTATTCCCAGAACCCTTCGACCCAAAACCATTATACCCCGACGACGACGGACCTGTGTAGTTATACTGCTTCCCACGATTACTCGACCCGATCCAGCGAGTGTTCCGGAACAACGGCTTGATCCCCGGTAACGAGACAACGATAGCAGCAACGAAGCATTCACGATTCGCCCAGCCCAGGGCGATACTGAGAGTCGTCAGGGATTGAAGGGAGTAATACGCGCGGAGGATAGTGCAGATCATGATGAAGATGCCGGAGGAGAACATGGCGGTGAGGATTGCCTTGCGGTGCAATGGGACTTGGAGTTTGATGAGAATGGGGATCGGGATTAGGATGATGATGATGTCGGAGACGACGTTCATGACGGCAATGACAATGTATAGTGGGCCGCGGATTGTACAAGAGTCTGTTTTGTGGTTAGCTCTAGGCTCTTTCTTTGATATGTGGTTGAGTAGAGACGTACCTCCGACGTAGGGCTTGATCTGCCAGTTACGAGAAAGCGGCGTGCAGATGCAGATATGCGTCAAAATACACACTAGCCATGTCATGAAACAGAATGCTGACGCGGCCCAGACTAGATGTTGTCGTCGAGTTCCTTGTCTATCGCCTGTCAGCGATTTAGGGTTTTATCCCGCGAGGAAGGGAACGTACGTGAGTTTGTTGTATAGACAGAGCAAGACACCTTTGAGACACCAGATATAGCACATATACCAGATCCAGTTCATGAAAGCCAGCTTCGAACCGAGTTCTAGTTTGGGCACTTGGCTGTCTGGGACTTGCATTGCGGTGACGGAGTTGAGGCCGATGTTATTCCCGAATACGCCTGCATACAATCGGTCAGTTTCATATCGTCAATCGATAGGGTCGGGTCTGTGCAGCATACCAAGAAAGTAGATAATAGCGGTCTGGAGGGTGAAGAAGATCTGGATCCGTCGACGTTAGAGTCAATGCTTGTCTCGATGATACGAAAGGAGCTCACAATAGCCATAATAGCAAACGCATCGTCCAACTGCAAGCCGCACATTCCAGCCATCCTCACTCGGGAAAAGAGCCGGAGTAGCAGGAAGCAAGTGCCAATTGCATATTCTGCAAAACACTCGGCGATCTGGTTGTAAGCCATGTCGTGCAGATACAACAAAATAGCATTATCTTCGACACAAGGTTTAAGGACGGTTCGTTAACTTATATGAAATGTCCCCATTCTTTGTATGGATTGGCAGAAAGATATACGGAGCACCATATAATAATATGGAATAGTCAACGTCTTTTTGCCATTCTCTACGAGTACGTCTTTATTTTCTTTTTCGCCCCTGTTATATTGACAGATCGAAATTTCTCCGCTGGAATCTATATCTTTTACTCGTCTCGCCATGAATCCCTGTCACGGAATCCAGGAGACAGGTCTAACCGATATCCCAATATAGCCAAAAGACCAGATTTTACACTCCATCAGGGACGTCCAGAACGGCAAATTGTAGCAGGATAGCCGAACCGGTTGGTTGTGATAGCAAAGCTCATCACATACTCCGTACATAAGAAGCTGACACGGCCCAGCAAACAGTCGTGGGATGTTATCTATCATTTTTCGACTCGCTGTCACACGATGTCGAGTTGCCTCTTGGACGGCAGTGCACGGCATAGACTGATCGATCAGTGGCGCGTCTCAGATTCATTCCCTACCCAATAACCCCCCTGTATAAATACAAATAAACGACGGCTGCAGTGATCTCCTACTGGCTGATCTTGACCCGGTCTGGGATTATCGTCAGGTCAAGTGGAGCTGTTGCTTCCATTATTGTATCCTGATGCATGTGCCAACGGTAAGGATTTGGATATGCCGGTACACGACTTCCGGACCCGCTTTGTCTTTGTCTTACTCTTTCGGCGTTGTGTGCCGTCAATGCAAGAGCTGAGATACAGTCAGACGAAAGAAAAAGAAAGAAAAGCACCGGGTGTGATCTGCACAGCACCAGTAAAATGGCAGGTTGGGCCGAGTGCCAGTGCTTCGGTACTGTTTGTCCTACTTCATACGGAAGGGGAGGGCTATGTCCCGTTTGCTCTCTTCCAGGTGCTCGGTATGCCCTGGATGGCACGGCAGGAGTAATAATACTTTGTGGTATGCTCCGTAGTCCAACCCAAGTAATATAAAGCCTCTAATAATTTGGGACGTAGTGTTCCAATCCAAAACAACAGTATCACTTTGCAACACAATGACACCAAAAATCGCCCTTATCACCGGAGGAGCCGGCGGCATGGGCCTCGCCGTGGCCAAATCCCTCGCAGCCCAAGGATCCTGGCATGTCCATCTGCTCGACATTCATCCCGATCGAGGCACCGAGGCAGCGAAAGGCTTACATCCTCATGCGACCTTTCACAAAGTCGATGTATCGAGCTACAATGACCTGGCAGCGGTCTTCCAGAGAGTTTTCCAGCGGCACCGTCGACTCGACTTTGTATTTGCCAACGCGGGGATCATCGAAAGGACGAATTTCTTTGAGGATCTGCAGCAGCAGAAACCCACAAATACAGAGCAAGTACCGCCGGAGCCGAAGGACCTGCAGGTTATCGGGGTGAATCTGAATGGCGTCGTATTCACCAGCTACCTGGCGATGCACTACTTCCGACGGTCCCCGGACAAGGGCAGGGGATGCAATTTGGTCATGACAGCCAGTTGTGGAGGATTGTATCCTTCGCATTACTCGCCGTTGTACACTGCTACGAAGCGTGGGTCTCCCTAGTCCGTTCTATATTAAATCGAATTTTCCCCGGTGATAGATCACATCCAACGGGCGGAACCCCCCAAACAAGAAAGACAAGTACGAGGCAGTATTCCGTACTAATTCTAATTCTTGACAATACAGATGGCGTGGTCGGACTCATGCGCTCCATTGCAACTCAATTATGGCAAAACGACGGTATCCGAGTCAATGCCATCTGCCCCGGAATCGCACAGACCGATCTTGTCGATGCTCAAGGATGGGCCAGTTTTCCTCCTCACCTGTTCATCCCGTTAGAAACCATTTCCAGGATTGTGCTTATGCTAATCCAGGCGGATGACGGGAGTACGGATTACGGAATGACCGATGCAACGGGCACGTTCATTCCTGCGACACAAGGGTACGGCCGTGCGGTGGAGATCTCGGGGGACAAGTTCTACTTCCGGGAGGCGCCTGGATTTTGCGACGACGGGATGCGGGCGATTATGGCGGCGACGGTGGTGGAGAATCAGGTTGGGGGCGTGCTGAATGGTACTTCTCGTACAAGTAAGCTGTAGTTTAATGAAGATCACTAGATATCCTTGTAAGCGACATAAGCGAGGATTGAAAAATTCCCGGATTGAACTACCGGAACTTTTGCCGCCTGTGCCGCATAAAAATAAGATCAAACAAAGTAAGAGAAAAAAACCAATTGCATGCGTTGTACTTATGAATGCACTTCGGGATAAGTTTTCCAAATTAGCATCGGACCAATGCGACCCCGTTAACTGTCATTCTTATCCAACTTTGACTTTTCGGACTGGCCCGTCTGCCAAAGCCCTAGTCAGTGGACCCGAAGGAACGGCGGCTTCGCTTCCAGTTGGTGCTGGCCATCGGGTGATGTGTGTCAATAAATGCAAACGCACTCTGACAGCTATGTTTTAGATTTCCGGATCCTTCCAAGGTGAATATGATTGATTGTATTGATTGTATTGTTATGTATTGGTACCGACCCGAAACTTAACTGACACGTAGTAAAAATTAAAAAAATATATATATAAAAAAGCACATTACGGAATGGCATCCTGCAGCCGCGAATCATCTCCATGCATCAGCCGGAATAAAGGCTCCCATACAGTTACTGCCCTCTTCGTAACCAGCCCATTGCCGTATTCCGGCATCGGGTAGAGGACACACCGGTCTCCGGAGCATTCGAGCATTTCACCTGCCATTCCTGTCGTGTCGTTCAGGAAGGTTTGGAACGCGCTTAGGACCGTTTCCATTTGTGTTACACTGATTCAAGCCTGTTAGCGATATTCAGTCAATTGTTTAATAGGGGAACTCACCATTGTGGCGTGACTGCTTCGATCATCTCCGGTGGCACGATCGGTGTCGCTACAATCCCCGGCAGCACGCAGTTGATCAAGATATTCTCTCGCTGTTTAAGCAGCGGTGCAATGACTCGCACGAATTGATTGACAGCTGCCTTTGCACCGCAGTATTCCGGATAGGACGGGTGAGGAAACATGCCTCCAACACTGCTCGTCACCACAATCTTCCCTCCATGCGGCTGATTAAACTTCATGAAATGCCTCGCCAGCTGTACACCGTAGATGACACCCTTGTAGTCCGCATCTGTACAAGATAGATCCGGCTCCGGAGGAATGTCATCCACAGTCTTTTCGTGAGACCCATACTGGTAGAACGACGATTGATCCACAACCGCGGCATTGGGAATGAACATATCGATCTGGCCCCAGATTCGGTGGACATCGCGGAAGACCTTGGCCTGACTCTCATACTGCGAGACGTCTGCTTGGAAGAAGAAAACGTTGGGTCCTAAGCTGGCTGCCAGAGCTACCCCGACATCTCTGCGTCGACCGACAATGGCGACTTTCCAACCTCGGTCGGCGAGGAATTTGGCGACTTCGGCTCCGATGCCAGACTGCAGTGGTACTCATTGTCAGTAAGCTACATAAGATCGAGGTAAGACCGACTGACAGTGGCACCGGTGACAATGGCAACTTGGGTTTCTCCTCCCATTTTCTGTAGTATGCTTCTCAGTTACTGAACGAAAGAATAATGATTTGTAAATTGATCAGAGACTAGCAATGTTAGCTAGAGACATTAGCCCAATAAATGCACAGAGACAGATACAGAGAAAAGAGGCTGATCTGCTCTGTAATCATCATGGAAGCTATGACCCCGTAGGACAATTTAATCCACGTGCATTTCGGACCAAATGCCCCGGGTCATGGTCATAATAGCAAGGATCCCCTTCTGGTATCTATCGGCCGTGATGCATAATATGGAGCCCGGCAAACGGTCGACCGCACCAACAGTTACAAAAACTCAGTCATTCTGGGCCCATCTTTACGCTAAATGGGTCCCTACATGCAGGATTGTCAGCAGAACACAATTTAAAAATTATATATGCTTTTTCTCAAGCCACGCGGCGGAAACAAACCTCTTCTGGGGTAGTCTTCTGGCTGGCTGAGATTATGCTTATGGATAACCACGAATCCGGTAACTCGAACGAGCGGAATAAGTTTCGAATGATAATGATGGACATAGCATTGCGTTTCAATATTACTCGCGGCTACTTGCATCTGATTCGTCTGCCTTCTGTACGAGCACATTCTAGACCGAGTCAGTTAGTAGTAACTAATGCAGCGCGGCGTGGTGGGTGGATTCCGCGTTGATCAGTGAGTCGCATGGCATTTTATGCAATGCAGAAAACAGTTACTCAGAAGTCAGGGTTTCGGCCCATATGCCCAGAGGGACCGTGTTCCGTAGCCTAAGCGCCCCAGAAGAAAGTCGTTTTTAAGTTCTCGTGACGGACTGAAAGGGACTAACTCCATTCCACAGGACAAAGAAATACAACTAGAGGTGTCGATCCAGTGCGTCCAACTGAAAGACTGAAAAGTCTGTTCTCTTGCCTTATTGGTAATATCCCATTTTGCTGAAGGATAAAGACAAGCCTTTTCTCATCTTGGATTCCATGCTTTTCAGGTTCCGGCATTGAGTCAATCCACAGACGCAAAATTATGGCAGTCGACCAAGAAAAAGGGTTCCATGAGCCTGTTTCAGACAACAATGACCATGCATCTCATAGCACCATCAATCAGGTTTCTCCTGTCATTGAGAGTCAAGATTCCGAACCCGTCGTGACTCTCAAAACATGGATTGTTGCTTGTGTACGTGTCTCTGCTTCTTCAGTTTGCAGAAGTTCGACCTTACTGATCCTTTGGTTTCTCGCGCTAGATTCTCTCCTGCGGATATGGTCTCTCCTTCTGGCCTGTTCCGGTCGTGGCTGCCATTGGCAGTACAGTTTCTGCTGATCTGGGAGAGCCGAATGCGTATGTTTGGTTTACGCCGGTAAGTCAATCGTCTCTCGTGCTGAACTTCTTTCCGGCTGATAATGATGAATATAGGCGTGGACCATTTCGATCACTTGCGCGTTCCTTATCTTGTATGTCTCTATCCCTGCTTATATGGCTGTCGGTAACTAATTGACCCAGTGGTCCGAATACCGACTTACTTGGTCGTCGATGGTTCCTTGTAGGAGGAAACTTGGTAAGCTATTCTTTGATACGGAGCTCGTTCATGGAGATTAACATATGCAGGTCTGCACTATCGGCCATATTATCGTCGCATCAGCCAAAACGAACAACCAAATCATCGCTGGTCTCGCAATCTCTGGCTTCGGAGGAGCCAATTGTCAGATGGCCGCATTTGCCCTTCCTGAGCTTCTCCCGAACAAATGGAGACATATTGGAGTTGTCATTGCCGACTTTACTGTGTACATTGCCGTCATCTTAGCGCCAGTTACGGCTCGCTATGGCTATGAGTTCGGAACGTGGTACTGGAACTTCGGAGCTGTTGCCATCTTTCAAGGACTGTCTTTCTTCGGATTGTTGTTCTTGTACTTTCCTCCTGCGCACCCGACTGGAATCTCGTATGGCGAGGTTTTCAAATCGTTGGACTATGTCGGTATGTTTCTCTGTCCGCCTCGTCGTTGGAAGCGCTGATCTAATGCATAACAGGCGCAATTCTCTTCACCGGTGGCGCTGTCTCCTTCCTAATGGGCATCGTCTGGGCCGGTGTCTACGACTCCAACAATGCCCACGTTGTCGCCACCCTAGTCGTCGGCGCCTTCGTTCTCATCTGCTTCGCCCTCTGGGAAACCTTCAGCGGAACCCGCTTCCCCCTTACTCCAACGCACGTCTTTACCTCTTCCTGGGGCCGCGATTTCACAGCCCCCGCCATCGCCCTGGGTGTCATCAACATGTTCTACTACTCCTCCAGCATTTTGTGGCCTAACATGATCACGCAGTTCTACACCAATGGTGGCGCGGAATGGAAGTATGCGGTTGTGTTGTCGCTGCCACAGGGATTTGCCATCGCATTCGGTGCTTTCTTGCTCTCTGTTTTAGGTAGTAAGATCAGGCACTGGCAGTGGCAGTTGACGGGGTCTGTGTTGTTGATGGTCGTATTTGGGTCGCTGCTGGGAATTGTCACGCCTACTAACAAGGGTACTATGATTGCATTCATTTTCCTCTCACAGATTGGCTTTGGTTATGGAATTTACCTCAGTATCGCCATCACGCAAATGGGCGTTGACCAGAAGAATCTGGGTGTTAGTGGTGGTATTTCGGGATGTATCCGATTTGCTGCTGGGGCCAGTGAGTCTCCCTTCTCAATAAACTTAACCTGCAGGATAACAACTAACGGTATGGGAAAGTCGCAACCACCATCTACACCACGGTCTACAATAACAGACTCAGCGACAAAACCGCTGAGCTGGTCCCTCAAGCTGCCATCAACGCCGGTCTCTCAGAATCTCGTGTCTCCGATCTTCTATCCGCTGTGAGCGGCGGAACAGCTAAATTGAGCGAGTCTTTCGGCCCTGCTGTGGCCACTGCAGCTACTGATGCGTTGAATGACGCATACTGCAATGCAATTTTGTAAGTCTTTCCATCTGGTGATTCTCCTTGACGCGTTTCTGAATTTATAGTGTCGTTGCAATGGTCTCCATGGCTTTTGGTATTGTGGGAATAATTGCCTGTCTCTGCTGCAAGGATGTCGACTACAAAATGACGAATAAGGTGCGTATACAATTTTTGGCCATTGAGTTTGCTCTGATTACATGCCTAACTTTTGATTCTCCGTACACAGATCGAGGTCTATCTCGAAAACACTGCCCTCGCCGAGAGGAACGAGTACCATTAATAGACTTACCATAGGAAGCATACTGGATATTGCTGGTAATGGGTGGATAAAGTCGTGCAAGTACTGTAGTACCTAGTCCTCTGCTTTTTGCTCGCTGAATAGAGCGAAGAGTAATGACACGGAAGTCTCTTATATACAGAATAAATATATAAATAATTTCAAATTATTAGAACCTCTTTATGTCGTGTCATCACAGCGCACACTCTTATAAGTATTGGACCCTATGGAATGCTCTCTTCACTCTCATCTTAAAACAGAAGGGTAACACGATGAGCAATACAGCGCCATGATTGATATTTGAACTTGTGAGCCCGCATCTATGTAGTCTGTATTCGAAACAGAGAACCCGCATTCGTTTTCAGCTTCGATCTGTAGTATAATTTAAAGATTAGCATCTCACTTCCTGAATCTGGCCTTAATAGATCTGAGGAAAGGCACGGCAGCAAGGAGAGAGCTGTCTTGTTCGCTCTCAACACGGCCAGTCGGATCCTCAAGGGCGCTTAGACGCATATCATGCGCAGTGAGCTTTGAGTCGACGATAGGGTTGGCCTAAACGAGCGGCTAGAATCCTTCAATGACACGATCCATGTCGTCGACGACGGTTGCAACTCCATTGACAAGGGCGCTCATTCTGCCCTTTTGATAAATGCAATGTAGACGACGTCTCCGGCACTTTGTGGATATATTTGTCGTTCGACAATTATAAAAGCAATTAACTTGTCAGATTGTTCGAACGGAGATTCTCTGTCTAGTAAGTAAGAGAGACTTTCGTGCTGTGCGAAGTCGGCCTGTAATCTCCTGTGGCTGGCTCGCCAAGGCATCTAGCTTCAATTTCTTGTCAAGAAAGTGACGACACATGGTAGGACTATGTGCAATTTCCAACAGAGTGACCGCATATATTGTGGGAGAAGGAATCTTGTAATTGCTTTAGTTCGGTTTCTATGAGCTCATGGTAGACACAAACTGGAAACACACTGATCAGTATCTGGGATTCATCGTAATGGAGAATAGGGCGGAGCAACTCGCTGCCTCGAACTGTGTTGGGCATTTTTATCCACTCTACCAGGTACGACTTAAAAAAATCCGAATTAGTAAAAACACCGTCCTTCGATATCGCATACACACCGGCTTGCGCTCCAAGCCTGGACAGATTGCAGCAAGCAAGCCAAGAACAACCGATGATTGCAATATTGGTACTCGTCATGTCTTTTATGCTCTCGATCAAGTCTGCAAGGAAAGACGGCACGATTTCTAGCTCAATTGACGTGACCACTCAATTGCTGGACTTCATGGACGCGAGCATGTACCACAGACCGTAACCTGGGGATCACCTTCGCAAGGGTAAGGGTTGGTGATAGCCAACTATTTGTCGCAGAATGGTTCGAACGGGCGTGGGAGAATCACACTCGTTAATGCTCAATGTAGCGTCTATGATGCTGTTCTAGCGCGTATTCTCGGGGTGAGCTCGAAGCTCCGAGCACAGGGCTAGTTGCATCAATATAATGACCATGATAGCGCTCTAAAAGAGAAAAGATGGTATCAATAAGGCTATTTGAAGGCAAAATAAGGGTTAGAGCCAAGTGGGATGACGGAAATAGTAAGCTGTGAGCCTAATAAGAGAAAAGGAGATGGACAGCTAAATTGGAGGTAACAGTTACACTCACCACAGTCAAGCTAATTGTATACAGGAGTAGTGTTAGCTCTGCAATATCTATCAGTCTGTTGATAACTAGAATATCGGCCCTTAACATCAGCTCAATCACAATTTCTACACTCTATTCTGGAGTCGGCGTTCTTATCATCGCACTCTTGCGTGAGTTCTCAAGTATCCATGCAGCCCAGTCAAGCTTCGAGTTTATCCTGCCAAGTATCGAGTTAATCTTATCAGATTCCTGTTCCATTCTGTCCCTGTCGAATGTGGCTTCCATATAATCCGTCTGAGGGTTGACCGTTGGTGGTGGACGAATCTCTTGTTCAATCTCCAAATCTGATTCCTCCATGTCGCTCACCAAGTCTTCCAGGTTCATCTTGATCTCACGGGCTTTCTCAGACATTGCATCCAAAGAAGCTTTGATGTGGGATCTCGCCTCAAGCGATTTACTGAAGTAGTTCTCGAGGTGGTCGTTCAACGCTGCAAGCTGAGCCGCAAATAGTTGCGATTCCTCGCTCGATTGGGGCGCTAAGTTGGACAAATCCTGGTCTTGGGTGTCCATGACTCAAACAACGTGACATCATAAGTGAAATATGAGATAAATGGACTGAAGCACGACTGTATTGTTATATCTAAAGACTAGAAAGCTCCAGGTCTGATCAGATTAGATCTGAGCCCTACAGAATATGAGGTGGGACTGACTAAATCGGGAGTACCACTGTTATTGCATTGTAAAGGACTACAGGGAGCAACTTTGCCCTTCTTTCCTATCTGCCCCCGACAAAAACCACAAGCATACTGGCCATAGCAACATAAGCATCAACAGCCATACAGGACAAAATGAATTCGTCTCCCCAGCATAAGTTTTATCCTGACGTTAATCCTCCAAATCAGCGTTGTCGATCCTCAATTCGTTCAATCGGTCCTGAAGAAGCGCAACAAGTCCTGACTTGATATCGTCCAATGATGATTCAATTCCGTCAACTTTGGAGTCAATGTTATTTACCTGGGACTTGAAATCTGGCAGCATGGTATCAAGTTTCTGTTCAAGTCTCGAAACATCTTTTGGGATTTTCGGCGCGTCTTGTGAGATCGTACTTGCAGAGAATTCCGCATTCTTCTTAAATACACAGTCCTCGAAGCGAGCTTGCAAGCCACATAGCTGATTGAGCATAAATTCAAGTTCTTTATCTTTTACTTTTCTTGATATTTCATGCTGGGTGACAGTTGATTCCAATGCATTGACTCTTGCTTTCAATTGTGAGATTTCCGATGATGAGTCGGGTGAGGTATCGAAGTTCATTGCTGCCATTATTCAGGCAATATTTCTCGGCTAGGATGATGGCAGGATGGAAAAAGGAGAAAGGGAGAGTAATTAGTAAATAAAGCTGTATGACTCAAGCACTAGGCAAACAATAGGCAACACAGACTAGACAAATCATGAAATCATGCAAATACAGGTATTGGTTTAACTGTCAAGACTTGTATACTTGTATTTCCCCCCAAAAAAGTGAGCTTTCTGCTCTTAGCCTGGGGATCGAGATCAACTGTTGTTGTCTATCTTCATAGGCATATCGCCATTTATGAAGCGGAGGACGAATCAAAGAGTAAACAGAGCAGTAAATTAAGGCACAACAGCATTTCTAGAGCTTCTGGATACGCTTGTCCAGATGGACAGCAACTTTTTACAGTTCAAAATAAATAATCTTCAATTGGAGCAGCAACGTTATGCGTTCAGAAAAAAGATCCATCTTGAATTTCTATCTAATCATATAAAAACGAGTGCTAGCTCTTGGGCAATTCCATCAAGACACTTGAAGCAACTTTTTCTGTTTTTGATTATTCTGCTTTTGTGAGGACTTTCAGGATACTGACTGTAAGCAACGGCGACATTCTCTGGCAGCTCTGCTGATGCAGTGTTAGTCCTTCAACATCTGCTCAATCACAGTTTATGCGTTCTAGTTTTATATCCTTCCTCAAATCTCGACTTCAACGCTCCACTCTGGAGTCCCTTCTCCAGAATTGATAGAACTAAATCGGCCTTTTAAGTCCATCCGGTCGAACGTCGTGTTCATCCTGTCAAGTGCTACGTTCCTATTGTTGAATCCGAGCTCCATGCTGCTCAAATCCCAATTTCAATTCCGTTCCCTTCTTCTCCAAGTCCTTCCTCGTATCTGTCAAGAGTTCCGTAGTAGCCTGACGTTCCTCATTTATGAGGGCCAGAGTATTTGCCATGTGGGTCTTCCTTTCAATTAACTTATAAAATCCATTGAAGAAGGCCTTGAGGCGGTCACTGGATGCATCAAGCTGAGCTGCAGATCCTTGCAATTCCTCGATCATTCGTGAGAGCCGAGACGCTATGTCAGAAAGCACTTGGTCTTGAGAATCCATGGTGTGTAGATGGGTTGAAGTACTTGGCTGGCAATGAGAGGAGAAGCGGACGAAGAACAATGGTGGATGACTAGTAGGCTGCTAGGTTATGATATCAGTGTAATAATGAACTTTAGGGCTGTTAGGCAGAAATTTGAATAAAACAAAGCGCCACAGCATTTCATGTTGACTTTATATATCACCCGGATAAGGCATGTTTTGCCGACCTCGATAGTAGTGAGTGTTGACCGAGGAATAGCAGATACTACTTATTCTATCTTAAGGCTGAGCAACTGTCGCACCTTCCTCTCTGAATCCTACAGCAGATAGATGTCGATGGAAGAAAGAGGATATAGTTCAATAAAAGCAGTAACGCTATCATTGTATTAGAAAAGACTAGTACTAGCTTGTCAAGCAACTTCCAGTACGACTAAGGACCCCAAGTATACTGATCATCAGCAATATTAACATCAGCGAGATCTCTCAGTGTCAGGTTAATCCTGACGACTTTCTACCTTGCCCTCGTCACTCAAGGTATCATCGAGGCAACATTATTACTAGCAACTCTTATTTTCCTCTTAAGACTATCCACTGTATCTTCAACATTCTCAAGTCCCCTATCGACATCCTGGAGCTGAGACTTCACTTCAGGCAACAGATCGAGCTTCTGATCCATATCCGTAAGCTTGCTTGACATCTCTTGCTTGAACTTTGATATGCTTGCAAGAGTGTCAGCTGGCATGTCCAGGGAGGATAGTATATCATGTTTTAGGCCAGTCACTTCTCCACGTAACTCATTCATCGAGTTCATGAGGCGGTTATGTTCTGCTTCGGATGCTGCTCTAAATTGAGCCACGCTTGCTGTCAATGCATCGATGTTTGCTCGCAGTTGTGAGAGTTCCGATGATGATGGTTCGGATGAGGTGTGAATCTGGAGCTTCATGGCTTACGGATGATTTGGGTAGCGTGTTTGTCTTTTCGACCGAAAATAAATCAGATAGGGAATAAATACTCGAGCAATAGGCAAACAACACCTCCTTTTCAACAGGCAGCAATAGGATATCTAGATTTGATATTGACATCATGGGTGAAAGTGATTGACGTTCAAACAGCCCTATAGAACTCGCCAACATCGAATATGTGACGGTCTCGAGCAATATGAGTATATTGGTAGATTATCTGACAAAATTCTAACATGAGGAGAGAAAAGGAAAGAGGCAGGCCTGCCGGCGACGAGCTATCTAATGTGTGCGAGGGGTTTAAGCGAGGCTCAGTGACTGTCCATGCTCAGTGAATGTCTATGCTCCGTGACAGAATACATCATGATTTACACTCTACCTACATTTGTCCTCTTTTAACCTTCCTACTATGGCGTTGTTTTTTTTTTTTTTTTTTTTTTTTTTTTTTTTTTTTTTTTCTAGGGTTAATATAATCAAGTCCATTCTCACTCAAGCCTGTCCAATGTGGCTTCGATGCCATCCGTTGAAGAACCAACGCGCTGCAATTGCAACAGCACAAGAGACCACCTGATATAAAGAGAAATTTGTTTCCATTTGATAACAGATGTAATCAGAACAAACAATACAGTGTCATAACTAATATTTGTGAACTTGTTTCCATCAACACATGTCCCGTGTCCATTACACCTCATTCTCAAAATAGACAACTCAATCTTCTCTATGGTATAGATTAGTATTTTACTGTGACTTATTAAATCTGCGGAAATGCGCAGGGACAGAGTTTCATCTTTTTTGCTCTTGATACGAGCAATGCGAATTTGCAGGGCATTGAAGCGCATATCATGCGCAGTTAGTTTCGAGTCAACTATAGGGTCGATCTAATTCAAAGTCCAGTGGGAACTCTCAATGACTCGTTTTATGTCATTGATTATTATAATGACTCCGTTGGAGAGTTATGTTATACTGGGGAATGCGTCAAAGCTGTTTGAGGCCGAAGTCGAACTCGTGCTGAGGTCCGTGGAAGGTCGCCATTTGGCTGACATTCTTGAGATGTAATCTAACCTCACTCAAATCAATTCGCTCATTTGTCCTAGCGAGCTTGGTTACATTCCAAGTGTCATAGGTCTCTTTCTTGAGGCGCGTTTCGGTTGGGGTACAGTTTCTTCCCAGTGGCTGTGATTACACTATTAGCAGCTATATTGAGCCCAGGATTACAACTGGGGGAACTGACCAAATCGCATAAATAAGAGTTCTCGCCCAGATGACGCGCCGCTCTAGGTCTCCATTGGCTTCTTGCAAACAATGACTTCAACACATTGTCATTAAAGAATCTGAGACAGAAGATGGTGTGTTAATAGTGTCGACTGTAGATTCCTGTTCAAAGCCTCCGGAATATAATCGAACATGGAGTCACATCAATCGACTTCCTTTGCTTCAAGGAAGATATACGTTCCCCCAAGCGACTCAATCGCGCGTTGATGGCTCCAACGCGAGCTTTAGCAGTGGGCGATGATAAATGGAGATCAGGTTCCAAGATCAGGTTTCCAAGATCTCGATGCGGCTTTGGTTGTCTTGATCGATATTCTTCTCCAGAGTAGCAATCTTGGCTTCTATATTTCCCACTCTCCATTTAAGGACATCGCTGTCGTTCTTGAAGCTGGCAATTCTGAGCTCCAAACGCTTGATCTTGTCTCCTAGCGCCTTCTTCATCGAAAGACGTTTTTCCATACTTCTCGTAGCCTTTATGTTCCTTGCAAATGTGGGACATAATGGGAAACGTAGGGAAGGTGCTTTCTCGAATATAAAAGTGGACCAAAGAGCCAATACGTTTCTTTTTCGGTTGTCCATTGACGGAAGAGCAGCAGCACTATCAATACAGATCCATGAGTATGGATACGTGGACTGTGGATCCGTATCCATCATATCCCCGTTATCTGAGACAAGCTCAATTTGTTGATATGATCTAGCATCTTCACTCCTAAAATCAGAACGTTCTGGTAGCCTTACCAGATTTGCGGGAACGTTCGATGCAGCAAGGGCAACACGGCCAATGCGGATTTCAAGGGCACTGAGATGCATGTTGTGAGATGATAACTTGGGGTCAATAATAGTATCAGCCTAAATCAAATGCTGAAAGCCTTTGATAGCATTTTTCATGCCATTGAAAATGGTCACGACTCTGCTGGAAAGTGCTCTCAGTTGTGTTGTATCCCAAAGCGCGAATTGTAGCGGTACATTAAGCTCGTATTAGCACGCAATCGTATATTAATGCATACTGTGAAACCTATCGTGCTTGGCCTTCGAGATAGGTATTGGTTGTGTCCTATACAGGCTTTGTTAGTATCATCACTCTTTGAATAAAAACGGTCTGGTAAGCTTATTTAAGCATAATCAATAAGACAGCCCATCAACTGGCTGAAAAGCCCATCCAGATTTGTCTCCATACGGTCCATGTGCGCGTCCATGGCGGTCATCCGCTAGTCGGATGAAGCAAGGACGCGTTAACCAAGTTAGAAAGAGTAGAAAACGCGTCGAAAATATGGTTCAAATAAAGAGCCACGTTATTTATTTCAACTGACATGGGCTTCTTCGTGGCATCGTCTTTGGCTTCGAGAGCATGGACGGTATGGCATATGTTCGTTCAAGTGATTGGCCATGTTCTTGACGTCTTCGACAGATTCGATTCGTTTAGCAGCTCGACAGAGTAGTGAACCTGCTCAATGACATATACAATTTGATCCATGCCGGAGCTTGGGAGTCCATCTTGTCCGATGAAGTTGTTTCGAGAGACAATAAAGCTTTTCGAAAAGTAGAATAGACTAAAAATACTCGTGTGTGGTTTGGTGATGGTGAGGGGATCAAAAGGAAGATAGCTCAAAACACTTGAAATTGCCCCCTTCCCCTCAAGTATGCCCACTCATTATAATGAATAAAGCACCCTACATGCGTGTTTTCAATCCAAACGATCTCCTTCACTCGATACTAGAGATCTGCGCTAAACCCTAAAACCGCCCCCACCGATTCCCGCCTTAGTAATACGAGCCCTAACCACGTATACACTCTTACGGTCTACAATATTGGGGGCCATCACTGCCTCAGAGCATGTATATAAATATATCTTTCTTTAAACTATTCCTTGTCATCTCTTTACTCTCTCTCTTTTTTTTTTTTCTTTCTTTTTTTTGAATTTATTCCTCAAACAACCAATATGCTCTCAGAAACACTGCTCAAAACACCACTCAGAATGCCCGCCGGGTCCGAATACAGCAAAACCACCACCCCAACAACAAAACCAACGAAACCAACCACGCAACCAACCTCCAAATCAATACTAACCCTCCTCCTCCTTCTGACAGCCCCCTACATGCTCTGGAAGCTCCTCTGCCTGATAACAGGCTCCTCAATCCCGATAATGGTGGTGATATCCGAATCCATGGCACCCGCCTTCCACCGCGGTGATATCATCTTTCTCTGGAACCGGTCGAAGCTCGTGAATGTGGGGGATATCCCGGTTGTTTGGTTTAGGAGTCAACCGTTGCCGATGGTGCATCGTGCGGTGCAGGTTTTTGGGGATGGTGTTGTGTACGTTTCCCTTCCTTCCTTTCCTTCCCGTCTTGCTCTGCTCCGTTGGATTGCATGAGTGGGTGATTGTTTGGTGATTACGGGGGTGCTAATGGATTAGGCAACATATTTTGACGAAAGGGGATAATAACTATATCGACGATGTCGGGTTGTATCCACCTGGACGATCGTGGGTGCGGAGAGATGAGGTCGTTGGTATTGTTAAGGGATATTTGCCATCGTTGGGGTGGTTGACTATCGCTGCGAACGAAATGCCTTGGTTACGGGGAATGGGGATCGTTTTTGCTTGTCTTATAGGGATGGTTTCAAACTAATGTACGAGAGGTTTCTTTTATGTTCAATCTCAGAAATTATGCATTGCATTAACTCGTAACGTTTTATCCATCATGATGGTATGCCTGCAAACCAAACATGCAACATGCTACTTATACATCCGTCTATTTATCTATGCTTTGGACTGGTTCAATCTCTTGGTCATACTGCAACAAATTAGTAACGAGCCCGAGTTCATCATAAGGAGGCGACTTACAAGTCAAAGAACGAGAACTGGCTAGGGCTGCTGCCATACTCGTACACGAACCGACTCGCCAGGTAACTGCCAAAGATGGCCCGCAGATAATTTTCCGGCACCTATTTCAGTTAGCCTAGTCCTGACACAAGATTCAAAGGAAATGCTTACCCGTCCAAGAATGGTCTCAAGGCCAATCTTGTCCAGCAACAACTTCGGAAGCGCATCACTCAGCACCGACCGACGAAGTTCCACGTTGTCCCACAGTTCGGTCTTCTGCAGCTCTTCATCCAGCTTGGTGATGGCCAAGCTGAGTCGGTCACTCAGTACACTGCGGAGCAAATTGGTCTGTTCATGTTCGCGCCACATGGCCTCGAACTCCAACGTAGCGTTCTGCTTGATGACCTCCTGCACCTGCTTGACGTACGCCTTGTAGAACTCGGGAACCGTGCCATCCTCGCGGATGCACATGTGCTCCACGAACTCCTTGTCGTCAAAAGACAACGACGCCAACACTTCCAGCGATGACGAGGTCACACCACCCTTGTTGGCCGAAGCATCCTTGTATAGGATACTGCCAGCCTTCTCCAGTCGGAGCTTGCTGTCTTGGGTGATGAACAGGTTGGCGCCTTCGACAATGTACGGGAAGGTCGATTTGCCGTCCTTGATGAGCTTACCCACCGTCGCCAAGTCAATCGATTCGGGTCGTCCACCACAAGGCACGAACATATCGTACGGTTGCTCAGTCCGCAGATGGAAGGTGTTCCGGAAGATCATGCCGTTGTGGACCAACTCGCCACTGGGAAGCTTAACGTCGCTCTCGTCCACCAACACGCGGTAGCCGGTTGGCGAGAGTTTCGATGTGTCGAATTCGGAGATGGTAACACGCTTCGTGGCCAAGCGACGGAGTTCACCGATATCCAGACCGTTGGGGTCGACAATAACTCCAGAGCCGTCCACAATAGCCGTATACTTTTCGTTGGACAGCAGAATTTCATTAGATCCCAGGTCACCATCGGGACCGCCAGTCTGCAGTTTCCGGATCGTGGAGGGGTCAATCTTCAACTTGCGGTAGATGCCCTGCACGTACTGACGCACCGACAGGGTCGTCATACCGTAAGTATCGTGGGGAATACCACCCAGCTTGGGATTCTTGCCCGTGAAGAAGGACTTCCACCAGGGAGCACCACGGTTCTTGGCGTGTTCAGTGGCCCAGTCGACCAGTTCAGCCGTATTCTCATCCGGACCCATGAACAAAATTTCATCATTGCCGTGCAGGTCGACGATGGGGTCCTTGATACCAGGGCTGGTGGGCGGCAGAAGCAGGTCCAGAATACTGTCGATGTACTTTTCAAAGGCCACGCTTGCCTTGTCCTGGTGGTTGACGTCCAGCAGGATAACACCCTTGGCACCGCCTTCGGGAATGTCCTTGTTCTTGCGTTGCTGCGTGTTGGCCAAGTTGTAGTTCTCGTCGAACAGCGAGCGGGCGTTGATACTGTAGGCCTCCTTGTTGCGACTCTTGACAATGCGGATACCGCCACGGGCGATGTCGCGGAAGCGCAGGTGGAATCCGCGGAACTCGGAACTGATAACGAGGAACATACCGTACAGCGGCTGGGGGTACTCGTGCTGGGGCAAGAAGTTCGGGTTGAGACGGAAGCTCAGGGCGACCTTGGTGGGGGTGAAGAAGTTGGTCTTGAGAATGGAGCTGTTGAAAACCCGCAAGGCGGTCATGACCATCTCATCGTGCTCGTTGGCTGCAGTGGTGGCGATCAGCTGCTTCAACCGGTTGCTGTCCAGCACCTCATCCACCTGGAGTCGCAGGTAACTCAGAGTGGGAAGGAAGTCATCTCCAGAGGGACCCTGGGTCTGGACGTAGTGGGTGTTGGCAAAGTCAAGGTAGATCTTGTGGATCAGCTCCGGGTACTTGTTAATGATCTCGAGGATGTAGTCGGAAGTGAAGGTCTCGGTACGCAGACGCTTCTTAATCTTGGACAGCAATTCGGCATGGACGCTGTTGTTCGAATCGAGCAGGGCCGACAGGGAGTTGTACTCTGAACCCAGACGGTTGAGGAACTGCTGCACAAACACCCAGCCGCAGTGAGCATAGATAGTCTCCTGCAAGCTGAGGCGGCCACTGGCGAAGTGGTGCTGGAAGCGGTTCTGCGGAATGCAGTAAAGCAGCGAAACTTCCTTGATGATCTGGTGGATGGCGGCCTCAATGGGCGGGAACTTGCTTTGCACTTCCGGTTGAGAGGGGCGGAGGTAGAGGGAGATGATGGTGATACCATTGGAGAAGTTCTCGAGGTATTTGCGGGAGCTGGTCAGACGGTAGTAGTGGTAGAGGTCGGACAGAGCGCTGAACAAGCCCATGGCCGAGCCCCGACGATAGGCAATGACCAGGCGCTTCTCGCGGCTGCCCTCGATCTCGAACATCTCGATGACGGGACCAGAGCGACCAACGACATTGTTGATAATATCTTGGTAGACGGCCTTCGTGTTGGGAGTGGCCTTCTGGAGGAACCGCTTTTCACCAATGACATCGATGTTGGTCTCATTGTGATCCGGGTTGGGGTTGGCGAATTGGCACTTGTAGACGAAGTAGCAGCGGAGCTGTTGCTCGTTGTCGCCAGGGAGAGGAGTAGGAGAGCGGAAGGTTTCAACACGGTAGCTGTTGTCATTGGTGGAGCCATTAACATATTTATTATCGATGCGCTGCTCGTAACGGGGACCGTCAACAGCAGCGACACCGGGCCTGCTGGTGTCGATGTAGACGGCATGGTCCTCAGCCTCCTTGTCAAGGCGGATCTCGAGCTTCTTGTCGTCACGAGCGTAGGCAGCTACCTTGGCTGCGTAGAGAGAAAGAATATGGGAGACGATAACATCGACAGACTCGGTCTGGAAGTAGGTGTCGTCGATTCCCAGCATGTTGTAGAACCAATTGGTTTCCGAATCGATAAAATCGCTTGGGAAGAAGCCCTTTTCTTCTAATTGGTCCATGACTAGGCAAGTTAGCAGGCGATCTATGACACTGAATAAAGGTACTGCAGCTCACCTTGCTCCATCTGCTTTTGTTTGCCCTCAAACTTGGCAGCAATGTATCCAGGGTCCTCCTCGGACAGGACTCGATGATTCCCCCCGGGAACACCCAGATGGGTCGGCTGGGGAGAAGGTTGGCGCAGTGACGACTGCAGGGCTGCCTCGAGGTTTTTGTTCTGAGGATAACGCTGGAAACCCATAGGGGTCCCTGTGCCGGAATGTGATCCATCGTTGCTGGCAAACAGCTTGGGGCCCTGACGGGTGGGCAGAGTATGATCGTCATTATTGACGTGACCGTCAGAATGGGGAGGAAGAGGAGACGCCATGTTGGTTATTTTTTATTTCGAGGATTCGTTTCGATGGAATATGAAGGACATGTGCGAAGAAGAAAAAAGAAAAAAGAAAAAAACTAGGAGAATTGAAGAAGAGTCAGTTTTTAAGAGCTTTCTGATAGCTAGGAAGATGCGAGTAACCGGAGAGTTTAACGAGCAGATGAGATGGCCCAACAGAAAGATAAGAAGGATACACAATCGGGACAATATCAAGAGACACGAGAGAAGTCGATAAGATTGGAATGAAGGGATTTGAGCAGACATACAGGGGAGGGACACTTACCGGGAAGATGTGGTGGACTCGGAGCAAGAAGCTATCGAGGTGTCGATCGAGGATAAGACGCGGGGGATAAGCGCTGATAAGGAAGAGAATGGCAGGAGAGATTGAGATAGCAGGATTATAACAGTTTTATGAAGATTGAAAGATTGATATAAGAGAAGACAGTCTGTCTGAATTGTGGTTTTTCAAGATGGAGAAACGGAAGACAGAGAGAACCGGTTCTTATATAGTCGAGGACCCCCAGTATGTCATCACAGGTAACGAAATACCGCTTCTATGCGATCGGCCAGGAACGGGGTATAATGAATTATGTTACTTAACGCCAGTGGATGTTATAGGCTGAGAAGTGTAACAAAGCTACAAGTACTAGTTATTATGTTTCTCCTCTTCTCCCTCTCCTCCCTTCTCTTCTTTTCTCTTCTTTGGTCTTTTCTATGGAGATCAAGTGACATCAGGCGGGGAGCCACGTGACCTCTGATTGGCTGGTATCTACAGTCTCTGTTTCTTTCGATTGCCCTCCATCCTCAGTGAATAATTTCTCTACACAAAATCTCGCAATCCCCGGTTTCGATGTGTCAATTGCAAAGAAATCGCTCTTTTTCCCTGCGTAATGAAATAAAAAATGCCGCAATGTCCTTACTCTTTCACGGTCACGGGATGCTTAGCTGATCTGCCATCCAATTGGAAGAAGCTGCCGATGGGGATGTCTCGGCGCTCTAATCGAATTATGGCTGGTATTGTTACGAACCGTTTTACTCGATGATATTCTGGGGTAATATTCAATCTGCTGGGAATTCCCCCGTTTCTCGACTCTGGGCTTGTCTGGGCTTTCTTAGTCGAAACTTAACAGGTCGATCTATCTTTGGCCTTGCGCACACCGCCGCACCAGCCACAGTGGGGAACCATCAGCCTTAGGACTAGGTGAGCTCTCAAGTATGAAGAGAGAATTGAAAATTGCCATCATTGGCGGCGGTATCTCCGGCTGTACCGCTTACCTGCAGCTCAAAAAACACCTGCCCGGAAATCACGACATCACCATCTACGAAGCTTACAATACAGACCAAAACGCCACGCATGCAGACTGGCAAGATGGTCCAACTCACTCGTCCACTCTAGTCGTGGGTGGCGGCCTTGGCCTCGGCCCCAATGGCCTGCATGTTCTCCAGCGCCTAGATGAGAATCTGGTCCGCGACATCGTGCGAAGCGGCTATGTCATCTCACACGGCAACATGAAGGACAAGAGCGGGCGTCTGCTCGTCCGCATGGATACGACAGCTGACCCTGCATCTTCACCGGTCAATCAATCCACGCATGTCCTTGGCTGCAGTCGTCACGCGCTCTGGCGGTGTCTGCGCGCCCGCATTCCAGACCGCGATGTTGTCTGCAGGCGTATTGATGGGGTCATTGCGAACCCAGATGGACGGAACGTGATTACATTCGTTGGCGACATTAATACCGCTGAAGCAGACCTGATCGTTGGTGCTGATGGACTCAAAAGCACCGTCAAACGGGCGTTGTTTCCTGAGGCGAATGATCCGTATCCGCCTCGATATGAGTACGTACACCTTGTAGCTTCACCAGCATGACAGAAACTAAAGTAAGTAGAGGTTTAGTCGGAATTGGAGGCTTCATCCCCGCCGACCAAGTCCGCGAGCACGTCGAACCAGGCTCCATGAATTTCATCCTAGGCGGGAACGGCTTCTTTGGATACTTCTTCGCTGAGAGCGATCCCGCCGCACCACACCGGGACGCGCCTTACCACGTCTCAGAGCCAGGGGAGTCTCTCGCCTGGTGGTCGACGTACTCAGCAGACGAATGTCCCGATCCTAAAACCCTGGATAAAGACGGCGTCGTGCGCCAGCTGCGGGAGCGGCACGCTAACTGGGGAGACCCAGTTATCCAAAGCATTCTGCATTCCCTGCATGTCGACAACATGTATCCAACATGGACATCACCAACTCTGCCAAAATGGGAACGCTTCGGGGTAGTTCTCGTAGGCGACGCAGCACATGCCCTACCACCAACATCAGGACAAGGATCCTCACAGGCATTGGAAGACGTAGAAGCACTTAGCATGTTCCTGGCTCATTACCTAGGCCGGATAAGTGACAGATATGCGAACACACAAGATTATACACTAGCCATCCGAAGAGCAACAAAAGACTACGAACAACTCCGCCAACCGCACGTCGCAAACATCTTGAAGCGAGCGCAGCAGTCGCAGAACTCAAAACGCACCATGAGCTGGGTCGAGGAGTATGCAATGTACTGGTTCATGTGGGTATTAGGTGGGTTTCTCAGAGTCTAATTGTCCCGTTGATGATCGTTTTCCTCTGACTGTCACAGGCTTCTTTCCCGGGTGGATGACCGGGCCGGTGCAAGCCGAGTACAATTACAATGTTGCGGAGGATGTTGAGGGGCGATTGCGATAGTATAGTAGGCTGTTATCTTGTTGATATTTACTGTATTCTATATTTTTAGTTGTATTCGATAGTTTGTACGTCACGGCTGATATGTACACTACTAATATTGCATGGTACTTATCGCAACTGTGGCGGTGCATATACTACAAGCGGATAGCCACTTGACATTGCATTCGCGGTTGCAATCAATATAGACATATCATTTCTAGCTAGTAAATACATCACGTATCTCATTCACCTCTCTGCTGTTATGGGACTCATCTCTTCCAACATGGGATCACGATTCTTCGTTGCCCAACATCTCACCACTACCAGAGAGCTACACAAACCCTTCCCGCAATGGATGAACACACTATAGTGCGCACTCTCTGATGATACCCAGATACTCGATTGCCTCTCAGCGTACGATGCATTCTCTGCCTCGATACTATCCATGACATAAAAAAGAAAATATGGAACGTGAACCAGATGGCACTTACATCCCCACAAGCCGGTCCATACAGCTTCTGTGCAGGCGATGATAGTGGTCTTGCGGAAAGAAAGCTTGTTCATTTAAATCCAAAGACGGATCCACCACAAGCGATTCTCTCCTATATAAGAATGAAGTCAACATTGACACCGTACACCGCAAGCGCAAGAGGGAACCGATGCAAATACTCTTTTCGAATAAAGCTTTAATTGAACCCGGCAAACACGCTGACCCTAACCAGCATAAACTATCTGCAGCGTTTAGAGATGCCTTTGCAACAAATTGCAAGTTCACGTATGTGGAACACCTGCCAGCGGGAAGTCAACTCTCGCGCGGCTTTTATATGACCATACAATCATGTGTGACAGGCTCGATCCCAATTTTTTTTTTTTTTTTTTTTTTGGGGGGTATATTTAATATACCGCCTTTTATGAGAATGTACTAAGCATTATATTCAACGAGCATGGAGATGACTCGTACTGAGAGAGAAGATATGCATACTGACTATTGATGAGGCACAGCTATCGTACAGTTATTTCAGCATAGAATGCGCTCTCTACGACATACATGCTATCAACAATAATATGGGGCTCGCCCACATCGCTCGCCACGACCCAGCTTCTAAGACCATATCTGTACAGGTGAGAATGTTTTTTACAGAAGAAAATCCTAAAATATTGGATTCACGTCAAGTGGCGAGGAGAGGCTTTCCTCGACCAAAGCTGGGGCCATTGTTGCAAAAGGGGTCCGATAGTGAAGCCAGAAGCATCACTCAACAATCAGAGAGATAGCAAATGCTATGATCGATCACCGATATCAACCTGCAGTCGACATGGAGCAATTACTACTCAAGGATACGGTGACCACCTCTATATAGTAAGAAGAGAGATGAGTTTACGGTAAAATTGATCAGCTATGACAGCTGTATCTGAAAGAATTTCCGAAAACAGGAAAGTTTTCTGGACAGATGTCCATCATCGCAACACTGCAATATCTCCCTTTAATAACGAAGCACGAGGTTGAGCTTCTCGTCCGAATGGTATCGAATTTACGACGATTCCAGCGAATTCCATGATCAGATACCGTTGAACCTCTACGGAAGCAATAACAGCAAGTTGCAGTAGTTGAACCCCCATAACCGGCAGCTCGCGGCGTGGGTACAGACTCGGGGCGTGGATCATATAGAGTGTGTTGACGCAAAGATGGATCAAATGCTCAGCAGCCTGCTAACCCATTTGGTCTCCGTCGTCTAGATAAGCCTACCAGACCGTTTATATTCCAAGGGCGGTGATACTAGCAAACCCTGAATAAGAACCAAATCCAACTCGAAGCATTGCGCAGGTACTAGGCTGGTGGAAATACGGTTACGTGCTGATGGATAAAAAAGAGCCTACACTCTGCCATCAACAGTGCTGGCTACTTCCCCCTCAACCCGTCTCACTCGTTATTCCGACCAGTCGACCCAAGTCTCCAACAACCAGCCAGGAGCTATATGCCGACGTAACAACGGGTGAGCAAGTTGTTTACGCTTATCCAATGGGGATTCATCAAGCATACACTTCCTGAAATCTGTTCCAGTTACCGCTAGCCTGAGACACTTAAGAACACATTCACGGAGCACATCGTGTCCTCTTACCTTTTACCTCATTGCAAACAGCCAACCTCAACACCGGAAGGCAATTCCACGCGGTATCCCTGAGAAACACCACAAGACCATCAAACCACAGTACCAAGACGAACTATACCGCACATACTATGAAACGCTCGGTTGCGAGTCATATCTTAGTTCAAGCTGAACTGAAGAGGAGATTGGCAGCCGCGCGGTCTTCGTCATTAATCAAATACACTGGGTAATAGGATGCCTTCGTGACGGGAAAGATATTACGTTTCAAAGCTGCACGAGTAGATGACGAGTCTCGTCACCGTGCGATACGACTCAACGGCTCACTTGGACCAATGGTTCCCATATGCATGGGAGATAGTCAATGATTATGCGTACAGATGTTCAGGGATCATGAAATGATGAGGCCAGAAGGAGAGTCGAGCTCGCGCTGTGCGGGTCTTTGCGCATAGCCCTCATCGTTCTGTATCAGGCTTTTGACGTATTCTTCAATGCCATGAGTATGAGGGCTGTGGAGGCAACGGCCAACAAATTAGTGGGCTGAATCAAGTTTTTCTACCAATGCGTGGACTGCATTGGAAGCGTGCAAAGCTGTCTGCAAGCACCGCCCTGAGTTGGCACTGGCTTGCGTAATTGCCATCAACGTTATGTTCAGGAAGATGTATGATGCAGGCACTGAATCAAGCACCGAAATCAATGCCAGCTGGCAGGTCGGAGAAGCTCTAGCCCAATAACGGTTGAAGCTCGTCTTGGTGACTCGAGCTGCCCAGACGTCTGAAAATTGGGCGGGATAGACGCACGAGGCCCACCAGTTAGGCGCCCTATCCAAGGGCAAGGTTATCATGTTGATTCTGCGGATGATTGGACGCTGTATGAATCTCGATGCAGATCTAGGCTGGGTGATCTGCCTTGAGGGGAAAGTACAAAGTAATGCCGACTTTATTTATCGAATTTGAATTTCGGAAGTAGATCCCCAGACAATAAAATTACTGCACGCGACCAATCGCACTGCACAGGGTGCATAGCTGTAGGTCTAGAATATATCCTGCAGACGCATGTATACGGAGCCCATAATGGAAAATCCACCCTCACCAAAATAAAGGGTCCAAGATCATCGCACCAATAACACACGACACTGGCGGTGAATGAATAAGAAAACAACAGAACAACAAAAGAAAACGAAACAAATCCTGTCAGATGATATGTAGCCCCCCTATCCAATATCTCTATCACATCGGCTCTCCTCCATACAGACGACGTGCCGAGCAATTCCCGAGAATCTACTGAATCACGGCTCGTACTTTTTCCACGCTTCCAGACGACCGGATCCCTTTCCCCAGACGATCGGATGCATTCCCGGCATTCCAGCGATCTACTAGCTGTAGAATCGCTACAAGGAGTAATATCGCATCCCTTGTCCACGTATTCATTGCCTCCTAGTTTCCTACCCGGGGGTGAAGCACGTCCCAGCGGAAAGGTCTTAAATATCCCCTGATCCTTTCTTCTCCAGAATTTCTATCAGAATCAGAATACAGAGAACACAGGCATAAGATCAAGAGAGCAAGTTACCTTGTGAGACACCTCGGTAAGTCGACTGATATCAACATCGGAGGACAAGGGATTGTTTTCGTCGGACCTTTTCGGGAAGCGAATCTGGGGTAAACCGGAGTATATCTTCTGAGTGCTGATGCTGATATAAATCTAGACCGTTTGCATCACCACTGCTACATATATACCACCTACTCTACATTACCAGTCCTTTCTTCTACCTCTACGACCTACAAACCCTCAAGAGACAATCCAACCAAAAACAAAACACAATGGCCGACCGTCCCACCCTCCTCATCCCCCAGGATATCTCCGCCGCCCTCAACCAGCTAGCCATCATCTACGATTCCGACGAGGACACCACCACCACCACCACCACCAACAGCAGCTCCAAGCACCACCGTCAATCGTCGAACTCGTCCATGTCCTCGACTTCGAGTCCTCGCGGCGTTGAGTACTATCCTCCGCCGCCTCCTCCGTCGCCGGTTGTCGGGTTGGGAGCGAGTGCGTTTCCCTGGGGAGTTGAGAAGAACTCTTAAGCTCCTTTGACTGTTTTCGTCGTCTTTCGTTTCGATCGTTTGGGTTTGGCTTTTGCAACTATATATCTTTATGCGTTGGATTGGTATATATATGGATATGGGTACATCAACGGATACGGTATGGATGGGTAAAATGGAACAAGGATGGACAATGGATGGGATACCTGGGATAATGGCATTTTCGGTGTTGGGACTGCATTAGCGAGTTCTTTTGTATAGCTTTGTTTATTTGTTTGTGTCGTGTATCTATCTATGAACCTTTGTATACATACTACACAATGATCTATACACCTATGAATCTGTACACATCGCGATATTCTACGAGCACGAAGACTATGACGCAGACATCCATCCGTCAAACCAGTTCAACTACCCCGACGATCATCACGACTCCTCGGCCGGAGCATCGGATACATACACGTGAGCCGAACCGCTGATATCATAGCGCATCTAGCTAGCTCAAACCCGGAGTTTGCTATACACCCCCGTCACGATCACCATCTCCCTCTCCCTGCAAATCCCGATAAACCCTCTCCAACGCCGCCATCGCACCCTCGTCCCCGCGAAGCACAGCTTCCTGTAATCGCTGAACCTCCGCCAATTGCTCCTCGGTCCTGGCCCACCCGCGCAGGCGATCTTCGAGATTCTGCGTCCGGCGCGTGCTGTATACTGTTCGCACGGAGTCTGTTTCACCTTTTGCCTGTTTAACGCCGGACAAGCGTTCGAGGAAACGCGCTTGATTTGATGACGTTGATGGTTTGGGAGGGTTAGATGTGGCTGTAGATGTGGTGGGAGTAGGAGTAGTAGTAGTAGTAGAAGGTTCAGAACCAGAAATAAGATTCGCTTTGCGACCGAGGATTTTGGCACTGGTTGCTGCAATTAAGTCGAAATCCTTGCCACGTGCTAGTGGTGCAGTAACATCATTTTCTGCACTTGTGGTGGTGAGGGTGGCGGTAAGTTCATTCGGCCTGGTAAAAAACAACTCGGTCCCAATCTGCTCGGCCCAGGAACAACTGAAAACCTGGTTCTGGTACGAGACAATGGGATTCAAGGTGTGGAGGCCCAAGACCTGGAGACGATCTTGCGCCGTTGCACTCGCACTCGCACTCGCGCTCGCACCTGCATGTCTGGCGTCGGACTCGGTGGTTTCTAGAGGGCGAGAAAAGTCCGCGTCCGCGTCGGCGTCCGCGTCGGGTTCATTATTATTAGGCGCGGATGTATTAGCATTACGGCGCCGCGGCGGACGAATGGGGCCGTGGAGGGAGGTTAGGTCGAAGTTGAGGTAGAAGGACTGTTCATTAGTCTTTAGGATAATGTTCTGGTATACTGGATTGGATGGTATTTACCTCTGTTTCCGTGGAGTACTTGTATTCCCAGTCGGAATCGGAATCGGAATCGAAATCTGCGTTGGCGCTGGGAATGGGCGCGGCAGACACCATGGTAATATTAACTATGTGCCAGTGATAATATGTGGTTGATTATGAGAGATCATCGTATCGTAGTTGTACTCTTGAGTAGTAGTTGTATGTACGGAGGAGTCATGTACTCTGTAGTGTACAGTGGAAATGCAGGATCATGACTGAGGTGATCGTCTATCCGTCTCTCCCCTCCTCCCATCCTCCTCCTTCTTTCAACTACTACTACTACTCTACTTCGGAGTACAATACTCTATCCGCATTCCACATCCCATTAATTCGACTGACTCATGAGTAAGTGATCCGTCGTTTCCGTCCAATATAATTGTCGATCCGGCACTTCACGGATGCATTCAGAGCGATGCTTGATAATCATCTGACACAATATTCCACTTGATCCGGTTTTGTTTATGCCATTATTACCCTATCCTATCATTGCTTATTGCAGGGCTGAATTGCCTCTCTTTTTCGGATCGTTCCTGCCGTTTTTCCGTCCGTATTTATGCAGCTTGACTGACCCAAATGTCATCTTTCGTGTTTATATAGTGTTGTCTCCGTCCGCTGTCCGGCTAGTCCGGCTTCTGTTTTTTTCTTTTTTTTCGTCCCTTTTCTTGTATAGTTTCCTCGTTGTCTCTTATGGTCCTGTTTCCTCGTCGCTGGCCACTCCGTTTGACAAGCAGTCCACTGCCATCCCGACTGTCGAACAGTTCCCCGTCGCTGCTGAACAACACGAGGTAGCATTGTCTCCCTCTTCAGACATCTCTGTAGTACCTCACTCCTCTTCTACATTGCTGCCCGATATTCAGCAGATGGCCCGAAAGACCAAAGCCACGATCGCTTTCTTGTCAACTTTGATCATCTATGTTTCCCTCAATAGTCTGGCCCATACCATCAACCCCTCTGCTTTTGTCTGGTCCTCCGAAGACCGAGAAGAGACGCCGTGGATTGCGTCCTCGCACTCATGGCTGGACCGCAAAGCCTGTCGTTGGTTAGGTTTATGCGGTACAGCTCATGTCCAGCCCGTCCAGACCCGCTTCGGTCACCGCAAGATCTCCGCCGAAGCCCAAGTTCTGCCAGACAGCGGACAACCAGAAACAGAAAAGTCCGAACAAAATGGGCCCTGGCAGACCGCTTGGTCCAGTGGACCAGATCTGTCGAATCAATGGGACGATGCCGAACGGGCGCATCGGCAGATCCCGGCCTACGTCTTTGAGTATGCGCCGCTGGTCCACCTGTTTTCGGGAGAACAATATTGGCCCAGTGATATCGCGGAGCATTTGTTTCATGTTACTCCGATGTTAAATTATACCCCGATTCAGTCGCAGGCGAAGCATGCGACGTTGCGGGATTTGGATCAGTTGAATCGGTGGCAGCAGAACGGGCATGTTTTCCTGACCAGCAATGATAATGTCGAGGATCGTCCGCCGTGGATGGAGGGAGCGCACAATATTCCCGATCAGACTGCTGCTAAGGAGGAGTCCTGGGCCGACTGGGATGGTCGCGTTGACGGCGACATTCCTGGCGAGGAAGACCGGGCGCAATGGTTCGACACCAGTGACATTCGCGAAGATGAACCATGCGAGGAGGGGGGCGAAGAGGAAGACGTGTTTATCCAGAGTGATCTAGCCAATGCATTGGCCGATCTGGACCCCAAACGTCTCTTTGGCGAGGACAGCGAGCTCGAGGAGGATCTCCGTAAACGATATGGCGGCCAACGCATCCATGTTGAGAAGACCGGAGGCCGCAGCAATGCGCCGGCCGTTTTGCTAGTCATCGACAAGGGTAATGGCATCGTCGATGCCTTTTGGTTTTACTTTTACAGCTTTAACCTGGGCAATGTCGTGTTTGATGTTCGTTTTGGCAACCACATCGGAGACTGGGAACACTGTCTTGTTCGGTTCCACAATGGCAAGCCCAAAGCACTCTTTTTCAGTGCGCATTCCGCCGGCGAGGCGTACAGCTACGAGGCGGTTGAAAAGATCGGACGCCGGGTAAGCCCAATCACAACTACTTCCTATATACGCAAATACTAACCAAAACAGCCCGTCATCTACTCCGCAATGGGAACCCACGCCATGTACGCCACCCCAGGAGTCCACTCCTACGTCCTCCCCTGGGGCCTGCTGCACGACCAAACCGACCGCGGCCCCCTCTGGGACCCCCTCCTCAACGCCCACACCTACACCTACTCCCCAACAAACGACACCCTCCTCGCCTCAACCGCCAACCCCTCCGCACCCACAGAATGGTTCTACTACGAAGGCCACTGGGGCGACAAGTTCTACCCGCTTGGCGATTCTCGCCAGTACCGGTTCGCCGGGCAGTATCATTACGTGAACGGGCCGTTGGGGCCGCGGTTTAAGCACCTCAATCGGCATAAGGTGTGTCAGGGTCCTGATAAGGCGCCGTGTGTGGTTAAGGATTGGATTTACGAGCAGAAGGAGGCGAAAAGGTGGGTGAGTTGATTGAGACGAATGATGGCTTTCACAAAAAGAGGAAGGTTGACGCTGAGCGATCAACCTTCCCTCGGTCTACCTTTACAGATCTGGCGTTGGTTCTGTTTTCTTATTTGTTTCTTTGTGTTTCTCTCTGATGTTTCTTTGATTTATTCCATATACCCCCAACGGTTACATTTCTCACCCTGGACGGTTGACGACGGAGTTACTCACTTTGATACCCCGGGTTACTTTACTACCACGATATGACCAGTTATTGGCCCAATCTGATGTCGACATGCAACGCAACGCTATACAAAATACCAGTTAACAATGATTTTATATATGAATGGATTACGCGATCTTTGTTTATTCTCGTTTTTCCAATGATTGGATGGTATTGCACAGTGGGAATAAGCGTAGGGCAGAGTACCTGCACCTTCTCGATGATTCTCAGCCAATCACCCCATAACTACCTCGTATCGTATTAGCAATTCCTATGGACAAGTCCAGACCCCCCGTAAGCAAGATGATAGGATAGGATATCAGCTGACAGCTGCCCAATACAAAAAAAAAAAAAAAAAAAAGCAAACAAGACAGCGAATACATCCACACAAGTGCATAGTTACAACTAGCTAAGCTGATGCAATCGATCGGAATGACATCTACAGAATAATATAGTAGCAAACAAATCTATGTCGTTAAACAATACCCAATCAATCAGGATCAGAAGCATAATAAGGCAGGCTCGCATTCTGTACTATACTATACTGTAGATGGAATAAGACCAAATCAAATCAGAACAAAATAAGACGATCACACGCAAAGCAGAAAAGACATGGGGATATAATCAGAAACGATCCAATAATAAATAATAAGAAAGGCTATTAACAAGTAATTGTATTGATCTCATCAACGCCGAGCCAAAAGACAAGACAGCATTAAACAATGACAATGAAAACAAAAGGATGAGATGTAAGAATGAAAGTGGAAACTGGGACCTGGTAAGCTCACTCAAAAGAGCAACAAGAAAAGAAAAAGAGAAAGAAATAAAACGCCATCCCTGAACAAATAGAAAATGAGTCAAAAGGCCGAAATGGAATGATTCCCTTGAACACGTCAAAACTCCGGAAATATAATAAACCCAACAAAAATGATAACATATGTAAAAAAACGTCTAAAGGACCATGACACGGAGGTCAAGGCCAGCAACTTCAAATCATTAACCATCATAAAAAAGGAAAAGAAACAAAGGGGGAATAATTAACATGTCTAAAACGCGGAAATCACGCCCGTGTAGTCCGCTTTCGAAGCCCGAATTCTTGCTCTTGCAGTTCTCGAATCAGGCGCATGCTCTCTGCGTCGGGATCCTCGTGCGTTTGCCTCTTCCCTGCTTGCCCGGGCGACGTTGACGCTGACGCTGACGTGCCATGATGGCCAGCGTGTCTTGCTTCTGTGGCAGGTGCATGGGAAGAGTTAAGACGCGAGGACGGTCTTTTCGGACCCGATGACGGAGCAGGAGGTGTTTTGCGTGAAGCTGCCGATGTCGCAAATGCTTGGCGAGCGGATGACGGGTGCGATGCTGGCCTGGGGGTTTTGCCTTCAGGTGCATATCTTTCAACTTGACGAGGTTGGCGAGACGAATGACGGGAGCTCGATGTCGGCGTGTGTATCGCACTGGGGTGCTCCCCTTCTCCATCGACATTATCTTGAGACACATCCATCTCATCAGCTTGCGAAGTAGGCGGTGAGACCAAGGTGGCTGTCGGCTGAGCTGCTGATACGGTGTCTTCCTTTGGCAATAGCGTATCCGTCTGGAATGCTGGCGGTGATGCATATGAATCCTGACCTAAAGCACCTGCTTTCTCTTCTATCGTCACATTTGCTGCAAACAAAGGCTTATTCGGGTTGACGGTTTCCGGGAAGGTGGTGTCAAAACCAACTGCCTTGTGAACAATGGTTGACGATGGCACTTCGACTCCGTCAAGATTCGCCGGCCTGGAAAGTGGCGAAGTGCTCTCTTGCTTCGGCTTCTTACTTGGTGCCAAACTAGCATCCTCCTCGTTAAGTCGGGGCCGTTTGGCGGAATTACTAGCTCGAGGTTTCGACCGCTCCTGGGCTTTGACAGGGTCGACTCGGCCATATTCATCGTGGATGCAACGACGCTTGCTCTTTCGGCAATCATCACAGGCCTTGCTCCGTCCTTTCTTGCCTGAATTGGCACCCTCGGGGCTGCCATCAGTGCGAAGTCTGGATACAGTCGGAGTATTTGTAACAGCTGGGTTGTACTTTGCAGCAGCTTCAAACTGATTCAACCCCACGATACTGCTGCCATCCTGAAGACCAGCTTCGGACGCAACGGCAGCGAGAGAGTTCAGCGCTGCTGCGGCTGCATCATCATGTCCCAATGAGGATTGATTTTGCAGTTCCATTCCCTGTCCAAAGGCACTATTATTAATCAGTACCATCGGCTTGGCCGGTGCACCGTCATTTTGCTCATCCTTATGACGGCACCGGATTCTCCGTTTCCGACATGCATCGCAGGCAACTCGCTTCGGTCCGAGCCCGGAACCTCGGTTGGCATTCCGAGCTTTGGGAGCAATCTCCTGCTTCACGGCAGGTGCCGAAGATGGCAGGTTAGCCTGTGCGGGAACACTATTCTGAGGCAAAACAGCAGGATCAGCACTTGCATGGCCATCAGAGGGTTCCTGCTGCTGCTGCTGCTCTGGTAATTGGACGGCCTGCCTCTCAGCATACATGCGCTGATTGTCTGCATTGCGCTCAGACCGGCGGCTAGGGCGCCCTGCCGGTTTCTTCTCCGTAAGACTGATCTTAGGGTTACTTTCGATCACTCCCGGACGAGTCCACTCTGCTGCTTTCTCGTTTCCGCGTTTCCATGCAACCCAGACTCCAAACTTCCTGATAGTGTCGACCGGGTCTCCAATCCCCTTCGGTATCGACCGCTTGATCGCGTTTCGGGCCTCCATGGTAACACCCTCAACGAGGTATGACGAAGCAATCAAAGCCGTTCGAAAAAGATATTTGGTGAGATCGGGCAACCCCTCCAGCTCGCCCTGAGAATAGAAGCGTGAATTGTAGTGCGGAGACCCGGCAGGAGCTTCATTATCCCGTTCACCGAATTCGCAGTAAACGGGATAATCCCTGTGGAACTTATAGTTCTCATCTTGCGCAAACGCGTCCAGCACGCTCTGCGGGACCGGATCCTCCTCAAGATACTTCAACGCCGTGTACCATTGAATCTTTTGGAAGAATGGGTATCGGAACTTCCGTGGAACTTTGGTATCCTTCTCAATCTTGGCGATCTTGATCTGCATTCCGTAGTTAAGTCTGGTCAGGAAATTGCCGCCAATGACTAGACTGTTTTCAGGTGTCCACACGGCGTGGATCCATCCAGACGGGATCAACATGGTGTCTCCCTCGGAGAGATCAACTCGATAGCATTCCTTGGTTTGATCGCCCAGGAAGGTGTTATCTTGGGCAGGCGAGCTGCACCATTCTTCGTACTTCTTCAGGTGTTTATCCTTGGGCGGTATGAAAAAGAAGGTCTTTTTCCCCTTCAGGATATGGTAGTAAACTGAAGAACCCCCAAAGTCAATGTGGAAGTCGGTGTAGCAATCGGCAACGGACATCAGACAGTAGAACTGGACTTTGGGAAAATCACCGATTGCCTGTAATTCTTGGGGCCAGACGGCATCTTGCAGGTCGAGATCACGCACGATCTTTGGCCGGCGGATCAACCGACCCAGCCTACTTTGCGAGACTTCCAAACTGATGACGTTCCGAACGATCTTCTCTCCTGTGCTCTCGTAGTAATCGGCCCACTTTTGCATGTTCCACCTCTTGTCCTCTCCTTGTTGGGACTTGACGTCGATCACTTCCACCCTTTCTTCTGGTCCATAGAGCTCTGCGACGGTTCTGACATTGAGACCCTCCGGAATCACCATGTCCAATCGATCTTGGCCGCAGTCGATAACTCGCTCGTAATTCTGGCCCTCCTCCGGAAGATGCTCAAGTAACTCGTCAAACATCTCCTGAGTCGGAGCGTCCGCAGCAAGCGCGTCGAAATCATCACCCACGGTTGTGGTCGATTCCCGACTATTTAAATGGGCTGGGATAACGATTGGCTCTGACATACCACTGCCCCGTTCGAAGTACTCGGCGGTGACTAGGTCCGGATGCATGCGAGCGAAGTTCTCTGGGAGGAAGCGAATCTTGCCTTGTCGAATAGGTTCAATGTAATGATGCTCCATAGAGTTCGACGGCACTTTGACGAGACCTTGGTTGAGACCAGCATAATCAATCGCCGTGCGTGCTCGAGAGGACTTGCGGACAAAGGTCGTGTGTCCATAAACGGGCCAACATCCGCGACAAATGAACTTATCAACCGTCCGAATCTCGCGATCATTCTTGAACCCGGCGCAGACAATATGAAACCATTGCTTGCAACCATCACAGCTAATCCACGTCACCTCGCCTTGATCTTCGGTCTCGACAGGAATCCGGACCAAGTTACAAGCTGAACAGCTTGCCTGGTTGGGGTCGTCGACATCTGTTCCGCCTTCTGTCTTTGAAGGTACATCCATTGGCTGCTGTGTTACGCCAGCGTCGCGGGCGCCAGAGCCTTGGACATCATTGTGTGCAGTGTTTTTTTGTGTGCTAGTCCCCGGTGTATTCCAGTTATATTCCATCTCCTCTTGCCATGTAATGGGCGGAACAGTAGACGAGCTCGTGTTCGGGCGGACATCGCGGATGATTGGCCGGGCAACGGTAGAGCCATCTGACTGGGAACGCGTGCGAGAGCAATTCCCGGAAGCATTATACATAGATCCTTCATGCTCTGTTACCATGTATGTAGACCCAGAGCCAATCTTCTGCCGCTTCGATTCGTTCCCATAGTCGTGAGACGATCCGTCAATGCTCACTCGTTTCGGCGGTTGAACGATCGGGGGGAAATTACTTGGTCGTGCAAAATTCAGCAAAAGTTCTGCATCCGTTTTCATACTGTCAAAGATAGAGGAAGAGTTATTGGTGTGTGATGGTGCCGCGTTTGTCGGGGCATGAGGCGAAGGCTGAAAAGGCGACGGATCCTTCTCCGACCGTTGACGCTTGGTTGGAGGTTCAATCGAATCTCTCATTTCGGGGAAGAGAGGCATCGCAGGTGTGGAACTTTGGGATGGCGGTCGGTAAGAGTGAGGTGTGAAAGTCGGACTCGTCGCTAAAGCGATTGTCGCGAGGGTGTCGATTGTTGAACTCGACCGGCCATGACCGGATCGATTATGAGAGTCATCATCCGTCACGGCATAACGACCATTTTCCGATTTCAACCGATCGCGATCACTGCTCGCATGCTTATGGATATTGCGCTCTGTCCAAGAAGCGCGGAAATCGATGGTATTCGAGGAGGGTGTGATCGGTTCGACTGCGCGTCGCGGAGGGGAAGGAGTGCGGTACCGCGGCGGACGGCTTCCAAGGTGATTAAGAAACGAAGTAGCGCCCATCATCCTGGCGCTAGAGAATGAATATCAAGATTCCAGGTAAAAGAAGAGAGAGGGAGAGGAAGAGGAAAAGAGCCGGAGGACTGAGATGCGGTTGCGGCAAGCAGGTGCAAAGCGGGGAGGAAATGTTTGACCACGCAGGCTAGAGAACGACAAAAGCAGGCGAAGGAAGAACCATTCCTGGCAGGAAGAAAATCGCGCGATGAAAAATGAAATGCAATGTAGAATCGAAAAGGAAGCGAAAGAGGTGGTTGAGAGGATGGGAAGTGGACGAGGGCGCGGCGGAGGGAGAGGTTTGATGGGAGGAAGTTGAATGAGTCTGCCGGCTTTAGTTTGAGCGGCAGGAGAAGAGCGACTGAACCCCCGGGCGATAACAAGCGCGTATACAAAAAGGGCGCAGAGAAGGGTCAATGGAGATTTTAATGAGGACGGTGGAGATATGCAATTGAATGAGTGGATGGATAGTTGAGCGATAGTATGTCGACGAGGACAAGCCTGGAAGGCTACGGCGAAGGCAAAGGCAGCGGGCGCGATCGTTTGCGGCGGAGCATACCAAGACCTGGGCGTGCTATCAGGCCATGGAGACAAGTAGTAACAGAGAGAAGGAGAGAGTAATGAGAGAGAAAGGTACTGTAGAAAAAGAGATGCTGTATCTGGACGAGAATGAGTTCAGTTGTGATGCGAAGGGGGGAGTTCCCAAGTGAGGCTCAACGGACCGTCTAGTCCCGATTGGGAAAGGCACCCCCCGTCGCAACCTCGAGCGGTTCGATTGATTGTCGCCTTCACTTTCTCTCCTCTCTCCTCCTTCTAATTCTACTTCTTCTTCCTCCCCTTTTCTTTACTCTAATTTCTATATACCCTTGCCTGAGGGCTTCGGTTTTTCTACCATTTAATCTCACTTTCGATTCTTTTTGCACACCTGAGAATGAGCCGGAAGCTCGCCCCCGAAGCAAATCGGTATGACTGCTCTGATTGCCCCTCTCATCGAAAGCAGCTTCTAAGCTAGGAACTGCGATGGATCTCGATCGATATCCGTGTCATTTTTGCAGCTAGATCACGAAGGCTAATTTTTTGTCCTCTTTTCAACAGGATTCTATTTGTCAAAAACCTCAAGTACGTTCCTTAAACGTGACCACAACCAACTGCATCAATACATCGAATCTGGCGTCTCTTTCGGGCCTTCTAGCGATCTCAGCTAACCGCCATGTATCCGATAGCTACAACGTGACTGCAGAGCAACTGTTCGACCTTTTCGGCAAGTTTGGGCCTATTCGGTAAGTCGGGGATATCCAGACATTAGCTTCTGAGAGACAAGAAGATCGTGTTTAACTGTTATCAATTCTTCTCATAGGCAAATACGTCAGGGTATCGCAAACAACTCCAAGGGAACCGCGTTTGTTGTCTACGAAGACGTGCACGACGCCAAACAGGCATGCGATAAGCTCAATGGATTCAATTTCCAGAACAGATACCTCGTCGGTATGTACACGAAAATGGTGGAAGAACAAGAGACTAGTGGCTAATCTCTTTCTTCCACTGCAGTTCTCTATCACCAGCCGGAGAAAATGGTTCGTTCGAAAGAGGACCTTTCGGAAAGACAAGAAAATCTCGAACGCCTCAAACAGCAGCATGGTATAGAATGATGAGGGGAGGAATGTTCTCGTTCTCTTGGTCCCCTTTGCAGACATCTAGCTGCAAGTTGTCTATCATGGGTTGGCTGTGGGGTTTCCGGCGTTTATCCTTTTTTTTTTTTTTTTCCCCTTCTCATTCTTCTTATTTTCTTTTATTCCTATTTGATTCCTACGGGTGTCATGGTTTTTTATTTCTTCACTTGGGGTATAAGGATTCGACGTCGACAGGGTGAGAAAGAGAACTCTGCTCGTCATGGTCCCGGGAAATGATACAGAATGAATGATGAGCTCTCGAGGGCAAAGGCATGCCACTCAGTTATTCTCGGTTATTACTGGTTACAATGATATCTCTTACGGACCGGCCTCGGTCGGGTGCCATAATCGCGCAGCAGTATGATTGAAGCTATCCGTAGCTACTCACGCGTATCTCGCGTTCCTTGATCTTATGAGTTGTACAATGCAGAAGCGTCCAACAAGAACTCGAGCCCTGGCAGGATTTGCGCTTTGCAGACGCTTTCAGCATCCGAGCACTGTTCCTACTATGTACTCCGTACTGATACTGGCAGTCAATCAGCCACAGCCTCCGCTCAGAAAATTGTATATAATTGTTTTCCCCCTTATATTCTACCTATGCACAACAACCATCCTATTTTATAATATCTCTACAGCTCGCCACCGTAATCATGATAGGTCCTTTTACAAAATCCCAAGAAGCTGCCAACTAACCCAAATGCGGCTAGCCCCGCTCACCGCCCGGTCCCACCGCTATCGAGATTTTCTTCCTCTCCGGGCAGGCAAAAAAAAGTCATATTCTTCACTATACACGATTAACTCTGCAACACGGCAGTGATCCTTTGAGTGAGCCATTTTTATATTCATTTTCACGGGAAAGAAAACGAAAACATCATCATGCCTGCAGGAGAAGAGCCCAATGCCGGTGAGTGCGCCATTCAACTTGAATTTGACTTGCGGACTTGAACTGACGAGTTTTCTCTATCCAGCCTGGCCCATCGCCGACGAGGCCTTGACCCAGAACTTGCTGGACCTTGTCCAGCAGGCTTCTCACTACCGCCAGTTGAAGAAGGGTGCTAACGAAGGTGAGTCGACATTGAACCGTCCACAAGTCCGCGAAGAGAACCTCCGAAGTTTTCTGCTCCGACTTCAGGGTCACATCCTGCCTTGCAAGCAGATCAATTTCATATCGCGGACGGAAGAAGACACTCTTCTGGTCTCTATACCTGGATTGAATAAGTTACTAACATATCTTCTAACAGCCACCAAGACCCTCAACCGCGGAACTTCCGAGATTGTCATCCTGGCTGCCGACACCTCTCCCCTGGCCATCCTCCTTCACCTGCCTCTGCTTGCTGAAGATAAGAACATTCCGTACGGTTAGTGAAAATATTCTATTCAATTGAGGTATCGTCATTCTGACCCGATTTAGTGTACGTCCCCAGCAAGCTCGCCCTGGGCCGTGCCACCGGTGTCTCCCGTCCTGTGATCGCCGCCAGTATCACTACCAACGAGGCTAGTGACCTTATGGGCCAGATCCGCACCATCAAGGACAGGGTTGAGCGTCTCATGATCTAAGGGAATATATGGTTGATGATGGGTCTTTTGGTTTTGTTGTCTATGTCGCTGTTTTGGGGTATAGGCGGCAAGGCTGGTAGAAGGCCTTTGCTCCAATTGGATTGAATCTTTCCCATAAATTCTCCGTGCGTTACGTATAGTCGGTGTACTTCTTCGTACTCGTATACAATACTTTGCTTGTATACTTGACCCGGTTCATCTACCTACGGGTCAAGTTACACATAGTTGTACAACTTTCTTGAAATAACGCAAAAAGAACACATGAATCAAAGCCACCAATTGACAACCAACATAGTCAAAGTGCAAAAACAGATAGGCTATGCACAAGAACAAAAAAGATGCCCCCAACCAGGATCGAACTGGTGACCTCGGGATTTCAACCCTGTTACCAGGGATGTCACAAGACTATGAGACCCATGTCATGACCAACTAGACCATGGAGGCAACTGCTGATGAGTCAGGGTGATTGTTGACAACAGAAGGGCGAAAGATGGCCATTGTCTTGAATCTCTATCAAAGTACAAGGGCACCTTCGAAAAGACGACATATACATGGTCAGAGGACCGGTATAAAAGCGGCTCTGCTTTGTATGGAGTCTTCTCAGACTCGGACAATTCAAAAGTAGACCAATTCCAAGTAGACCCCGAAACGAACGAGAATGCCTAGGTTTGGTATAGAACCCTTCTAGTTCTCGTGCTGTGTGCATCTGAACTGGGAGCAATGGCGGTTGATAAACCATTATTGAGAGCACATGGGCTGTTATAATTCGCCAAAACATTCAGACCTGCGATGTCTTTGTAAAACTTGCAATTGCATTGCTGTCCGAAGTATGGAGTAGAAAGCACCTCTATGTATCAGAGGAGGATCGAAAATATGGACGACAAAACACTATCCGTGCATGGTCACCTAGTGAGTATCTTTATGAAGCGCAATTTTGACAAGGAATTTCAACAATTGCCTCCATGGTCTAGTTGGTCATGACGTGGGTCTCATAGTCTTGTGACATCCCTGGTAACAGGGTTGAAATCCCGAGGTCACCAGTTCGATCCTGGTTGGGGGCAATTCTTTTTTGCTTTTTTTTTCTTTTTTGGCTCTATCTACATTGAGTCTTTTTTAACATTCTTTCTTTCTTTACGACTTTTTTTTTTTTTTTTTTTTTTTTTTTTTTTTTTTTTCTTTCTTTTTGTTCTGTGTCTCTTCTGTTCCAGTTGTATCTTTCCATATCCATTTCCATATGCTCATTCCGTACTTAATCCGTACACGCAGGTTAGGGCACATGAGTCCCATTTACGCTCTGCATCGGACTCGTGTCCATCTTTCTTGCCTATGTACCTTGCTATTTATTGACAACCACGTTTCCAAGCGGTGATGAGTGAGTATGTTGGTTAAGATATCTCCAGCCTGACTGAATAGAAGTATCAGTACAGTCGAGATAATAGGTGTGACTGAGTTGTCAGATCGAAGCTGATATTGGAATGGAGGTATAGAAAGTGAAGACATAAATCATAATCCATTTTGTTTTGCTGTCCCCTTTGAATGCACCATACCAAACTAAATACAACATTGTCTGCACCCAGGCCAAAAAAAAAGAAAAAGAAAAAGAAAAGAAAAAGAAAAAGAAAAGAAAAAGAAAAAGAAAATATATACTCGAAGGTGAAAAAGATGGAAGATAGGCAGTCAAATGAACTCCCAATGTGCAAATCGCAAATCGCAATGCCCATTAAATTAGTCCGTAAAACACCGGTTAGACAAGGGCTGGCCTGTTGAACCAGTAGAGGAACAAAATGAAAAGAAAAGATACAGGATGAATAGATAGATAAAAGACAAAACAAAACCCATTTTTTTTATAAGATCCGTAGGGGGTATGAAAGAAATGGAATAAATCGATCAAGTCACATAATTCAAATGCATGGTAAGAACTGTTACTGTCAGTATACATTCCACGCCAATAGACAAGTTGAGGGCAGGGACTCACATTCATCACAATCAACATAGGGATATCAAACACATCCCGCTTAACTGTCCAGCAGTATGCGCATTCAACCTTCCCATCCTTGAACCCCAACTGATTCATCCCCGCCTCACCGGCAATGCCCCCCTTCCGCAGATGATTATTCCACCGCTGGTTATCGTCAGACTGCGCCTGCTCCATGTCCTCTTTCGTCTTGTACTTGAGGAGTTTGCAGGTAGTCGTGACAGAGCCACGAGAATCACCGAAGGCTAACCTGGCAAAGTCATCGTAGAATTCGACCACGCTGTCGTCGTCGAGAAGTTCGGCGAGGAAGACGGGTTGTGAGGGACGGCTGGGGCCGCCGGTTTCCCGTGGTGGATAACTGCTTCCGCGTGATGATGGTCCGGATGGTGGGTTCGATGATGAGCCACCGGTGTTGACGTTGAGATTTGGTTCTTTGCCCAGGAGTACGTCTTTTTTCCACCCGGTTAGGATGCTGAATTCCTTACCCACGGCAGCGACCTCTCCTGTCCGTCGACAGACGATAGTCGGTGTTCCGCAGGCGTTGATAAAATCCTCGTATTCGAAAAGGGTTCGCTGAAAGCATCGCTCCATGAAAATCAAATCATCGCGGTTCAAGGTCTTGGTGGTGGCGATAAAGGACGGGCGGATAGAGGCCAGTGATTTGGCAATCTGTAGTGTCTTCTGCGGTGAGAATCGTCGCTGGATGAACGCCGTAAGGCTATGGAACCCATTCGTGTAGGAATACGGCTCCTTGACGCTTTCGTAGATGGATGACGGATTCCGTTGTCGTCGCTTGACTCCTCCCATATGCAAGCTCTGCTGCTTCAGACTCGGTGTCGAGATTGTAGGCCGTTGTAAGCCGTTGGACTTGCCGATTGTGAGATTCTTGTTGACATTATTATTATTACTACTATCATCGAGGTTGTGCCCATGCGGACTTGCGGTTGCACTCGGGCTGGCGAAATTAGGACCACTTTCGATCGCGAATGCGTGCGGTGCGTCCGGTTTGCCCAGATGACCGGGAACGTAGACCCCGCCCACATTCACCGCGCCTGGACCCTGTCCACCGCCAGACCAGTCATTGAGCAGCGGATCGCCAAACATGAACGGTTGCTGCTGACCCCCTGGGCTTTCCCCAAACCCTGCACCCCCGGTAATCGGTGTGGTTGAGAATTGCGCCGAACCGCTTCGTCCCATAGATCCTCGTTGTGTTGCTGAATCACTAGGTGAGTCGCCGGCTCCGGTAGCCATGTGTCCTAGCATGCTGAATTCCAAAGCACCATAGCGATTCTCAAAGTTCATGCTGGAAAGGTCAAAGTTGAAAAGCGCGGGATCGCTGGGGTCGAAGAAGGGTCCTCCAACGGGTTTTTGGCTCTGGTTGGTATTCGACACAGACACAGCTGGATTCGTCTGGGGCTGGCTAACGGAGGACAAGGTGGGATTCTGGCCAGCGGGACTAGTCTTCAGGTTGAAGGTTGGTGAGACTGGCGACTGCGCCGAGAAAGGGTTCTGGTTCATCGTGTTCTCCTGGTAGACATTGTAGGAATTGGACTGAGGATTGGGATAGAAAGTAGGACCGGACGGCTGCGACGGGGGCGCGTTGACTCCATTGGCGGCAGCAGCAGCAGCAGCAGCAGCAGCACCGTTCCTGGATATAGACAAGCTGTTGGTTCGCATCGGAGGAGGCGGGGTGTAGAAATTCCCACTGACACCAGGCATTAACGCTCCGTCGGGCGCATCGTGAAGGTATTTGGCTTTCTTGCGCACGCCGTCGTGACATTGATCTTGGAGGCCTCGTTTGATACATCGCTGGCACGGTCTCTCGTCACCTAAAGTACACCATTAGTTTCGTCTCTTTTAGACGCGCCAACTAAAACCGAGACATTTCAGGGGATAAAAGACAATAACGCACCGCAAGTCAAATGCGCACGTTGACACGCAAAACAAGCCCGTCTCGCCTTCTTCCTGCGCGGCCTCGATGGGTCCTTGGCGTTGGACGACGGTTTCTGACCATTCTCCACGGTTCCGGCGCCGTCTCCATTGGTGGGATTATGCGTTGATCGTTGGTGTTCAGCATCTTCGATATCCTCACTCCCGTTGCGATCCCCCGAGGGAGCAGGCGAACGATCCTTTGCGTCGGAATTCATATCGACATGAATCTCTGGGGTCTGGAGTAGGTGCGGTTCGGGAATCGTTCCGCGATTTTTTCTGGGCAGGTAAGGGGCGGGCAAAAAAAGGAAATATCTCACGTTTCGCTATAAAAAGAAAAGCGCGTGTCTGGGAAGTGTGTGTAAGTAGTACTTGCTACTAGATCTCGAGCTATATTGTAGTATGTTTAATTTCTCAAAATCAGTTCTCTTTGTGTCGCATTACCAGCGCGTCCAGCGTCCAGCGTTCAGATGATTCCTGGAAGCCAGCTTTTGAGGGATTTAACGATGCCCGTTTGGCCGAGGTAGTTGAAGCATTCGGTCGCAATAGCAGCGGAAGTTCAGTATCCGCCACAACCACGCGAACCGACACCACCGAGAGCACTTGATCTTCTTCAGTGGTAAACCAAGCCCGTGTAGAAAATGCCGGTGGGTGAGGCTCTGCGACACCAATGCGAGACGACCAGTAACGGCGATGTGGAGGGGGGCGGAAGAGTCGAGAATAGACGGAGACCGTGATTTTCCCGGAAAAAGCAATAAGCGAGGAAAATAAAAAAAATTCGCGATGACGTCCGATGCGATTGCGCAGTTCAGTATTCAGTGGTATTTAGTGGTGGTTCAAGTGTTATTATTCGAGAATGCACGATATGTCAGAATTCGTAAAGGGACGATCGATCGAAAACGGTTCCTGTCGGGACTGCGGGGAGGTTTTATAACGATGAATAACCGAGAGTACTCTTGAGTATGTAATTATAAAGGAAACAATACCCTCGTAAAGAATAAGAATAAGAGGGGGAGAGAGAGAGAGAGAGAGAGGGAGAGAAAGAAGGAATGAAGAAAGGAAGGATTCAGACTGATTGAGATTATGACTACAGAGTACTGTGGGCTCAATATTATTAGGACTGACAAGGGCCCAGGCTCTGTATAAAATCGCGCGCTAATTAAACTGCATACTAATATACTATGTACAAGTAGTACTTCCATGTGCGTTTTTGCGTTTTTTTACAAATATATGCCACGTGAGAGCAGCTTCTTGGTGCATCAGAAATATTGTTAGATAATTGTTGGTCATAACTAACTAGTTAGTCCTAATTCTTAAACAAACGAGATCTTGGCATCCTTGGAAATCAGGCTACCTTTTACCTCAGACCATTGTTATAACTAACTCTCTAACTATGACTGCTCTTTTCCAATAAGCATAGGTGGTAATCATCATGTGACCCTCACAAGTCTTTGCCGACAATCATGTGAACATACATTTCCATGAGTATTGGGATCACATTAGGGACTTCCTAGCTGTCATGCTCTCCAACACATCATTGTGAAGAATGGAATTGTTAGTGGTATTTTGGACTGTATCCTGAGTACTGGAAATTTGTATGTTTCGAAGTCCTTACCATAACAATTGCAACATGCCTGGAAATGCAAGACCACTGGCCTTACACGCCCTCAACCGCAAGCTGCGCGACAGGACCATATCAAGGAGATAGGAGAAAGTCACCGTTGCCGTCAACAATCTAAACGAAGAGGGGAGAAGGAGGAAACGAGCTATGGTTGGGATTTCCCTCACATCGAAAATTTATGCTCCCTTATGAATACCACATAAGTCTGCATCGCGGTATAGTACTGTAGTATGTATACTGTTCTTACTATGTATATCTGAAACCTCACGCACTTACACTCTCGCTATCTTCCCCCGGACCCTTATTCCCTTGGCATCAAGGACCTTGGGGTCCAAGGACTTGGCTCAATCGCTTGTGCTTATGTATCTAATTTTCATGGGCATTTTCTGGCTCTTCACAATTCAAACAACATGCTGCGTGAGATATTCTTGCTACTGATATGTGCAGCATGGATAGATTTCGCCATTCGTTTCTCTCCACAGATCGAGGTGAGATCAATATCCATCAAATGTTCGCTCAGTATTAATGTCATGTAGCAAATCGTTCATAACATTGTTGCGCACACTACTACCTTTTTTCACGACCCAGTGCCATTTTCTCTTCACTATGAAGAAGAACATACTCATCTGCTTCAGAGTATTCAGCGATCCAGTGGAAAATGGGACTCGTCCCACCCTCGACATCGCTTGTTAACTGCGCTGCATGGATATGCAAGATACAAGGACAGAAACTTGGCGGAAGTGGATCGATGGAGGAAACTTTACAAAAGTGTTCCTAAGCGCCAGCGATTAGTAGGCTATTACTTGTGCTGGTATTAACAGATCTGGCTGACAGGCTTAGTTGCTCGAATCGACCACCCACTACACGCGTAAACTCAACACAATCGATCATCTCGTGGACACAAACGACAATCTCGCTAGAGACATTGTGAATTATGGCCTACGGTTCTATAATATCAGTCAGTTTGAGCTGGACGAGTTCATTGGAGAAAATGAAGCCCAGCGCCGGTCCGCTGATCGGACTAGCGTCTCTCAGGGAATTAAGCATTTTGTGCGCGATTGGGCAGATGAGGGCCACGAAGAGCGACAGCAATCCTTTGAATGCATTCTGAAATCCCTTGCACAGGCACCGCGAACGAGCAGTGAACCTCTACGAGTGCTGGTGCCCGGAGCTGGTTTGGGACGACTAGCGCACGAGGTTGACAAACTTGGGGGTGAGTTACATATCTACTATCCGAGGAAAAGTCACAAAATTGCTCAGCAAGACATCTAGGTTTCGAGGTCATAATGAACGAGTGGTCGATGTACATGAATCTGGCATACCGATATCTATCCAGTCTATCCGACCCCGATAGCGTAGCGTTCCACCCGTATATCGACTGGTGGTCTCACCACGCTCTGACGGCCGATCTCCAGCGCTCCGTTACATTCCCAGACCAAGTGATCAACCAGTCCTCTGTCATACTCATAGAGGGAGACTTCACCACAGCTTTTGCCAAACACACCGGCCAATACGATATAATCGTGACCTTATTCTTCATCGACACCGCGCGGAACCTCATCTCATACCTCGAGACTATCCACCAGTTACTCCGTCCTGGTGGGCGTTGGATCAATCTAGGTCCGCTATTGTATGGCACTGCGCCATTTGTGCAGCTATCGCTGGATGAAATTGTGGCGTTGAGTGCACGAATCGGGTTTGAGTTCCAGGAGACAGATGCTAAGATTGGGAATATTACAATACCTGGCTTGCCAGTGCGAGGGTTTGAGGTGGCATATGGTCGAAATGGCCGGGGGTTGAATAAGAATGCATATCAGGCGCAGTATTGGGAGGCTGTTAAGCGCTAAAACAGGACTGGGATAATGGAGTATGATATTTTTGTCTGAATTCAACTTGGTTGGCCAGGAATAGGGTCGTGGAAGGAACCTCATATAACCGAGCACAGGATGTCAACACACAGAGCCGGTCAATCTTAATCTCTCAATGAAACAAAATCCTCAATTCAGACCCTTTCCAAGACTTTTTGAGAACCTTGGGGGGGATACCAAGACTTTCCGCTTTGCTTGGCATCAGAAATGCTTGCCCTGACGGGGAAATTGATCATGCTGTTTGTCGGATTAGTCCCGCCGATGCAGGTTATAAAATCTCGCGCTGACCCTGTGCTCGAGACCCTGATCTTTGAAACATTAACCATTTACTGGGGGTAACAGTTACACACATACAGTGCTTATAAAACTACATCGCCAAGATGAGATATTCTACCCATCTCCTTCCAATCATTGCGTTGGTGTCCTCCACCGTCCTAGCCCAGGACCCCGGTCCATCGCCTACTGCTTCAGTTGGCTGTGAGCCGCATGGAGACCATTGGTTTGTTCCCATGCACTGCATTTCACGAGTACGTTTATCTAACAGCGCCCCTTTATATACAGGCACTGTGACGGCCCAGCCTCCACCTCCATCTCCTCGATTACATCAACGACAAGCGAGGATACGACTTCCACTACTGCATCTGCTTCGCCCACAATGCCCAGTCCCACCGAGTCAACTGGTTGCGAGCCACACGGCGACCACTGGCACTGCGATAGCCCAGCCGAGACGAGCAGCGAGGACGGAACAATTTCCACCACTGCGTCTGCCTCGCCCACAATGCCTAGTCCTTCCGAGTCGGTTGGTTGCGAGCCGCATGGTGACCACTGGCATTGCGATGGACCGGCTGAGACGGCTAGTGCTTCTGCGGGCTCTGGGGGTGAAGAGGGCGGTGCTGGGGGTTTGGGGTTGCATGCTTCGCTGCTTGTTGGGTTGTCGCTTGTTGCTGTTGTTTTGAATGTTTGATTGTGGATACTCTTTGGAGGAGCGTTGTCAAGACTGTTGCTGCATTTGTACTCTGCATCTCTGGGTACTTGTACTGCTATGTACTATGTATAGATGCCATGTACTTACATGCGAGTTACACCGATATGCATCTGCACTCTTGATGTAAACCTGTAGAAACACTCACATGTCTACGTCCCTTCAACACATCTTCAACTCTCCATCATCCAGTTTACTCTCTATCCATACTATGTACAAGGCTGTCCCTGCTTCTCCCGAGGACACCAGCCGTTCCGTATTCCCCCGAGACAAGACGCCTTCTTCTTTGAGCAATGCCTCAACCTGGTGCTGATCACCGTTATGCCGAACGGTCTGTTTGAAAGTCGGTCAGGAGTAAATCCACGCCAGCACGATGTAGAAAGACCCTGTATATAAAATTTCCATTATATTCACATCCATGTGCCTCATGGAACACAACTAACTCGCCGCTCAATCTCCCCCCATCGTCTCAACCATCCACCCAGCCCCCTCCCTACCCTCCCCCATCTCCCCCAAACACTCCCTCCAAAACCTCCAACGATCCTCACTCCTCATCTTGCCCCCTGTAAAGAGGCCTCTTCCAGGAATCATCATCCTCATCCCTTCCCTCGAAGTATTCGTAAATAACACACACCCGCCATTACTTAATCCACTCCGCAATAGCGCCTACATAGCAATCCAGTCGTTCGGGATGCATATCTCTCCAGGGCTCGCGCTCGAGTGCATCCCGGAACTCCCAGATGGCGATGTATGTAATATTCACGAGCTCGTGGCCTAGTAGGCGGGCCAGATTCTCTGGTCATATGTTAGTTCTGGGTTGGTGAGTATGAGTGTTCATTGGATTGATGATAGTAGGTAGGTTACTTACGGTCACTGAACTCCAACAACTCGGCATCTAGCATTTCTAGTGTTATCCGGATTTGATCATTCTTCTACAACACAACCGTTAGAATTGAACCAGTACCAGTGTATGTTTAATCGGACAAGAAGAAAACATACTACAGCAACCACCACCTCCACCAACCGTCCCATCGACGGATGATCGTGCGGGATCTGCCGCGCCAAAATCCATAAACATATCCCAAGGATTCGCATGATAGGCACTGGCGTGTTCTTTCCTAGTGCTGTCATCGGGTCTTATGTCCGGGTGCAGCTGGTCTATCGCTTCTGCTGCCGGGTTGGAGGTATTCATTGAGAATCTCGAAGCGTTTTCTTTCCGAGTTTATAATAGGGTCTGGGTCTGAGAGTTTGAGGATGTGGAGAGGTAACATGGTGGAAATGGAATATTGAAGACAGTAGAATGGATCTTTTTGGGTTTGGTGGTATGGGAGTTGTAGATATGTATAGATTAGTATTGACCTGCGAGGCTGTATCCGAAAGACAAGTCATGGTCGCTGTAACTAAAGTCCTTGGACTAAACGGGTGATCACGATGACTCTATATTATTCTATAAAAAAAAATAAATAAATAAAAAATGGAATGCTTGTAAAGCCAGTCAGGCAATATCTAGCAACTTTTGTTCGTATTATGTTTGTCATAAGTGTGGGGGCAAGCATGTCGATGTAATGTACATGTTTTTATGAACAATAGACTCAAGGATATCTGTCCAAGTAGTATGTATCCAGTACCACTCTGTACATGATACTCGTAGTCCGTATATACAGATTATCGCGTAGCGAATCGGCTCTTCTTCCGAATGCGAGCGCCGTATCGGAAAAATAGGAACCTATCATCGTCAGCCAAGCTATAATTTTGCAACCGTTGCATGTATGTATCTGGACAGAGGGTCTACGGGTTTATCCGTAGACCAGCCCTGCATGTTGTAGGAAGCAACGCGGGGACACGTTGGATGTATGCAAGGGATGGAAGATCAGCACATAATAAAAGGTCAACTTACGGAAACGGGGTCATAAGAAGCGTCAAGAACGCCAGCAAAGACGTCGCCCAGTGATAATTCAGGTTGTTGTACACTGCATTCCAGTTAGCAATGGCGGTCAACCGTGACCGATCCTGAGAGAGGACTTACTCTGCGTCCCGAATAGAGGAAACACTCCGGCAAAAGTCGACCGAGTAAACCCGTTCGCTGCCAACGCACTCGCGGCATAGGTTGGATACGCGTCGACCAGGAACGTGAAGACGCCCGAGTAAACGAGGATGGTTCCCGCTCCAAAGAACGCGCTGCCAATGATCGGGACAATCCAGTGAACCGAAGAATAGATCGTCCATGCGAACATAAACAGGCCTATGGTGACAAGAGGACCACCAGCAATCGCTGTACAAGCCGAAAGTCAGAGCCAACCCAAATAAATAGGTTGAAGGGGCGTACCTGGAGGAAGTCGCCATTCAGGCTGGAAATCATCCACCTTTTTAACCGCATTCTCATGATTCTTCTCCAGTCGAGCATAAAGCCGACGCCATAACGGATCCGACAGAATGGCAAACACCATTCCCACAAAAAGACCAAGGAAACAGAGTCCACGCTGCCATAGCGAAAAGCCATACACGTTGCCAAAAACCAACTGGAACGCTCCGAAGAACAGGTACAAAATACCCAGCAGGATTCCAGAAAAGATGCAAAGATTCAGACACATAGGTTCAAGGACGAGGAGAAGAATGGGCCGGTAGCAGGATCGCAGGACTGTCTGCGCTACTGAACGCTTCAATTTCTCGATGGGAGCATGCCATCGGTCGTCTCCGGTTTCTTTGCGCAGTTTTCGGGCCTTTCGTCTCAGGAGTCTGTATGACCGGTTAGTTCATCTGTGCCTCTAATACAAGGGCTGACATACACCGGATGGTAGGTTTCCGGGACAAATGCGATAATGGAAATCAGCATGAAACCTGACCAGATCAAAAGGACATAGAAAGTCCAGCGCCTATCATACGTCAGTCACCAATTGTCTTTCAGCATATCTTGGAATACAAACCATGTCGTGTATTCATTGATAAATCCTCCAACCCTGGATGGCTCGTCAGTATCGCGCACTATAGATGCAACGCGGGAGAGACCTACAGAGGGCCAACCTCAGGACCAATAAACGGCGAACTGGTATAAACCATCATGGGAGCACTGAGTTCGTGACGATTGAACAGATCACCGACGGTACCACCGGCGACACTGAGGAATGCACTACCGGCGATACCGTTGAAGAAACGACAGATGATCATGGTTTGGATGTTCTGCGCCACTGCACAGGGGATCAACCAGATCAGGAAGAAGGCAAAGGAGATGATATAGATGTATCTCCGGCCATAGAACTGATCAAGTCAGCATGAGCGGACACGTCGAGTGGTGGTAACAGGAACAAACCTCTGATAAAGGGCCTAGGAAAAGGGGTCCAACCGCTGTTCATCATTAGCATTTGGTCGCTACAAACCCTCATTCAAAACATACCAAGTCCCCAGATGAAGAAAGATAATCCCAGCGTCACCACGATATGCGAAGAGCCGAACTCCTGCATGATCTGATCATAAGTCACGGTGTACATCGACGACGTACAAGTCCTAGATTTATCAGCAAGTCACAATCACAACAAACCCGGACAACCAATACTCACACGCAAAGCGATCCCAACGAACAAATAATCACAATCAACCACCGTCTCTCCGTATTCATATTCCTCGGATTCATAGGATCGTTCTCATCCCAACCCACCACAAACTCCGGCACCTCCCCACCCCCAGTAACCCCAGCTTCCTCATCAACCTTCTCCCCAGACTGCTCATCGCCCGTATGAACACTATACCCATCATTCAGCGACCAACTGCGCTCAATAGACCTACTCGCCTGCAAACGGTTCTCGTCGCTGCTTTTGATGGGCGCAAACGTGGTACCTTCACCTTCACCATCGCGGTCGCCGTCCTTTTCATTTTCATTTTCAGTGAACGAGGATTCTTTTGTCGCATTGATGGCGGTGTCTTCGCTGGAATCTTTTTCCCGTTCGGGAATTGGGGTGTCATTGCTGCTGTCTTGGCGCCGTTGCGGGTGCGAGCCTGGAGAAAGTGTATCCTCGGGATTTGTTTCCCTGCTGCTATGGTTGTTGGTATTGCGCTCAGGAGGGGAGGAGGACTCCTCAGTCCCCTGTGTGCTTGACATGCTTGCGATCAGGCCAGGGTTATGGATAATTCTCCGGCACTAAACGAATCGCAGCAGAGTGTTTATGGTCAGGAAAGAGAAAAGGCCCCCATAAAGAAGATGTGGAGAGAGAAGCTTTAATTAATCATCGTCTCTCCAACGGTCCCAATTTGGAGTCGGGATTTACGCCGAAAAGCTATGACCGAGGCTGGCTGTCAAAGAGATAACAGTGGATAGTTAACTATTAGGAGTAAAAAAGGAGAAAAGGAAAATGATATAAACAAACGTGATCGATTCTTTTCTTTACGGCAGAATTATCCGCACTCTGACTCTACACCATTCACTGCCTAAGGAAGTCTCGGGGTTAACAGGGTTATTGAACTGATCGGCGATTTTCTAGACTCCACCCCCGGAAGGCGCATCGGCTGACTGTTTACCCGTGGCACTATGTATGTACTCTGTATATCACATGGATATCAATTAATTCATTCGATACTACTGCTAATGATCCTAAAGTATTCGCCAGAAGACATTTCATCCTCAATTCAAAAGAAAGCCCAAATCCACCTTTTCATCCTTGAAGCAGAACCTGAACACCGTCAAAATTGATGAAAGAGAAGAAAACCAGTAAACAATATCATGTCCAAAGGCGTTCACCCAAAATGAACGCATACATCACTGTACACAAGGGATTTGCACCAAAACTCCGTAATACAAAGTTAAAAGAATTCCAAGTAAAATGGTAGAAAACGGAAGAAAAGAACAAGCTTAAGCAGCAACCTCAGCAGGCTGCGAAGCCTCGCCGTTGGTGCCCTCCTCGGCCCAAGAGCCCCAGAGTGCGCGCTTACCACGGATCTTGAGAGGTCCGCCAATGGTCTCGGTCCCCTGGTCAACCTTGATTGCGTCCTTGGTCGCAAGCACCAGAGTTTCGAAGAACATCTTGGTCGCATCGGCCTTGGTGGTCTTGCCCTCGGGGCAGAGATCCTGGAACTCCACGGCCTTCTTCTGCTCGCCTGTTGAATCGTTCAATTGATCCCGGAGGATGTGAACGGCATGCTGGGTGCCAAGGGAGATCGGTCCACTGTCCACCGCAGGAATAACGGTGTCTTCAAGGTCTTCCATTTGCTGGTTCATGCCCTCGTCGTCGCTCAAGTGAAGCTCCTGGCCCTGCTCATCTCCCGGGAAGTCGATCTCTGACCGTTGAATAGTCGTGTCGAGGTCAACACCTTCATCCGCCGGAACAATGGCATCCTCTTCACCCAGGTCCAACTGAGGAGCAATAGCAGCCTCCACATCCACATCCGAGATACCACTGTCACGCTTCCGCTTCAAATCGCCGGACTTCTTGACGGCATCCAACGACAGCAAATCACGGAGCTCTGGTGCCCAACCGCGTCCACGACCGCCTCCAAGCACATTGGAAACAAAGTCACCGTTCTTTTGCATGTTCACCAGGGTGAGCAAAACGGGGTCGCGAGGCAGGAACGAGGTCGGTTTCAGGATTCCGGACCGGTTCGTTTGCTGCTCCTTGATTTGGCTGTTCTGGAAATCGGTGACGGAGTCAAGATCCATGACCTTGCGACGCTTGGAGCGCTGGTTCTGCTGAACGGTCAAGTCATCCTCTTCCTGCCCATCCTGGATCTCGGTCTCGTCCTGGTTGAATTCGGCATCTTGCCGACGCAATTCATCCTCGGAAACCTCCGAAAGAGGGCTAAGCGATTCGCGCTGGCGTTCCTCTTGGTTTTCAGGAGCAACATCGTCATGGTGATCGTCACCAAGATCCATCGCATCATCTTGGAGATTCAGAGAGATGTCCTGCGGGCCTTCATCTCCCAAATCTATCTTGTCTAACGGAGCATCGTCCTCACCAAGGTCCAAAGGCAGGTCGACATCATCGTTGAACTTTCCGGCATCGCTAATCATATCCTCTTCGAACGGACGAGGGGCGGGCGCATCTCGACCAACTTCCATACTAAAGTCGGGTCCCAAGGATGTATCTTCCTCTCCCAAATCCAGGTCAACCAGGGTGTGGTCTTCCAATCGCGCGGGCTCCTGGGAAACTGAACGGCGGAAGCTGCTGTCGGGGAGGAGCTGGCTGCCGAAATCCAAAGCTCCTGGTC